CTAAATGTATTTCTTTTCTCAAGTAATGTAATATACAGAATTTTCAATATCATAATTACATTGTTAAAAGTAACAATTAAGGATCAGTTGAGCTTTAGTTAGAAGAACTTTAAAAGGAATGATACTACCCTTTACAATCATTTAATCAAATATTTATTGAGAAGATGTGCAAGACATAGATAATATTACTGAGGCAGCCAAGGACATGAGGTGAACCATATAATTGTCCAGTACTTAAGTTTTTTTTCTTCATATTTCAGACAGAAACAAAGGATTTAAAAGACTTGTTAGATGCTTATTGTGATCATGTGGATGATTTTCATGGAAAATTGCAAGAGGTCTTAAGCAAAAGTGCACTCAGGGTAAGAAATTTTAATATGACTACAATAAATTATTTTTTATGAAATGGTGTTTTTGTTAAAGATAACATAAGAAACACATATTTCTTTTTTGCCCATTTACATTATGAAAGTTAATAATCTTACTGTAATATGGTTCTCTTCTATCTATATAGTTTAGGGAAGACTTTTACAAAAAATCTTTTCCCCTAAAACTACTAGGCCAATTGGAACCTATTAGACATATTAACACTTGTATGCATATTTGTCTGCCATTACTTAAAACCAAGCAAGTTCCCACAAAATATTGTATCACAGTTTAAAACATTTGACGTCATAATAAAAAAGGGATTGCTGCATGAACTCAGAATATAATTCATAGACAGATCTAGGGTCATTCAGAGACAATTCAGGGAAATACCCAAAGATTAAATGTGTGTATTGAACCAAATTTGGTCCCAATCTTCATTTGGTTTCTTGTTTAAAAAAGCAAGTCTGATATATTAATATGTAAAGTCATGATGGCTACACTTTATTGTTAGGAAAGCTATCTTCTATTTGAGGACATTTTATTTTTCAGGCTATTGAAAGATGTCCTTCATTTTTGGAAGTGAGTTGCCTTGAAGATGGGATTGGAGAAAACAGACTTGTACATTATGGACATTTATTGTCCTATGTTTTTGAAAGAAGCCTCCATCCTGAAAACATTACCAATATTGAAAGTTTTCTTGCGGAAACAATTTCCTGGCCATCTTTTCCTGTTTATGTCAAAATGTACAGTAAGTTATAAGTATAACATTGATTCATATGAACCTTATGGTCAGTTTAACATTCTAATTGAGACAATGTTTGAATTGAGGTTTTAATCTTTTTTAACCACATACAGTATGGATTTATTGTAATACGTTTTTTGAAGGTTTGGATTGCTTAATCTTTAATTTTCTGACTGTTTTGAAATGTCTCCCTTGTTTTTACCTGTGTTGTCAACAGTAAAAGCAGGTATTGTAGCTGCTGGACTTAACATTGGTTACCAATATTAAAAGTTTTCTGAAAATCTGAAAAATCTGGGAATGACCAAACATTTAATCATTGCATTGAAAGACTTTCCTCAAAGTTTTCTTGGCTTCTATGAAAGGGTATGGTTTTATATTTGGTTTGAGATTGATAGTGCTGATTAAAGTGTGTACGGAATTTTTACATCCATCAAGAATCTGCTTCCTGTTTGCCAATACTTTGGGTATTTTATAATACTCATTGTACAAGGAAAATTTTCTCATCTCTTTTTCTTCCCTGAAGGGAATGATTTTTTATTTGTTTTGCAGCTTTCAGACACCTACTTCCTGTTATCCTATATTTTGAATTGCAAGTGGGGTTTGACATGCTTGATATCACATTTATTCTTGAATCCTTATGTGAAAAAGAAAAAAAATTGAACCTATCAACCTGTGAGTCTTTTATCAATTTAAAGCTTTAGTTTAAACAAGTTTACAATGACTTTACACACAACAACTTAACATGATTTTAACTTGAAACATATGTACACAAAGATGTTAACTATTTTTTAGCATATGCCAAATTAAGTTTTGACCCAGATTTTGCATTTCTTTGAACATGGAAATGTGATAGTGAGTGGAGATATTGTGTCTTGTGGACCCATATTCTTGTTATACTATTGATGCTTGATGCAATTATAAAGTGTTTGGTCATTCCCAGATTTTTGTGAAACAGAAAATCACTTAAAAGAAAGGGATAGTGAGAATGTTCTACTACACAGCACATCATTATACTGATGACATTCTTTAGCAATGGCCTAAAATTTTCCACAAATTGACTAGTTTTAAGAAATTAATTCAGACTTGAAAGAAGTGTATTTTAAAACTGCTGTGCCTCTTAAAGTAATTTATACATTTTAATGGTGCCTGTGAAATAATCAATGAATAATTTGCTTCGGATGAACATTTCATGGTTTTTAAAGGAAGTTTTGCATATTTTTTATTGTAGATCTCGTCTATTCATATATGTAATTTATAAGTTGCCTTTTACAACAATTGAAATAGCAAAAAAAAATTGAAAATATTATTTGCAATAGTCCTGTGGAAAAGTTTACTAGCTCAAGATATTATGAAAGATAATTTTGTATTTTTATATTTTATAGACAAATATGCACAAGCTCTGGAAAAAGAATGTCGCCATCATATGTATGAATTCATGGTTTTTCTGAAGACTGTATGCCAAGAATTGTATGATGGAAATGTAACTATTCATAACCTTAAGAGCATTTGTTCCAAGAGAGATAATTTCCTTAAAATAATCCAGGAAATGGAAAACCTTCATGTTGGAAAAGACATTGTTTTACAGTCAGCCAGTCTGAGACAAATGCAATTTGTTGCCTATGAGTCAGATCTAGCAGTGGTTCAGCATTTTATTTATGTGTGTAAAAATTGTGGAGGTAGGTTTTGGTTACATGTTGAGGCAAGTATAACCTTTGAAAATAATATAAAATTATGACTAAAAAATGATGTTGTTGTGGTTGTCTACCTGTGTTAGCTAACTATCAAATGGCTGCTATGTTCTCAAACATTCCTGTATTTCTTATCTTTGGATCCTTTTTACATGCAATTTGATGAAATGCTTATAATTCATTTTTTAACATACTAGACAAGGATTATATCTACAACTAGAGTGCAACACTTTAAAATCTCAAACAATCATTTGGTTAGATTTCACACGCTTGAAAAACTAGTCACTTGATTTCAATGAAATTCTCTGAAAATCTTGAGAACAAAATGACATTGTGGACGTCCCTTTTTATTTTGATGCCCCTCCTATTATAGTCGAGTCTCAGGTTTGTCTCTTGAATCCTCTTTCATTTTTTAAGGGTTGAGAAATATATTTTGTGAAACCGTTGGAAATTTTTTAATATACATCTATAAGCACACTTGGGATTCATTTATTTTTATGGATACCAATTTTCGTGGATTGAGGAAAACTTGTATTTTTGTGGATATGCTAAAGTCTGTATACAAGCCTTTGGAAAATGTGCACGTACTTCATTGTCATTGAACGTTTGAATTCTTTGTTTACCTATACCCAATTATGATTTTTATTGTAATAGTTTAATTTTGTAGCTCAGCTATATTTTGTGTGAAGAATTGTTGTTGGTTGTATTATTCCATATGACAGGGTTACAATGAATTTGATGTTGTTTTTATGGTTCATTGTCCAATCATAATAATTTTGTGATTAGTTTAGTTTATCAGTGTCTATAAATAAAATGTCAACTACACTTAATCAGAACATCATTGTTAATGTGAACTTGTCTGTCTGGCAAAGGTCTACTAACCTTAATTTAATTTCCACAGTGCATTTATTCACATTAAATTAGATGATTAAGTGACTTTCTTAATAATATATGTGTATACCCCCACTCTCAAAAAAAGGGTGTACCATAGGTGGATCAAGGGGGGGGGAGGCCCCCCCCTTTTGTGGGAAAAATTTGGTTGATTATATAGGGAATCACTGAAGCATGATGGGAGCCAGCCCCCCTTAGGGCAGTCAATGGACCCCCCTTAGGAAAATTTCTGGATCCGCCACTGTATACTGTTATACCCCTGTATGTCTGTCTTCACATTAAATTCCCGTTGCATTTCTCTCAGGAAACAAATCAGAGCTTCCTGAAATTTGTTGTCAGGCTTTATGTGAACATGCCCCCCCCCCTTTTGTGGGAAAAATTTGGTTGATTATATAGGGAATCACTGAAGCATGATTGGAAACGGCCCCCCTTAGGGCAGTCAATGGACCCCCCTTAGGAAAATTTCTGGATCCGCCACTGTATACTGTTATACCCCTGTATGTCTGTCTTCACATTAAATTCCCATTGCATTTCTCTCAGGAAACAAATCAGAGCTTCCTGAAATTTGTCGTCAGGCTTTATGTGAACATGCTTTACTGTTTGATGCCTTTTCAGATTCAAACCTCATCAACTTTCTAATTAACAATACTTAAAACGGAAAACTGAGAATTGAAATGGGGAATGTGTCAAAGAGATAACAAATCGACCAAAGAGCAGAAAACAGCTCAAAGCCACCAATGGGTCTTCAACACAGCGAGAAAATCCCACACCCGGAGGCAGGCTTTAGTTGGCCCCTAAACAAAAATGTATACTGGTTCAGAGAAAATGGATGTCACACTAAACTCTGAAACATATAAATGAAACAAAATGAAAAAAACATACTAGACTAACAAAGGCCAGAGTTTCTGGACTTGGGACAGGCACAAAAATGCGGCGGGGTTAAACATGTTTTGTGAGATCTCAACCCTTCCCCTATATCTCTAGCCAAAGTAGAATAAACAAACGCACAGCAATACACACCTCAAAACTCGGTGTCAGAGTCTGATGTTAGAATAGGTAACAGAAGAAACTAAGCAAAATGACAATGATCAACATAAATTAACAAAGGACTACTAGCAGTAACTGACATGCCAGCTCCAGACCTCAATTAAACTGATTACTTTTGTACCTTATATCTTTAATCAAGTATGTGATACTAGAATGTTTTAGATCTTGATTTCGTGAATTTTCAACTTTTATTTGTAATCAGTTATGAAGATGAGCTATTTATAAGGTTTATCTGATTGTGTCAATTATTTTCACAGGTAATACGGAAAATCTGTCTGCCATTATAAAGAAACATGAGGACTTGAGGAATGTCAAGTTAAATCAAGTTTGTGCAGAAGCTATAATTATAGCTACTACAGACGAAACTGGTACTGTAAAGTATGTTAAAACTTTGGAATCAGAGAATCATCAACTTTTAGATCACTACTGTCCAAAAGTTATTGCTTTTGGCTTACAGAATTTTCATATGGAAACCATGAAAGAAATGAGGGAATATACTGAGGGTGATTCTTTCACACAGCTTTTAAATAGCAGAGGACAACATCTGGAAAAGAGTAAAAGAAAGAAACTTTCTGTTAATGAAATCTTTGCAGAAGTTTGGGAACCAGCAAAAAAGCAATGGATTGATCAATGCATAAAATTGAAAATAGGAGACCTGTTCTTTTCAGATTTTCGAAAACATTTTCAGACAGATAATTTAGAAAAGTTAAGACTGGAATTAAAGAAGCATTATAAAGAAGAAAACGCTGATTGGATTGATCAGAGAATTCATCAGTTTAAACAATATAAAACAATTTGCAACTGTTTAGACGGAGCAAAAGCAATTATGAAAATAGTGAGAGCTTATAATTTGAAAGGAAATTTCAGTCAAATACAGGATATTATGAAGTTGGTAAGTGTGACTTGAAAAGGCGTTGTTTTACATTTTTAGAACTTTGATGATTTTTATTTTAAACAGTTTTATTGAATGAAGACACTCATATGAGTAGGTGTGTCTGGAGCTCAAACTCTGAAAGGAGTTTCAGAAAGAGGGTTTTCTGCTTAATGCTTTATGTAAAATCTAACAGGTTCATCAGTAGGTTTAATGCTTGAGTGATACAGCTTCTTCTGTGCCTTTGTTTACAGTCAGGTTTTTGACTCATCTGTGACAATAGATCTAGAATGATAAACTTTGGGATTCTTATCCAGCAGCAGTGATGGCTTATTTATTTGTTTAACTATTAAAATTTCAGGTATAAGACATGGATACTGGTATATCAGATACTATAAGTAATAGGTTAGCTAAGTCTGATCAATGAAATGATTGTAAGGTTTACATGTTCTTTGGTAGGGCTCATATGACACTTGACCCCATTGTCATGGTCGATTGGTCAACATTATCTTTTTGCTGGTTATGTCGGTGTCTCAGAAACTTTTAGCAATAGCTCATTTATATTTGGTGTTAGGAATGATTGTAAGGTGTACATTTCAGTCTGACAGGGTAAATCTAACTTTGACCCCAACACATCATGATCAGTAAAGCAGTTGAGACATTTCAGTGTGTGCACTCTTGATTTGGTATATTCCTTAGTAATTGTATACGGCAGGTCAACATTATTATGTATTTGCAAAATTTGTCAGGAGTATATATGCATACAGCATATGTCGTATCATCTTGATTGTTTAAATATATGATCATATAGTTTCAAAAGGAAGGTGTTTCATAAGGATTGATAGACAACAATGATATGGAGTTTTATAGTGGTCTTTTATTCCCCCAAAAAGATGTTCATAATATACTGCATTCATATGGCTTTGCTCTCTATAACATTGTTATAAAAATGCATAGTTTAACTGTAAAATGTAATTATTTAAAAACTGAAAGCTTCTTTTTGTACTTTTATAGGGTTATTATAAAAAGCATCAACAGAACACAAATTTTAAATTGACTTGACTGCTTCATATGATACAAAATGCACTCTGGTTTTACATTTTTGCACCCCAAAACAACTAGTAAAGTACAAAAAGAAGCAGTCAATTTTTGAAATACCTTTTTGGACTGAAGTATCTTATAATTCATATCTTGGAACTATTCAAAATTTATCATTTTTTCACTCTCTAGACTGGTAATGCTAATACAAAAATGAAGACCCTGGATGAAGATCTACTGAAAACTTGCTCTGTCCTGAGTGAAGTTGATAGTGAAAAAGCAGCATGTCTTAATATGTTTGTTGAATGCAAAAATCTCATTTTGTGGCTAAGACAATCAATGTGCAGTAAGTGTCTTATATTTGCAGAAGAAATCATATACTATATTTAATACAATTCCTGAAATTTTAGTATAGTGAATTATATATATATATATAAAGGCAACAGTAGTATACCGCTGTTTAATGGTCATAAATTGATTAAGCAAAAAATAAATCCAGGTCACAAACCAAAACTGAGGGAAACACATCAACTATAAGAGGAAAACAACAGAACAACAGAAACACTGAACTGCAACAAAAACAAACCCAACATACATAGAAATGGACTATTTGATAACAACTGCCATATTCCTGACATAGTACAGGACATTTTAAGAAAAAAAAAAGGTTGGTTGAACCTGGTTTTATAGCTAGCCATACCTCCCGCTTATATGGTAATGTTAAAAATACTGCTAAAATAACAACATAACGTGACAGGAATACAGTACACATAAATGCAAGAACACTCAGGACAGAGAAAACATGAATAAATAATATGATAGTATATTACAACAGAATAACTATGGACACCTCCCATGAATTTACAACAGTACACCAGGACACCACAAACAAATTATAAACTCCATCACACGAATGTATCAACGCCACAAAAAGTGACGTATTTTTTGTAACATATATTTTATCACAGGTAAATTTCTAAAAATAGAATAGATTAGTTTTATTGTAGTCATGTACAAGAATATAAAATTGGGAATGAGTTTGTAATTGTGTTTTTTTTCTGTATTCAAGAATATAAAATTGGGAATGAGTTTGTAATTGTGTTTTTTTTCTGTATTCAAGAATATAAAATTGGGAATAAGTTTGTAATTGTGTTTTTTTTCTGTATTTTCTAACTATGACAAGGGAGACAAATCGTGATCACCTAATTTTATCCAATCAAAAGTCGGTGATCACGCACTCATCAGTTGATTAATGCTGGCATAGTAAACAATTAAAGAATCGAAGTTTGTTTGGAATTTTGAGTTGTTTTTCTTGGCTTGGGTGTTGGAATCATAAAGATCATGATCATGATTGGCGAGTTATCATTTGGAAAATGTTTCTTTCTCCGCCTAAGAAGGAAAAGCGTGTTGCTTGGTGCAAACACTTGGAGAAATGGGAGACTGATGTAAAATTCAGTGGCTGGTTGTCAAAATCAACGTTAGGGTTGTCACATGCCTTTTGAAAAGTTTGCAACAGAAACTTTAAAATTGACCACGGTGGCCTCAATGACGTCTCCAAACATGCTAGTACTGCTCTTCACCAGAAGTCATTCCACGCACCTTTTAATAGTCCTTTTGTATTTGACATTACAACTGTTGATATTGATCTATATTATATATTGTTGATTAGGTCAAGTTCTATCAGCCCTGAAATTTTCAGTTGTATTTGATAACCCATTGTTGGGTTGCTGCCACTAAATTGGTAATTTTAAGGAAATTTTGCAGTTTTTGGTTATCATCTTGAATATTATTAATGATAAAGATAAACTGTGAACAGCAAAAATGTTCAGCAAGGTAAGATCTACAAATAAGTTAATATGATCAAAATTGTCAATTGACCCCTTAAGGAGTTATTGCCCTTTAAGGACAATTTTACACAATTTGTTTATCATATTTTCTAACTTTAAAAAATCTTCTTCTCTAACACTACTGAACCAATTCCAACCAAACTTAAGCTAAATGATTCTAAGGGTATCTAGAATAAAGTTTGTGTTTTATTTTCTGTTTTGTAAAAAAAAATGGTTGCCATGGCTAAAAATACAATGTAGGGGTAAAATGCAATTTTTGGCTTATATCTCAAAAACCAAAGCATTCAGAGCTAATCTGATGAGGTAAAAATGTTTATTAGGCCAAGCTCTGTCAGCCCTGAAATTTTCAGATGAATCTAATAACCCATTGTTGGATTGCTGCCACTTAATTGGTAATTTTAAGGAAATTTTGCAGATTTTGGTTATTATCTTGAATATTATCAATGATAAAGATAAACTGTAAACAGCAAAAATGTTCAGCAAAGTAAGATCTACAAATAAGTTTGATGACCAAAATTGTCAATTGTCCCCTTAAGGAGTTATTGTCCTTTAAAATCAATTTTTCACAATTTGTTCTTTTAGTTTGCTTACTTTAAAAAATCTTCTCCTTTGAAACTGCTGAATCAATTTCAGCCAAACTTGGGCTGAATGAGTTTCAGAGTATCTAGTATAAATTGTGTATTTTATTTTCTTGAACGTCAAGAAACATAGCCACTATGGCTAAGGCTATTCCATTAAAATGTATATGGGAGGGTAGGAAGGGACTTTCAAAATATCCCTACAACCAAGAACCATTTTTTAGATAATTTTGCATAATGGTAATAGATGCATACTGAAAAAAGACCCATGACCCACATTCAATAATTAAACATCCCTTCCTACCCTCCCACATACATTTTAATGATATAGCCCAAAAATGAAACATAGGGGTAAAATGCATTTCTTTGATTTTGAAGAAAATATGACAGATACAAAGAACATTTCAATGGAAGTTTTAAGCCATTCATTAATATATGTTGAAAAGCAAAAATAATCATTCATGATTGATGAAAGATTTAAGCAAAAAATTAAAGGTGAGCGATTCAGGCTCTTGAGAGCCTCTTGTTAAATTATTAAAATGATTAGGCCATTTATAAAGAATATGTTTGTTTGACCTAAACCTACCTACCCAGAAAATAGCTGCCTACTCAAAAATCTTTTATTGTCCTGATGTGAAAAAGTTTTTTTCTTTAATCAGATCGGCATGAAGACTAAAACACATCTGACACTTTACGGAAGAAAAAAGAAAATGCCTACCTACCTACCCACTTTCTCTACCTTTGGGTAGGATTTGGGCAAACAAAAATATTTTTAAGTGTGGCCTTATTTTTTTTTATTTCTTTACAATATATCAGATAAACAACAAGAAATATTGCTGGTGTTCATCACAATAAAAAGAGTACAACAATCATAAAAATAAAAAAGAAGAACTTTTGCTTAGTTTACATGTATTAGTTTGTGATTAGGTCAGTTTATGGAGAACCACTAGTGGTAGATCAATGATATTTGGTATGCAGTTGTATAAGCATTGGCACATCTCATTTCCATGGATATTATTTGGCCCTGCCCCCTCAGTCATAGTCTATTGACTTTGAAACTTTTGCTTAGTTTACATGTATTAGTTTCTGATTAGGTCAGTTTATGGGGAACCACTAGTGGTAGGTCAATGATATTTGGTATGCAGTTGTATAAGCATTGGCACATCTCATTTCCATGGAAATTATTTGGCCCTGCCCCCTCAGTCATGGTCTATTGACTTTGAAACTTTTGCTTTGTTTACATATATTAGTTTGTGATTAGGTCAGTTTATGGATAACCACTAGTGGTAGGTCAATGTTTATTGGTATGCAGTTGTATAAGCATTGGCACATCTCATTTCCATGGAAATTATTTGGCCCTGCCCCCTCAGTCATGGTACATTTACTTTGAAACTTTTGTTTAGGTAACATGTATTAGTTTGTGATTAGATTAGTTTAAGATGAACCGCTAGTGTTAAGTCAATGATATTTGGTATGCAAATTTATTGGCATTTGCAAGTCTTGTTTCAATGGAGATTATATAGCCCAACCCCCTCAGCATGGTTCATTGACTTTGGTTCATTGACTTTGAAAATTTTACATAGTTTACAAGTTAATGTTTGTGTTTAGGTTTGTTGAAAAGGATCGACTTATGATAATTCAATGGTATTTGGTATGCAGTTGTATTAGCATTGGCACATCTCATTTCTATAGAGATTGGTTCATTGATTTTGAATATTTGCATAACTTAAATGTTAAAGTATTGCTATGTTAATTTCAACATTTGCATTATCAAAATTAAAAAAAGGTGAGACATATCTCTATGTTAAGGTGGTACATAACACTACAGGGAGATAACTCTGTAAAAATCAGCTGAACATTTTCATCACGTTCTATTGTTAAGGAAATATTAAGCTTCTCAATGATCAAAATTGATGTTTGTCAAACTGCTATATATCCAATGAATTTTTTCCGATAAAGTGTGTGGTTCAACTTTTTTGAAATTTTTATATTTTTGTTAAAGGGTCAAAGTAAATATTTTGTCAAAATTTTATGAAAATTAAACGAGCCAAATTAATTTTAGTCAAGGTGTTTGGTATCACCTTAACAGTTTATTATTCATATGTGAAACAGTTTACTTTAGAAAGAATTTTCCAAAGATATTCTTGAGTTCCGCAATTTTTTTGTTTTATCAACTGTCAGAGTGTAGATGAAATAAAATTAAAATTTATCTTTTGCCAGACTAGTTCTGAAAAAGGTTAACACATGTGTCGTAAATTCTACTTCTTGCTATGTTTTGTCTATAGTATTAAAGCCAGCAAATACGAATAAACCCACAAAACTTGTGACTAAACTAAGGGATAAATAAATACGGCCGTTAAATCTGTTGTCTGTTCTCTCTCATCATTGGTAGCGTGAATAAAAAATCAATAGTAGAAAATGATACTTTATTAAACTTCTAGAACAGCCGATATATTTCCATACATGTACAATATTCGAGCAACAATTATATAATTTACATACGGTGCGGAGCTACTAAAATAACATTCTTTCTCTTGTATTTTTGTACGGACCAAACGGGATTATCTTAATAAATTCTACAATGTCAATGGCAACGTAAATAAATGCAAGGCATACAGCTATCTGCGCTGCTTCTTACCTCTAAACTACGACCCTTACTTGTAATATAAACTGCGAGGCATACAGCTTAATGCGCTGCTGCTCACCTCTAGGAACCCCCGGGCTGAGCCTTGCTGCAAGCCAAATGTTAACACAGCAAAGACTGACGAACGTGACGTTGCACAGTTATTTATTTGAAATTCCCGGAAGTAAATATTCTAAGCAGGAAGAAAAACATAACGTCAAACGCTGACATAAAATATACAAGTCCTCAACTCAAAATGCTTATAATAATACACTTTTGTTACTAAAACAATCAAGACATATTATTTCTTCCAGTTGAGAGCTCACAAATGAACACTTTTGGGTTCACGATTACAATATTAACCCAACGGTAACGTTCTGAATAATACATGACAAATTTGCGCCATATATGACGTAATCGATACATCTAATAACATAAAGTAAAACGTACGTTAATTACTCATTCAATATACTAGAAATACTAGAAATAAATTCTGACAACTCATATAAACTCTCTTAATACAATAATAACAATATTTCTTTACTTGGAAATAACCAATACACACATTTACAACAACATGGTATGATTTTTGATCTCACATCAGTTACAATCTGTAATACAAAATGTTATATAGTTTAATTTGGAATAGATTCTTTTAAGTGAAATTCATACATAAATTAATTGAAAAAGTAGTTACATTTAAGAGAGATTTTTATTGTATTCCATAAGTATGTTTATTTCCCTTATTTATTTATTTTTTTTATAGCTCAAATGAACTTTGCATGTTAAACCATCTCTCATAAAGTATTCTTAAACAAATTACTCACAGAATGAAAATGAAATATGCTGTGACAGATCATCTAGTTTGAATTTACTCATATCATATAAAGATAGTTCATGTTAAATTCATATATTCTGTACTTCAGGTATCAAAGAGTTGCAGGTATTTGTAGACTTGGCTAGTACATCTACAGGAGAAGGAGACATGGCTGTAGCTAGAGTACATTGTTTACATTCTGCTACAACAGGATATGGACCACTGATTTTTAACTTCAATGAAAACTGTGATGATAAGGCATTTCTCGAAAAATGCAAACAAGTATGGAGAGTGCTGTCAACTGATTCAAAACTTCCAAAGAAACTGGTATAAATACGTTTTCCATTACCATTCTGTACTGAGACTACAGAATAGTTTAATTCTGTTGTCTTTTTATCTTTTACATAAAATGTGATTCAGTTGTAACTTCCCAAGTCAAATTGAACTGCTATCATTAGCTGTTTTTTAGCTGTTATTTACCAGTTCTTCACATTTTTAGCAGTCTTTTAGCTGTTCATAGCAGTCCATCTATTAGCAGTTTGAAAAACTGCTTTATTTCACCATTTCTTAGCATTCATCTTAGCAGTTTGGATACCTTCTTAAACTGCTGTCAATTTGTCAATTGGACAACAGTTATCAGACAGCAGTTCAATAGCAGTTTGATAGCAGTTTTGGTTTTAATCTTTGTTACAAAAATGCTTGAATCTGGCTGTGTTTTCGGATTGAAAGTAAACCTTTATTTGAAGATTATTTTATCATTTTCAAATGTGCATTTTGGCTCCAAGCTGTGTGTAAATACTTGCTAGTGAAAAACTGTATTTTTGTCAATTATAAAGTTTAATTTTTGCTAAATGGAATATTACTTTCACACACCTGCACTACAGTAAGTTGAAGTTTAGTTTAATGCATGTGTATTTTATGACTAACTTTGTAGAGGAAAACAAATCATACAGGAAGCCCCAAAAAAGGGGGATAGTTGTTTATTCACATAGAATATCTGGTTTACAGGATTGTGATAAAATACTAGCATAAACTTACAGTGCAAGATGTTATTTGAAAACAAAAACAAAAAAGAATATTTTAATATAATTTTGTAAAAAAAACAAAAACAAATCATATTCAAGAGTTGGAAAAAAGGGGGAGGGAATATATTGAGAAACCTAGGTTGCAAATAGCTGATAAGTTAATATTGACCAAACAATCCATTTAATGATTTAATGAAGTTAATATATGTTTCTTAAGTTTGTTTCAGAAAGTGGAAACATAATATATTACATGTATTAAGAAATTAAAAAGTCACTCAGGAGATAACTGTTGTCTTTTGGTCCACATAAAAAATATATATAGAGAGAAATTAGTAGTATACATTTGGTAATTAAAGAATAATTAAAAAGAATAACTTTTAGTCTGAAAATCACTTAGTCATGGTAATTAATAGTCTCTAGTAACCTCTCTTATTGAATAAGTTGATTTTTATAAGCACTGATATTTAAAGTGCATTCTTAACCATTCCTATTATTCGGCTACTGACATAATCAATAAGGGGTCTAATGCCAGGTACAGTACTCACAAAACATGTTTACAGCCCCTTAACAAGTCTGTGATTGGATTAAAATAGCGTCATTTGATTTACAAATATAAGTTACTACAACTTTTTGAAATTTCAACAAAAAAAAAGACTTAAAATATTAGAATTTTTATGATTTTTGCATTCATATCTTATACACTGTACTGTATATTCATGTACATGTACCTTTGTATTCTAACTTTTGGCAGATCTGATAGCATTCCATAGCAGTTATTAGCAGTTTAGAAAACCATATTAGGATGAACAACTTAGCAGTTTGTATGACTATTCATTATTGATAGCTGTTATTATAGCAGTTCTCATGAATATTCAGAGAAAATAGCAGTTTTGGGGTATCTCATTTAAATTTTTCGTCAAAAATAATTAAAAACAATGTCTTTTAGCGTGGCACATATGAAAATCTAGAATGGCTTAAATCTGTAAAGAAATCTCATGGTTCAGTGGAAGTAAACTCATTAGCCCAAGCAGAAGCCATTAATACCAGTGGAGTATATGAAGTTGGATATTCTGGAGTTGACACACCAGTGAAAAAACTGGTAAGAAATTAGTTAAAATACTGGTATCCCTGTTAATAAAGGTCACCCCTTGAACCAGAAAAAAATGACATTATAAGAAAGGTCACATTTGAATTGATGGTCAAAATGTAAAGGTATTACTGCAGCAGCAAAGAAGAGGTTGTCCTGGCAAAACAGGTTTTCATAACATGATATTCAACCAAATGATGTTTTTTATTTCACTTCAAAGCATGCAATGACATTTTCTTCCTATTTTTATGCATAATAGAAATTTAAATGCTAATATTGATAAGGATAAACAAATTTTAGACTTTTAATCCTCAATCTCTGTTTGTTAAACCAAAAGAATAAACAACAAAAAGGCATTAAACATGTATAAGCTCAAGACTTTAGCAGTATTTTTTTAATTGCCTAAAAAAGTCTAATTGTAAAACAAAATATTCTTTGAACATAAAATGTTAATAATTTCTTTGAATTGTAGTTGCTTACAGATGTGCTTAAATTGTCTGTAAGTCAAGAAAAGGAGAATGATGCCTGTAAAGAAGAGTTAGAAATGAATTCAGAGGAAAGAAAGGAAACCTTTGTATCAAAGACTGAAGAAAAGAAAAAGTACAATTATCAGCAACTTCAAGATCTGCAGTCAAGATTGATGTTAGTTGCTGGGAAAGCTGAAAAAGGAAATGATGAAGTGGAAAGATTTACTATGGTAAAAATGTATAAACTTACTTGGTACTGCAAACTCTGTACATAGGCAGATTTAGGGGGCAGTGTGCTCCACCCCTCTCTCCTTATTGAGCTACATATATGGTTAATTCATAGACTTTTTACATGTCCCACTCCTGACATTGCCTAGTTTGCGGGGCCAAGGGCTACATTTTATCACAAGATAGTAATAGCTGATAGAAAAAAAGAGTTCATACCTTTTGTCTTTCTTAAAATTTGAACATGCAGAGTTGTAATATAAGGCTTGTGAAGGAACGCCAATCCAATTATATGGCAATATGGTTTAATATAGTAAAATGTTAACTCAAAATCCAAGAAAAATCAAAAACAATTTCCAAGTCAATGTCTAGTGACCTGATGAAGACAGCTAGATTCTTTAATATATATTGTTTAGAGATTTATAACTGAATTAAAAAACATTACTTTTTTAGATTTTGGACTCAGTGGTAAGGCTTGGAAATATATACACAAAGCTGGTTTCTGATGGATGTGTTTTATTTGCAAACTGGAAAGCAACTTTTCTGTGTGATAAAAAAAGAGCAGTTTGTGTATTTATCAATTTTGGTCATGGGATACAAATGCAAACACTGAAAGGAAAGACAAATGATGTGTCTTCCATCATACCCAAAATTGCAGAATTCTTAGAACACTGCCACAGAACATGGCTCACTTATATTACTGAAAAGAGGGAACAACACTATTTGCTGAATTATTATACCATTGACCAGATAGTGATACTACAACAAGAACTTGTAAAAATGGGCTTGGAACAAAATCTAACTGATCTTATTTATCCCATGCTATCAGCAGTGAAGCATAACTGTACAAAGGAGGACCTGATCAAGGCATTGTCCATGGCAAAGCATGATGTCATTCAGAAGGAATCCTCTGCAAATGCAAATCTTGCAGCAGATAGTGAATCAGAAATCTTGGCTGAAGTAGAACTGGATGAAACAGCTGAAGCTTTGTTAAAGCAGATAATTGACAATGGATATCCAGAGGAGTTAGCTAGAGAAGCCTTGAAACACTGTGATGAAGACCTTGAAGAAGGTTTATATTTTATCTCCTATTAAAAAAGGAATTTGCTTTGGCCCCTTAAATTTATAGGTAATACTCATTTTTGTTTTTTTCACAATACCTAAAAACCTTTGAAAAAGAACTTAAAAAAGCATATTCATTTTAAAATCCACAAAATTATTGCTGGCTAAACTACTTTGAACTGTGAACATTGGATGCAAGTTAAATAGTCCAGTTCTCTCCCTTGTCATCCAAAAAACTTTACTACCTATGATGCTTGGGTTTTATTTCCAATAGCTTTGTGTTTAAAACATTTGCACACAGAAGTTTGATGAGATATATTGGAATCAGTCAGTCAGTCTGTCTGTATCTTGACCATTCTTACATTGGCTATTACATGTTCTTGAAACTTTGTTAATTTGTAGATCCATTATGATAGTGCATATTTGATGTTTCTGTCAGTTGAGTCTGGAAATTTTAATTATTTATTTATTATCAATTTTGTCACCACAACTTCTGGTTTATGATTTATTGTATGGACACAAAACTGAGTAAAATATTAGATTCTTATATTTAACTGTGTATGTTGCAAGGATGTTCTGTTCCAGTGAATTTTTTTTAATGGTGGTAATTTGTTCAATCAGTTATCATACTTTATTATAATGATATATTTTATAGCTCTTTTATGGTGTGACGATCATGAAGATGATAACATTATTAAAGTGACACAAGAACAGATTGATGTGGTTTCTGCAGACAAACTTCTGGAGGAAACACCATATTCTGGATGGTTACACTCAAGTCAATCAAGGGCATCAATGACAGCAGGTCTGGTACACCAGCTTGCCTTGGACCCAGAGTAATATTGTTTTTCTTGTTTGTATGCCCCCTGCAGCAAAATGTTTGGGGGGGAGGCATATTAATTTACCCCTGTCCGTCCGTCCGTCTGGATTAGGATACATTGTTTGTCCAACTATCTTCTCCTACAGTTTTGGAGATACAGCTTTAATATTTTGTAGGATGTTCAAACACATAATGGAGGTGTACATGGCCACAGAATTTTGATTTTTTTCAAATATTATGAAAATGACAGGTAGTTGGACTTAAACATTTTTGCGGTACTAGCTGCATAAAGAAATCATGGTTTGTCCGGCTATCTCCTCCTACAGTTGCATCATCATACATAGTGTTAAATTTATAATTTCCTATGGTCAGGCAGGGACATCATTTGTGTCTTACTGTTTGTCAAATCTAAAATATATGGAACTATACTCATGCATATGACAGAGCAGAAAAGGGGGGCATTGTCCATATCTAGTTTGTTAATTATATCTGATTTTTTTAAGCTCAAGTGTCTCCAGGGACCAGTGTGAACCACTGGTATGAAATAGTGGCCTTTGTCAACTGATTTGAATTAGGCATGGCATAAAAAGAGAGCTAAGTATTGTTGTGCATCACCAAAACAAAACCCTAACGGGCTGAGATAATGGTACTCAAGTCATCTTTCAAATTCATCTAACAGTGTCATGCATGTCTAACTGCTTTTATGATGTGAGAATAACAATGACAAAAATCTACATATTCAAAACAAGAGACTTTAATTTTCTTTTTTCTTTAAATAATTTTACATAGCATTAAACCTCTATTGTTTAACATAGTAACAGTTATAACATTTATATCATTTGATTTATTAACTATTCTTCAGGCAAAATGCTTTTAAAAAATTACACTCTGCATTACAAGACCTATGGGACAAGTTTCTGAATTCAGTATCCTCCAGTGTATCTGATTACCTTAGTGCTGAGCATCTTGGTCTCATTTTGGAAAGATTGGCTGAACAAGGTAGATATTTTACAAATTTTAAACTAATGTATTGGCAGACAAAAAAGCTGAAGTGACATTTAAGGATCTCCTCTCTGCCAGATTGTTTTGCAGTCCATGTCATGGGTATCACCCTTTATTTTAATCCTTGAAAATGGTTTGATATAGGAAAGACTTTGTAATCCTGGATTACCCATGTTGGTGAAAAGTTTATTTTAAAATCCTGGGAAATGCATTTTTTTTAAAAAGAAAAATCTTATTCTTGTAGTTAGTAGAAGTATTTATTTTTATTGGCATTTTCCCCTTTGATCTTACTACCTAATATGTTTTAGATCATGGACAGGCAGTTATTCTCTAAAACATTAGGCAACTATATCACATTAAAATGCAGCAACTTAATAATTCCATGTTCATCTGCATTTATTTATCAATGAAATTCATGCAACTTCATTCATAAACCCAAACAATAATCCCAACATTTTTTACGTGCAAGATAGTTTTATTAACCATTTCATGTTATTTCATTTTCTAAACTAGGTAATCATATTGTTTAGAGAAATTGCAGATAAAAAGAATTAAATGCATTTTATTTTTATGCCCCATTTATGGGCATTATGTTTTTCAGTCTGTGCATCTGTTCAGGTTAAAGTTTTTCAGGTTAAAGTTTTTGGTCAAGGTAGTTTTTGATGAAGTTGAAGTCCAGTCAACTTGAAACTTAGTACACATATTCCCTTTGATATGATCTTCTAATTTTAATGCCAAATTAGAGTTTTGACCCCAATTTCACTGTCCACTGAACGTAGAAAATGATAGTGCGAGTGGGGCATCTGTGTACTATGGACACATTCTTGTTTAATAATGACTTCATCAACTGGACCTACTAGGCTCACTTGATATCCATGCTGGAGAAGTCGGTATCAAAAATGAAAATACCCTTATTATATATGTATTATCTGGATTCAAAAACGCAGTCAATACCACTGTCCTACGGGCAGTCCATGTATCACGATAATGACCAGTTCTTCAATAACTATCATGTTTATTTCATTGAGGAACCATGTTTTTAAAAATTCTCATAAATTCAAATTATTCAAAGCAAACTCAAGTTATTGTACGATTTCTATGGAAAAGAGTGAAGACCAGTCATAGTGATAACTATAAGTCACTGCCATTCATTTAAGTGCAATTTTTCAGTATATGAATACAAAATAAAGTTTTCTATAATTTTATGATTAACGTAAACAATTCAACAACTTCAATATAAAATTGGGGCCTCGGTGGCCGAGTGGTCTAAGTAGTTCAACTACTGTATCACTAGCCAGTCAACACTGAGGTTGTGAGTTCGAATCCTGCACGGGGCAGGTGCACTCTACTCCAGTATTAATTGACTAGGATTGTCAGTTTTCCTACCGAAGGTTGTGGTTCTCTCCGGGCACTCCGGCTTCCTCCACCAATAAAAACTGACCGCCACGAAATAGCACAATAGTGTTGAAAGTGGCGTTAAACACCAATCAATCAATATAAAATTGACATCACTCTAAACAGAGAAACCACGCCCCACTGGTCATTAACATGTAAAAGTCCAGTTTTCTGGTCCGTTTTTTTCAGTTAAAGACTGCAGATGGAATTTTTTACTAAAGAATAAAGAATGTCATATGGCCCCTTGTTGTCCAATAAGAGAAGCCAATTCTTAACCTATATGGAATAATACCCTTTAAAGATTTATGAAACTTTTGAGTCATTTACAAAAAAAATTGTCTAGAATTTAAATGAATTGTTTTATTGATATGTAAAATCTTATTTTTTTTACAGAAACTGTTACCATTGAAAGAACATTGCCAGCTTACTTCAAACTTGGAGAACCAAATCTTGTCATCGTTCAAGAAAGTAAGAAAATAAAAAAGAAATACTGTACGTGTAGTGTGTATTGAACAATTATATTCCACAAATATTTTGTATAGGCATAAGGTTTGTAATACACCACTTTCAAGTTCCATTATTTACTTTGAGTGACTTCAGTTTATGTTGATTGACCTAATGTCTTTGTTTTCAGTGGTAACACTACAAAGTTACAAGAAAACATTTTATTTTCATCAATGATGGACAAACATGAAATTGATGTAAATGATATACCACTTGTGGAAAATTCCTTAATATGTGTGCTATGATTTACTATAGATGTATATATAGTGGGGTATGCTTAGCATCACAACATGTGCATTTTTGTTAATTGACTATCCCGCCAAAATGTGATTTTGAATCATAACAACTGACTTGCTTAGCTCTTGCTATCTGTTTACCAACAGGGAAAGTACCAATCTCTCTGTCTTGTTCTTCTGTTATTTTTAACAAGCATAATATGGTTTCACACATTCATATCGGTTAAGAGTTTTCCAGAGGTCTAGGACAAAGTAAGAGTGCAAATATATATTAGCATTAATGGCGTAATTGAAGGCAATTAAGTATGTAATCAGATTTGACTTATAGCTGTTTTAATTTTCTAAGACCTAAGAGATATGTGCACCTAAAAAAATTTTTTATAATAATTTTGACTTGAATTCTTCTGACTGAAAAAAAACCAACAGAAATTTAGAATTAACAGTTGTTAAGATTTAGGTTTTGTCTTTCCTTCTTGTATGATCAAACCCAGCTTACATATTTATTATGATATTTTCAGATGAGATCTACAACACATGTTTGTCAATTTACAACCATGAGGATGAAAAACCACTGCCGCAGTCGGACGAAGTACTTCTCTGTTCTCCTAGCACTACACTGGATATGGTAAGAAGTTTGTGTAGTCATTAAAGACCCTATACTTTGATTAAACAAGCTGTATGAAGAATTTATTTTGAATCAAATCAAGAAGACTATTCTTTGGATGTGGAAAATCCTGGATTTTTTTTTCATTTTTTGCTCATGATCAATAAGTTTATTATTAAAGCTAATTATAGTTTATTGTTTTGTTCTTTTTTAGGTAGAAATCTTCTGGAGGAGAGCTTTATTTGCAGAAAATGATAAAATCTACTGTTTAATTAATGCTGACCTCTTGGACTATGATATTGCTGATAGAGCTGAAAGAAATCTGCAAAGTCTGATGACAAGCTTAAAAAGCAAGGGTAATTGTTTTAAATCATGATAAGCATGGATGTGGATGTGATGTGCTGATTGGAGTGTTCATCCTGTAACCAGTTTCTCATGATTTACTTGTACTTCTTATGACAGCAGAGAATTTCTGTCTGTTTTTCCATCTGTCCATTAAAGTTTTGTCACATTTTTTTCATCAACAGCAAATTAGAGCAATTTGGAAATAAGTAAAATCATTGGTATTGGGATAATTTTTCCATAGGTTAAAGTGAAGTTTTGATAAATAACCATAGTGTATTTTAAAGTTACTTTTAAGGTATACACTTTAACCATGTTGTATAATATTCCATAAACTGTTCATGCATCTACAGAAAATCAGTCTGATATATTTCTTTATTGTATTTTACAGCTAAAAAGTATAAACTAGTAATCCTCTGTTGTGCAGAAAATGAAAACAAATCAGTAATTGTTAGAGCTTTATGTAAATTTCAAAGACCACAGTTGTTTGCAGTAGAGATTCAAAATGTAAAGCAGTATCTTCTGGGAATGTTAAAAGTTGAGGAACCAGTGCATGGTATTAAACCTGCAGCAGGGGTAGATTTTGAAAGGTTTGTTTTTTGAAAATTTTTGTTTACCTAGTGCATCTTGTTAATAGCAGGTAGATGTTTAGAAGACAACATTTTTTCATGACATAATTAGCATAATAAACATTGCATTGGTATTTTTTTTTTAAAGTTGCTTGAATTTCTGCGAAGAATAGATCAACATAATTATTTTATATCCTTTGATAACTACATCATACGTTTTACAAAAAAGTTATGGTCACATCAACCTGAAACTTAATACACATTTTCATTGTGATTTGAACTTTTGTAAATGTATGGCAAATAAGGCTTTCATTCAGATTTTGCATGGAAATTTGATATTATGAGCAGGCCATGGTGTTCTTTGATCATCTGTTGTTTAAAAAGATGATGCAAGTGAGCATTTTTACTGAATTTTTGTTTGCTTGCTTGTCCTTATGCATGGTGACAAAATAGGTCAATGGAGTAGTATGCATCTTGTCCAAATTTTTCAGAGTATGTTTGAAGACAAATGTTGACACCTTCATTGTTCTAGCCTGAAGTAAGTGTTAGGATTGTCCAATTCTTGTGAAAAATTACCATGAGAATCAATTTGAACACTGAAAATAATGTTGAAAACATTTGTTTTCTTTTTAAGAGAAATAACTACCATACCAGGTAAAAGTTTAGAAAAAATGGTTATGTTATGTCTTATAGTTGGGCAGGCGATCTCTATGAGTATGCTATTTTTGTCCTATGTATAACAAATAAATTTATTAACATATCAAGTGTAAGTAACTGCTTACTGTTATGGAACATGTGTGTTTTTGGTGGGGTTCATGGTGCTCTAATTTGTAATAGGTGTCTATGATTTTAGCTTTTTTTTTCTTTTGGTGATTGTGTTTTTCTGTCCTTTGACTATGATTGTGATTTCCCCCTGTGTATCTTTTTTCTCAAATGAAAAGAAATTTATAAACAAAATTGTTGTAAGAGGTAATTTTAAATGACAGAGTCAGAGACTAAAAAAACAACTTACAGCTAGTTTCATTCATACTTATGCTATTTGATTAACAATAAAGCATCACTAATTTTACATTTCAGATCTACTGTAAGAGTCGTCAAATCTTGTAGAGCTGGTGTAGGTAAAACTCTTTACAAAAAACGAATGGTCAGTGATTTAGATAAGCAGAGTGGAAGGAATATGAGATCTGACCAAAAGGAATTAACCATTCCTTTACATGATAAATCCATTGACCTTGATGAAATTATGTCTGCTCTTCTTGCGGTCACTCTTCCACCAGGAGAACTGAGACCTAGAATCTTTCATGTTGATTTGTCCCATGAGGTGAGAGCTGTTTGATTTAAGCATATTATATACTGTATCCTGGAAAGGCATTCAGAAATCTTTTCTGCAGTAGAAATGACAAATCTACTAATTAGAATGTATATGCACACACAAGCAACACAAGAATTGATAAATTACTTTGATCTACAAATGGATTTCTGTTAAAGTGCCCTCTCTTATACATGTACCAGTACATTTAGAATTAAAAAAAAAAATAATCTAAACTAAAGCTGTTTTTGTTTTTATTTGTAGGTACTACAAAATATAAGACTTCAATCTTAGAGAATTGGACAATAAAGAGAACATCTCATGCTTACTCAAGATTTTTCATCGAATCTCTTAGCAATTTTATACAATTTTAAATGGAATAATATATATAATAAAAACAAATGTCTGTATTTACATTTTAATGGCAGTTTTTATTTCTTTTTCTATTTGAAGGTTCAGAATGGTGTAGATGCCTTTTTGTTCAAGCTCCTTGTTTTAGGATGCCTGACAAATAGTTCAGGATATGTTTGGAGGAAGTCAGCCATGGATTACTATATTATCGAAACATTACCTCTAATGGTCACAGATACAAACTCAAAGGTCTTGTAATATGTTAGAACTTTATTAATCAATAAAACCATTTCAAGAATGGGTATTTTCCTTCTTTCATTGACATTTTACAGACTTAGATTAATAATTGTAAAATGGTGAGGTACTGAAATATTATTTTTATACCCTGCCTATAATAGACCAGAGGTGAGGCATATTGTTTTTCCATCTGTGGGTCAATTCATCTGATCATCTGTTTGTCAGCCCTGATCAGGTTAAAATTTGTTTTAAGGTCATATCAACTTGAAACTTAGTACACATGTCTATTTTGATTTAAACTTTTAAAAAATATATTCCATTTAAGGTTTTTATCCCAGATACAGTTAACTAAACATGGAAATGTAATAAAGTGAATGGGCATTGTGTCCTATTGACACTAAAATTTTTTAATTTTTATATACCGTAATTCCTCCATCTTGTTAAAAACTTTTGATGCTGAAAAATGGATTTGTGAAATTAATTGTAAGATTTAATCTCATTATTTTCACATTACAGAGAGGAATGCTCAAGTGTCTGCACCATTGTTTAGAAATATTGCCGTCTGTGGTGTGTAGGTCACCACAGGAGAGTTTGGAAATCATGTCAGATATTCGAAAGCCACCTGATTATACTCCACATGATAGATTGTTCGACTTAGTGGAATTCAAAAGTACAATTTTCCAAAGACCATATCAGTACTTGAAGAGACTTGACACAAACTGTAGATTAGATGATGTGAGACCCAAAATTCCAGAGGGTGAAAAGAAGCATTGTTTACTTACTTTGTTGAGGTATTTATATGATATGTAAATGCAATAATTAAGTTAAATTACAGCATTATTCATACAACTATTAATCTAACCTTTTGTTAGTAATTTTGGCCAGCACCAATTCTTATACATTATACATAGTTTTATAGATTTAACACCCAAACTCATGCACGCCTAGGTTTGGGTTGCCCTATAGTGATCAGTCTGTCTGTCCGTCTTTCCTTCCGTAACAAATTGTGACCGCTCTATATCTAGAGAACCGTTTTAATTTTATACTTGACATGTATATTAACCAACACCAGAGGGTGTGTCATAATGTATGTACAATTTCCTAGGTCAAAGGTCAAGGTCAAAAACTTTGGTTTCAGTTGACAACCCCATGTCCTATATGGTACAGATCATGTCCTCTCTATATCTTGAGAACCGTTATGATATCAAAGTTTATACTTGACATGTATATTAACCAACACTAGAGGGTGTGTCATAATGTATGTACAACTTTGAAAGAAATAATTTGCTTCTTTGTGTTATATTTTTCTTATTTGAAGTAAAATCCATACACCCTTTTTCAAAAAGTTGCAGCCCCTCAGCAAATTATCATTTTTTTAACATTTAATTAGCATTCTTTTTCGGTGGGTCATAATATATTGAAGGCATAATTCTAAAAATATGTGACAAATAGCTATTGAGCAGCACCTTAAACATAACATTATTCAAACATCAACCCATATATCCAGAAGTCACCTAGTGGTCAACAATGAATTCACACCATGCAGTCATATCACTATTATACTATGAAAGTAAGTTCAGGATATTTATCAGTTTAATTAAATTGCCAAATAAAACACTTTAACTAAAAAACATAGAATAAATTCACTCTCAGTACATAACGAGACTATGTAATAACTTAAAAAAGTGCTTCATATCAGCTTATCCATACAAATTTTTTACCAGACGTTATTTAAAGCGGGGCCCACAGAGATGGCTCCCATCTCAATGATGTCTAGTTGTTCTTTTTACCTGTTGTTTCAATTTTAATTTTATCATTTATTGAAATTGAATTAAAAATTACTCATGTAAAAAATCTTGGATAAGGATACTTTATATTACTGGAGTTCTATCTAAATAATATTAACTTTCATACCTGTCATTTTAAGTACAGCTGTTCATAGAATAGAATAACTGCTTGGAAAAAATAGAGTTGACATTACTTTGATTTCAGTTATAATAAAAATATTTGAAAAGTTCTTGTCCATAGAATGTGGGTTAGATGCCATTTTCAGTGTATTGGCCTTCCACAATTCCATCCATAGTTTCAAATTTGAAATATGGGGGTTGCAAAATATTTTGGTGGGTTGGCCTAAAATTTTTGTAATGACACAGGCTAGGCAAAGAATGAAGAAGTTTAAAAAGGTTCAAAACATGATGTGATACTGGTAAATCTTATTTAATGTTTGCAAAATATAAGGGCCAGTGATATATAGCTCAAAAGATATAGTTACTCCCAAATTACCACTCTCTTTGCACACAAAAAAGGACACACAAACTATACCTTCCAGCTTTCTATCATCCTGAATGTCATTAAATAGATCTTAAAACCTGAAAAAAACCATTCTGAAAAAATATGCTATTTCCATGAGATTTCCAATTTCTTATAACATGAGCTTCAGTCAACAATTTTTCAACTTAATAAACTACAAGAAGAAGCATTCAAATCTTGGATAAAACAGTAAAGGTTTAACTAGCAGATTTGAAAATAAGAAATAATGTAAATAAAATAGATTTTATGGTGATCTTTTGTTTATATTAAGATTTATCTTGTAGACACTGTGGAATAAGAGATCCATCATGGTCAGAATTACACCACTTTGTTAGCTTCCTGGATGCCCAACTACAGGACTTTGAAGTTTCATCATTTTGTAGCTCAGTTGCTTTGCAAGATTTGCCAGGATTTCCAAAATTTGTATTAAGATTTCTTATACAAATGTCAAGGGTATGTATAGAAAAATGTACTCTGTTTTAAGATAGGACCTTGACACCAAAATGGTCATGGATGAAAATAAATATTAATAACGGTAACCATAATATAAAAATAAAAGGAGATGGTATGATTTTCAGTGAGACAACTATCTGCCAGAGATTTAATGAAGTGGATTTTAAGAACTTATTGTTCACTGTACTACCTTCAACAAGGAGCAAAACCCATACTGTATAGTAAGTATATATGAAAGGCCCTAGCATGGCAAAATGTAAAGCTATTCAGACAAGAAGACCAATGGTCAGATCTATGCTAAAACAATAATGAAAAACAAATATGACACACAGCAACCAATGACTACCACTGACTTGGGAACAGGCTCATACAGAATGTGGCTGAAGATTTCAATACAGCTTGCATTGAAAATTCTACACACATTCTTTAACAAAAAAAAGAACATTATAGCAAAAGGATAAGAGAATCACTTTATATCATTGTCTTCTTTTCTAGGATTTTTCAACTAGATCACTAGTTGTGAGTGAAGAATCACCTACACAGGTTTTCCAAGTCATACAGGAAAATGAACCACAAGAAGAAAATGATGGGATTATAGAACAGTATCAAATGAGGAGAACTTGGGAATCAAGGTAGAATTCTTTTTAAAATACTTTGAACAATAAGACAATTTTGCTCCTTTTTGGGTTAAAATATACAGCATTAGTTAATTCATAGAAGCTTTATGTTAAGGTTTGTTAATTTTACAGAAAGATTTAGAACAGGTCAGTTTATTATACCCCAATTCTAGGAATGGGGTTATATATTGCAATCACTTTGTTCATGTCCATTTGTCCAACATTTTTCATGTACATTGTACTACTAAACAGAAATACTTCATATTTTATCAGCAGCTTGACAATTACAAGTTGTAACAGAAGGATTTAAAACATTTTTTGATAAAGAAAATCATAAGAATTGAATCGCCATTCATTCATGATTGCAACTTTATTTCAACTTATAAATATCAGCTGGATTTAATAAGGTCTATCATTCTGCTGTCACCTATTGTTACCTCCAACCTTGACACATCTGGTCAGAAGGCACAACATGAGTTGTTGCCATTATTTGTGATTAGTCCTTGTATTTTCTGATTACTTTTTATATAATATCCTTCTCTTAATCAAATATATTTCAAGTTTTCTGGTACTTATACATTCTTGGCTTTAAAATTTTTGGGTTTGAGCATTCTTGATGAAGGCTTATCAAAAAAAAGCACATCATACCCACCAAATTTATAAAGTGTTATTTACAAATTCTGAAACCAAAGGGTAAATTAGAACCAAATTTTGCCACAATTTTCCATAGTTAATTACAAACTTGTGTCAATGCTATAAAAAAAGGTTTTAAAATGGAAATTAAATGCATCATTTACAAAAAAAAATAATGTAAAGGTCCAACACAGTTTCAATTCATTTGGAAATGATAGTTATGATATTTCATAAATGAATTATGATTGATAACATGCATGCATGGCTATTACCATACCAATGAAGAAAAAATATGATCCCCAAAATTGAGGTAAAAAACAATGAAAAGAGTTTTTTAAAGTGACAATCTGCCTAAGAATCAGGCAGTGGTGAAAACATGACAAAAAAAACCCACTCAAGTTGACATTAACTTATGTTCAAATTGTATCATGGTGCACGAATATAACATTCGTTTCCTCTTCCTGTTCTGGTAACTCAAGATATAATTTGGTTGAAATGCACTAGAAATTAACAATTAAAGGGAGATAACTCTGTAATTTGCTATCATTCTAACCAAAAGTTATCTAGAGATTTCTCGAATTACCAGAACAGCAGAAACAAAAGACCTACCATTTCTAACTCAGGATGAGGGTAACTTCAAAATAGGATAGATTGGTCGGTGGGTTTTTTTCGGCCATGTTTTGAAATTTTTCTAAATTGCCTGATTCTTACAAAGACCGGCACTTAAAGGGTCATACTTATCTAATTGATGAAATTATTGTAATTTTTTTTGTCTTTTTTAGTCCTCATCCATACTTATTTTTCAACCCTGACCACCACAGCATGACTTTCCTTGGATTTAATATCGAAAAAGGAACAGGAAATCTAATAGATCTGCAGACAAAAGAAGTTTTGGAAAAGAATATCATGGAAAAGAATCTATTTGATGCTTTAATAAGAAACAGAGTTAATCTAAGTGAAAATTTCGATAGTCTTCCAAGGTAAAATATAATTTCACAATGGGTTGCAATTTTCCATGAATTGTGGAGTTTTCTATTGTATAACTGCATTATTTATTAAAGAATCCTTTTTTTTTCAAATACCAATGGTCAAAACATTTTTTTTTGTAATTGCAGTATGAATTATTTCATTAAAACTGGAAAAGAAGCAATAAAACTTATCAAATTAGAGATGGATCTCAGTTTATGATGTATGGAAAGATATAACAAAAATTAGTTTTAAAACCACAGTAACACTTCTTTACTACTTTAGTGGTTTAAAACTACAGCATATACAAAATTATTTAACAAATCTCAGATTTTTGTGTTTGACATAAAATGTTATGAATAATCCAAAGTAACATAATGCTTTGCTACACAGTCACATAGAAAATTATTTAGAATGTATTTTGCTGATAAATTAATCATTTAGTAGAGTTGTGTTATAAGTACTTATATTTTATAAGAAATTTGATGAAAAAAATGCACCAGCAATATTAATTCTTGAATATGATCATTTATAGAGATCATGAAGATATGAAATAAGAGCTTCCTGAAATATTTGATTGTGCTTCATGTGAACATGCATGCTGTGCAGTGTGATGTGATTTCAGATTCATTGCTCATCATCTTCCTGTTTACCTAATCTGCTTATCATATTCTAAAACATAATTGCCATGTATGAAATTTTTGTAACAGTTTTCTAGGTACCAACTAATAAGAGCTTGCTAAAATTTGTTGTCAGACTTTATGCTATACCCTGTGATGCGTTTTTAGATTCATCACTCATCAACTTCCTATTTACCAAATACTTGCATATTCTAACACTAAAAGGCCATGTATGAAATTTTCTTCACATTTATTGAGGGAACTGCAAATCAGATCTTAAAATTTGTAATCAGTATTTTTATGAAAATGTATATCTATCAGGTTAAAGTTTTGGTAAGGTAGTTTACCATGAAGTTGTGGTAACATCTACTTGAAACTAAGTACACATGTTCATTTTGATTTGAACTTTTTGAATTATGTAACAAATTTACGTTTTTGAGCCCTTTTCATGGTTAACTGAACAAAGAAATGTGAGTGCATGAAACTAGTACATAGGTTAAACTTTTTGGTAAAGTTATGGTCACATAAACTTGAAACTCAGGAAACATGTTCATTGTCAGGTGAATGTATTAAAATATATGCCAAATTTAAATTTTGACCCTGATTTCACAATTCACTGAACAATTTAAAAATAAGAAGATGAGGTATAATTGCCAATGAGACAAATCTCCCCCAGAGACTAAATGACATAGAAATTAACCACAATAGTTCACCGTACCGCCTTCAACAATGAGCAAAACCCATACCGCATAGTCAGCTATAAATGACATATGATGGCGTTTGCGGGGCATGATGATAGCGCACATATTTTTGTTTTCTGTTAGATTATTGGTTTTAAAAAAGATTCTATCATAACATTCAAATGAAACCAATCATTAATGTAATAATATCTTTATTCACAGCTTTATACTCATAACAATATCTGTAGAGGTGACACAGATAAAAAAACAACTATTCTGTACATTTGTTTGCTTTAGTTTATAAAAGAAATGAAACAATTTCAGATCATCATATTTTCTGCAGAAGGTAATGGTTCATAATGGTAATTTCTCTTATTTAAAAGGGCATTAGCTGTCAAATTCATGTTCATCAATTTGACTTAAAAAAATATAATCAAATATCAAAATCGTTGCTAATGCCCATTTAATCTTTTTTCTGATTTGCTTAACATTCTCTATGACCAATTTCTTGCATCTCATATAATGGTTAACAATAATCCAAAGTATGTCTCTGCATATTTTTCAAATGTACATTTTATCTATACTCAAACCTAACCAACTAACCATTAGTTTATCTGTTACATTTAGAACCAGATGTTATCTTTTCTAATAACTGAGGGTTATGGAAAGACTCTTGTATGTTGTTATCTACATGCATGCAGACATGTCCTTCTTTCTATACTTTCAATATAACATTGTTATGCACTGACTTAAGTATGCCTTTAAAAACAGTTGAGTATTATCAAACTTTTGATAATTTTCGTCTGAGGACCTATATAAAAATAATCAGATGTGGTATGATTGCCAAAGTGACAACTATCCACCAATAGACAATCATGCTGCCTTCAACAATGTATAGTATGCTATAAAAGGTCCTAACATGAAAAATATGAAACAATTCAATTGAGAAAACTTACAGCCTAAGTTATTAGAAAACAATATATGAAAAACAAATATGACAGACATGAACCAACGAAAACCACTGAAATACAGGCTCCTGACTTGGGACAGACCCATAAAGAATGTGGTGGGGTTAAACAACTCCCCCTAACCTGGGACTGTTTGACATTTTTATGTTTGTCTATATCAGCAGTGTTCATCTGTTGGACAAAAAATTTTGTAAATGCAAAAACTAAAGCGTGGGTAGAATGCAGATGAAGTTTTGTAGTTGTACACTCTTTGCCATTGTCTTTGGTTATAGTATAACATAATCTTCAATGTATTTATCAATATACATTATGCTAATTATTTCATAATTAAGAGAAAATTAGAACCAGATGCCAATCTTTTGGAAAGGTTATATTTTTATCCCAACATTGTCAGCAGTTAATGTTACAAGATGCATTGTGCTTTGGGAATATACAAGACATGGTGCTTCACTGCCTTCACTAGTATGATTATCTATAGTAATGGCCATAACTATTAATTTATAATTTACAGGCATGAAAAGATCTTAAAACTGTGCAATGTTATGGGAATAGACTTGGCACATGATCCTGATCCAACATATGAGTTGACAACAGACAATGTTAAGAAGATCCTGGCTATTTATATGAGATTCAGGTATTTGTTTACAGCATAACCCATGTATTAATTTTTTTTTTTTTTTTTTTGGTAATTGGTAAATTCCAATTATCTACATCTTGCTTGCTTTATAGATATAAAAAATAAGAAGATGTGGTATGATTGCCATTGAGACAACTCTCCAGTAGAGACCAAATGACATAGAAGTTAACATCCATAGGTCACTGTACAGCCTTCAACAATGAGCAAAAACCCATACTGCATAGCAAGCTACAAAAGGCCCCGAAATGACAAATGTAGAATAATTCAAATGAGAAAACTAACAGCCTGATTTATGTACAAATCAATGAATGAAAAACAAATATGTTAAACAGCATATTTTCTTACAGATGCACATACAAGAAATCTTCATGGCATTTTTCTCAACAACTGCAAATCAGAGCTGCAAAAAATTAATGAAGATGTAAAACAGGACTTTTTGTAGACAAGTTCTTATATTGAATTTCATTAAATGAAGTCTAGCTGTGTATGTAAACCTGAGCAAAATTACCAAAGCTTGAACCATTCTTACATCTGATCAAATTTTGGCATGTTCAGGCTTTGGAAGACTTTTTTTTCATAATTTCTGCACAAAAGGGTTTTTTGTGGTTAAAAAGACTGAACCATACATGATTTGTTATTTTAGATGTAGAATACCAGTGATAATAATGGGAGAAACAGGATGTGGAAAAACTCGACTAATCAAGTTTATGTGCTCACTACAGCAACCCCCTGGAGTGGAAGTTAAAAACATGATTCTGATGAAAGTAAGTCAAGTTTTACTGTGAAGTCCAAATGAATTCTAGACAATTGATATTTCCATTATCATTTGAGCATAATCATCAAATAAACAAATATTTCTAAGATTATTCTTCAAAATTTCATGAAAATCAGATAAATATTGAGTCAAGAATATGTTATATAGAAACAAAAAGAGAATTACTTTGTCAACACTCTATAAATACCTGTGTCAATGCTTTCTGTGTACGTTTCTTCATGTGGGTTTTTTTAGGTTCATGGAGGAACCAAAGCTTGCGATATAATCAGGAAAGTGAAACAAGCAGAAAAAATAACTGCCAGGAATTCAAAACAGCATATAAACATGGACACTGTGTTATTCTTTGATGAAGCAAACACTACAGAAGCTATAGGTGTCATCAAAGAAATAATGTGTGACAAAACTTTAGGCGGGAAACCAATGGAGTTACATCAAAGACTGAAAATGGTAGCAGCATGTAACCCATATAGAAAGTAAGAAAACTATAATGTTAGGAAAACCTTCATTTTAAAAGCTGATAAGTTTTCCTGTTGAAAAAGCTGTAAGTTTGAAATTGAATCCTTGTTTTCACTTTTATGGCCACAGCTGTTTTTTGGTCTATAAATTGTTTTTTTTTTTCAAGTTGGAAAGAAATCTTATTGGATTTGCATCCAGGATTCACCCAACTCCTTGCAGTTGGTAAAAGTAATTGAAAATGAAATATATCAAGGTTTTGAAGATACTTAAATTCTGGAAAAGGGTACATGCATTCTATGTTAAAAAATGGGAAAGATTTGATGCTGACCTATTTTATAGAGTTTAAGTTCAAGATGCACATTTCCCTAAATAAAAAATAAAAGCACAATTAAGATTTCCATATTGTACAGCTCTAGTTTCAACATGAAGGGGGACTAAATGATAAGAAGGAGATGTTTGATATACATTTATGAGACAGCAACCAAACAATACAAAAAACATCTTGAGGTTGATGCATGGTCTTTGATGATAGACAAGTGTCTAAACCAAATTTTCATATTTCTAACTTTTAAAAATGGTTTCCTATTAACAAAGATAATTTGAAAATAGCACAATAATGACACTTGATATTTTTCCTGACCACCATCAAAGGGTATGATACAAATGAGATTGCAATTTTATTTGAAAGTTATACATTCACAAACAAGTATCTGTGTCTTTGATATATCATAAGACTTGTAAAGAAGGGACTAGTTTATAATTTTCTAAGCTTTGCTCTCAGACTTTCTATCTTAATTTTTGTTTACCAGACACTCAAAAGAGCTTATCCAGAGATTGGAACAAGCAGGACTTGGTTACCATGTGGATGCAGAGAAGACCACTGACAAGCTGGGTAATGTTTCAAATCTTGAAGGATTGTAGTAGCCTTGAGTACGGTAACGTAGATTGAAAATTTGTGAAATAACTATGATAGAATACATATCCAGAAACTTATTTGAATATTGTATTTTTTCTTGGTCCTTTTCCTTATCTAGTGACTCGTCACACAAAGTTCTTAAACATTGTTGAACTTCAAACTTCAGGTATTTGTAGATTTGACTTTCATTGATCTGATCTTTTAAATTGATCATAGTCAGGCATCAGCTTTTGATGTAGGATATTTGTTTCAAATTTAACTGCCTATGTATGGCCATGCACATATACCTTAATTTATGGATATTGGGGCCCATCTACTTAAACATTTACCTGTACTCAATAAAGTGGTAGTTATGTTGAAATTCTCTTATTCCCTCTGTTAGTCTGTAACTTCTCTTACATCTTACATCTTACACAGCCAATGTAATATGTATTAAGGAATAATTTGATAAATAATTATTATGTTATCTTTAATGTCTAAAACCAAGTTGGGTGACCTCGCAGCATAACATGGTGGGCAAGTCCTTGTAGTGACATCAGAAAGGAGGAAAAGAATATGTTGCACCTTGATGATCATTATATCATTACTCTGTTTTGGTATGATCAAACTGACTACAATCATTTTTTAACAGAATTTTTCCTTGTTAGCATGTACATTTTGTTGTTTTGTGGTGACGAATAATGTCAGAACATAGGTGCTAACTATTGTTCAAAGGTTTGTGCATCATTAAACTATACACAATTTCTAAATAAACACGTTGCTTTATAACTAAGATTTACTTTTTATATATATATAAAAAAAAAAATATTTTGAGCAGTAATTGGGACAAACTGAGTTTAGACAAGAAAAGATGGTAACAGAAAGAAAAATCATGTGATATAGGTTCATCAATGACTACATGTATGATAATAGCCAAAGAATTATATGACTTCACTTTTTGATTCAGGTCATGTTCCAATGAGGAACTTAGTATACAGAGTTCAGCCATTACCACAGAGTATGCTACCACTTGTATGGGATTTTGGACAGTTAGATACTGAAGTAGAAGAGTTGTACATCAGGCAGATGGTTCTTAGATGTGTATGTTTATAGTTTTGGTTGTATTTATACCCCCGCTTTAAAAAAGGGGGTATACTGTTTTACCTCTGTCTGTCCTTCCGTCAGTCCGTCCGTCAGTCTGTCCGTCCCATGAATATTTTCGTCACATTTTTCTCAGGAACTATTTGACAAGGATTTCTGAAATTTGGTTTCAGGGTTTATATAAGTAAGTTACACCGTGTGATGCGTTTTCAGATTCATCACTCAACAACTTCCTGTTTACCGAACACTTGTATTATTTTACACATGATAGCCATGTTGAAAATTTTCGTCACATTTTTCTCAGGAACTACTTGACAAGGATTTCTGAAATTTGGTTTCAGGGTTTATAAAAGTAAGTTACACCGTGTGATGCGTTTTCAGATTCATCACTCAACAAGTTCCTGTTTACCGAAATATTTTGGCGGGGGTATCATCAGTGAGCAGTATCTCACAGTTTTACTTGTTTTTTTTGCTTTGCAAAGATTAAGATGCCATTTACTTCATCTGAAAAAGTTAAACCAAACAGTATATGTATATATCTTTAACTTAATTGTCTTTTCTCACAGAACATACATGGTGAAAACTATGTAGAAATGCTGTAAGAATGGAGCAAATTGGTATTCATTTATAAAATGATCAATAAAAACATGTATTTTGTTATAACATAATGAAAAATTAACTTAAAAACAATTCAACCAATACTTTTCAAATTAAGCTTTTTAATTTTTTTTTACTGAAGACAAAATGGAGATCAAGTTAGATATTGACAATTTTCACTTTTACTGTTCAGCAGTAATGGTCCTTAATTGATTGGAAAAGGGCAATTTATGTTGTTTCCATGCAATAACTTGAGAATCGTTCAACCAATGATGTTCTAATTTTAATATGTTGATACAGAAGACAAAATTGAAGTTGAGTTTGATATTGACAATCTTAACTTTTGTTTTCCGTGGTTGATTAGAAAATATCCCTTTATGTCCTTAACATGCAATCAGTTGAGAATAGTTCAACAAATGATTTTAAGATTTTACTTAATAGTATGTATGAAATGTTTGCTTCTCAGCAAAATTTACTCTGGAGAATATATAATTGCATAGACTGATTGGAGATTTTTTAATAGGTAAACAATGGACATTTGCCAAGTCTACCAGGCTTAGATAAGATTGTCAGTAAGATTCTGACAGTTTCACAAGACTTTATGAGAAAGCAAAAGGTATGTTCTGGTTATAGGAGTTGTTCCCTTATATTACAATTTTTGATAATTTCTGTAAGCTAATTGTCCTGAAAACTACTTAAGATAATTGCCCCAATCTTGGATACTTTCTAAATGAACTTTGCATTTCCCTTGATTACACTATGAATGAACCCAAAAAGCTATATATTTAATTTATGAAAGTAGGTATTTGTTTCTGAAAAAAGAAAGAAAAAAAATTATTGATGTTTCAAATTTCCCTGAACAAAAGACAAAAGTATAACTTTTTCTTTAGTGAAAAGAAATTGTTTTACAGGATGAATGCAGTTTTGTAAGTTTACGTGATGTAGAGAGAGTTCTACAGGTGATGAGCTGGTTTTACAAGCAAAGCCAAGACGAAGAGCATCTACTTTTCAATGAGATAAGATTCCAAGAGAGGAAGAAAAATCAGAAAGCAGGTAGAGAATCCATCAAAGATATTGAAGACAAGTTGAAGCAAAGACATGATGTGAGTGAGGCCTTAGGAATTTTAGAAAATGTTCATATAAGATAAGAAAATGAAAAGTATAATTGGCTTGAACATCAGTTAAGGAGTCTATTATTCAATTTTTAAAAGTATTGATTTCTAATTCCAAAAACAAATAAGTTTATCAGTTTATCTTAGTAAGGGGATTTTGTGACCAGCTTTTGGGAAGTCTGAAAGTATAACATCTATTTGAATGCCATTTGCCAGTGATTATGCAAGATCTCTGACACTGATACACTGTATTGAGTTTGGTATCACATGACCTTTTACTCCTAAACCAACATTGAGTGTCATTGTTTTTATAGATTCTATTTTTTGATATTGTTGATTACTTTGCACATTGTAGGGCATTGATGATTTAACAAGATCACTAGTTCTTGCTTTGGGAGTTTGTTACCATGCATGTTTGAAGAAAAGAAAAGAATACAGAAGAACAGTTGCAAGGCATTTTAAAACTCCATTGAATCTTCCAGCAGGAGCTGATCAGATTGAGGAAGAAATATTGAAGTGAGAGATGTTATTGATAAACATAAGTGAATGAACTTCATAAAAGTTATAAAAAAAAATATTCCAATTTACATTTTTAGATCCACAAAAAATATTGGGAACTGTCCTTCCATCTGTATGTGTGACTTAAACAAATTGTTTCCAGATAATAGCTAGAGTTTCCCCTGCTTGATTAAAACTCATACAGTTAATTTTTGGGTCAATAGGTAAAAGTTGAAGGTCACAGATGCTAAATTACTTTTCTATTGATTGGAATGAAACTTGTACCGATGGAAGATACGAAAATCAGTGCAGATCAATTACTTTTAAAGAGTTATGGCCTTTGGAAATATCTAATCATATGGAAAGTTGCATTGTTAGCGCTCTCATGTGTACAATTCTTGTCAGATTTTTATGAAACTTATATCATAGGTTTATAACAGCAGTGTCTTGGACAAATTTGAAAATCAGTGCTGATAAATTATTTTTAAAAGAGTAATTAATGCTCCTTAGAAATATTGATTATATGGAAATTTGCATTGTAAGCACTCTCACATTTACAATTTTTGCCAGATTTTTATCAGATTCATATCAAAGGTTAATATCAGAAATGTCACAAACAATATCAAAAATTATTGCCAAACAAATATTTTTAATGAGTTATGCCCCTTGGAAATATAAGATATATCAGAAATTGCTCTCAAGTCTTCAACTCTAAGATAATTTTAAAAAGTTTTAAAACACAAAAGAATTTTTTTAACAGATAAAACATTGGAACTCTGTTCTTTTGTTTGGTTAGTTTTCATCATACATTTCTAATGAATTTTCCAGAATTCAAAATTATTCCTGATTCAAATCAAACAATTTCTTGTTTTAAGCAGTTAAGGGTTATGTGGGATTTCATTGTTATGATATAAGAAATCCATTGAGGAAAGTAATCATGCTTTTGCTGAATTTATACATTTGTAACACCTTCGATAAGTTTTGCAATCAAGTACTCCCCCATATCAGTTGAAAATTTTTCTCTTAAACAGGTCCCAGTGGTGGTATGGTACCGGCCATGCATGTGGCACAGAGTTCATTTTAATATAGAAAAAAAAGCTCTACTGTAACACATACAATATTATGCAGGTTAGACAAAATTCTGTGTTTGCAGTTTATTACTGACATGATGTTGTTTTATATCTGAATTTTTTATGTACCACACTCTAAACAATATAAGGTTGTAATATAAATGCATATGTTACCATTATTTGTTTCTTTTCATTTTTATTTAAGCTGCCAGTCAGCATTTATAGACAATGTAGAACTGGCTCAGAACATTGCTAAGAACAAGGCTTTGAAAGAAAATGTCTTCATGATGATTATTTGTATAGAACTAAAGATTCCAATGTTTCTTGTGGGGAAACCTGGCAGTTCAAAATCTCTGGCGAAAACAATAGTTGCTGATGCTATGCAGGGAAATGGAGCTCACAATGATTTATTCAGGAACTTTAAACAGGTTAATGTACAATCAACTGATTTTTTACTAAGATTATAAGTTTAAGTTTGGAATCATTATACAGGAGTTACTTGTAATACAGTTCATTATCTTTGTACATTTTGATCCTCTTCCTGAGATTCATCAGAACAGAATTCAAACATGGCAGATATGTTTCTTACAATGTCTTTTCCCAGGTTGTTACTTTGGTGACCTAATAATGGCCTTCTTAAATTTCTGATTGGGGTAACTAAGGAAAACTTCTTGAGAACAATTGTACCAATTAAAACTAAACTTGACAGATATGTTTCTGTGGTGGTTCTGAATAAGGGTTGTTAAACTGCTTCTTGTCAGACATTCAAAATGGCCACCAGTAGAGGTTAAGCTTTACAAAGAAATCCAATGGGAAATTACATTTTTCTCTTCTTTTCAAGAACAAATGAAATGAAATGAAAACAAATCATGCAGCAATGTTTATTAGAAGGTACTTGCCAAATGGTGTTTCTATAGACCTTATGGAAAGTCTAACATTTCTTCAAGGCGCTTAAAAAGGATCCAATTAGTACAATTAGCAAAAATCTTCTTCTGTAAAACCACAGAATATATTGGAAACAAATTTACCAGACATGTGTCTGGAAAGATCCTGAACAAGTGTAGATATGTTGATGCTGATCAAAGTGGCCACCAGCTGAGGTCATATGGGATATTGCATTTTTCTTTTCAACAGATATGTTTTTTTCAAAGTCTTTGTTATTTATATAGCAAATGATCAGGTCTAGATAGTGCTCCATGATATCTAGCAGTCTTATGTTCCTAAAAACAAACAGAACTATCACTCAAATGCATAATGATCCACATGAGATTAGATAATTCACACGGCACGCAGTAAAACGTGAATTTATTGTCTTCTTGGTAAGGTATTTGAGGCGTATGAATTTTTGGCACTAAAAGTTATAGTAGTAAATAGGTGGTTATATGAGTGTTACTTCTAACCTTGCTTTCGTACTGTGTACATCAAATTTTTCATCAGCATATTTGACTATTTTTTATGGTTTTTTATATATATATATATTTTATATAAATGGTATGGCTATATAACCGTAATCTGATTTGGATTATATAATTTGTCTTCAAAATTTTGTTTTATAGCTGTAGTCTTAGGACTAAAAGTCCTTGCTTTCAAATTATTAGTAAGATAGTAAGATAGAGCATTTCTTGCACATTTTTTTTTTTTTTTAAAGTGCGGTCCTACATTTGAGTTTCGAATGGCATTAACACAAGGATGCAGGTTTCCAAATTTGGTTTTTCCTGATCGGCAACGAAACAGTATTTTGTGTGTTTTGAATATTGATATTTTGAAAGATGATGGCAAATAGTACTTTGTATATATGTTATGTTGTTATTGCTGTATTGTAATAAAAGCTGCAGCTCAGAAAAGATATAAGGAGCGAGCTAATCAACAAGTTTGTAGTTGAGTTATTTGTCTTAAATGTTAAGGTACATAAGTATAGAGAAGACTTGAATTGTGTAGTAATTTCTATGCCCCCATTAAGCCACAATAGGGGTATATAGTATTACTATTTTACATTCCTTCTTTGCATACTGACAAACTAAATTCGTTTCACATGAGTAAGCCTCCTCCAATCATTTGAAATGTGAGGGACCACTATTCACAGAGTTAGTTCATGTTTGACTGACTTCTCACTTGTGGTTAAAGAAATATGACCTTTATAACTTGGAACATGTGATTTATGGAAAATTGCATTCTAAGCTCTCTCAAGCCTACAATCTAGGATTGTTATGCAATTTATATCAAAGGATTATGTCACTAATGTCTAGGACTAGTTAGAAAAGCAGTGCTGATCAATTATTTTTACCGGAGTCTAGGATTGTTATGCAATTTATATTAAAGGATTGTGTCACTAATGTCGGGGACTAGTTAGAAATGCAGTGCTGATCAATTATTTTGTACCAGAGTAATGTCCCTTTGAAAATGTAAAATTTATAGGAAGTTGAATTGTAAGCCTTCTTTCTACATTTCTTGTAAGATTTATATGAAATTTATTTTTCTTGTAGGATACTTATGAAAAAGATTAATAGAACCAATTGTTCTGGAAATGTCCTTTTGATAATGTGAAAATACAACCAACTAGAGGTTTCTTGGTGACAAAGATGGAGTTGCAATTTCATTCATAGCAGCTTACAGAATATATTGTATTTTTTTTTAGGGTTTATTTTGTGCATTAACAGTCCAAAACATTGATAAAGAGTTTTTTTGTGTTACATAAAAACCTAATTCCCAACCCTTTCCTTTTTAAATAACTGACTGTTTTCCTGCCTACAATCAATTTATTTTTGTTTTTGTTTAAAGGTTCAAATAGTGTCTTTCCAGTGCAGCCCTTTGTCCACACCAGATGGTATTGTTGGCACTTTCAAACAATGTGCTGCATATCAGAAAGATAAAGAGGGATTTGTATCGGTTGTAGTACTGGATGAAATTGGTCTAGCTGAAGACTCACCTAGAATGCCTTTGAAGGTAATTTTTTTTTTCATTTAACAAAATGATTTTTGTATGCTGAAACATACTAGAAAGAGAGCTGAAACTGGATAGGATTGATTGATTTTAACCAGCATTGATGACTGATTCATGAAATTTTTGTCAGAATAACCTACTTTTGATAAAACAGTGTCAATTCTAGATGCTTCACCATACAAAGTAGCACAATTGTAGGTCTCACAGTAGTAAATGATATGGTATAAGAGGAGGGGGGGAGTTTTAGAGAGACATCAAATCGACAGAGAATTACAAAAAGTATAAATATTTGCAATAAGTTGAGAGCTCCTTAGTTAATCTTTGTAGACCTTCCAACAGTAGTCAAGAAAAAGAGTGAAAAAAGAATTTCTGAAATTATTTTGTTTATTGGGCATTTTCATTTCTTTACTTCCACCTCATATTTTATCTTTTTGCAATGAAACTCTTTCATTTGAGTTAGAAAAATTATGTTAATTCACACCAAAACTTCTAAATCGTTTATTTTTTTTTAATTATTAGCAAATTTAAAGTAGATTCAAATCCTCAATTTCTTGGACAAAATACCGACCTTGAAGTGCACTTCTCTTTTAAAAACATACTTTTTTTTTAAAGACATCAAGGTCATAATTTGTTATAAAGGTTCAGGCCGCCAAGCAATTTATAAATATATCTCTCTATTTTTATGACTTCAAACATACTTGATGAAAAGTTTATTCCAGAAACATGCATCATATGCTCTCTAAAATATATCATATCTTTATGATTTAAACAATTATATAAATTCTTTTTGTAGACACTTCATCCATTGCTAGAAGATGGTTGCTGTGATGATGAAGAACCAGAGCCATACAAAAAAGTATATAACTTAAACTAAATTTTCTTATATTTTAAAGAAAGGTTGAAGTTTTGTCACATTCTTGTGGTTACATGTTCTACATCTCTTGTCCACACAACAAGGAATACCTTTAATACCAGCAAAGAATGCAATAATGTCCAAGTATTTGCAATTGCTGTATGCTGAACAATTGATTTATATGCAAGATAAATATGTTCTGATCTTAAGGAATAACATCATAATTAAGGAATAACAGTACTGTAGTTGAAGAGTTGTCATCATCAATTGGCAATTTGATGGTCGCAAATGCAGTTTTACTGGCGACACGTAGCAGAGACAGTAAAACGGAAATTTGCGACCGTCAATTCAAAATTTATGGTGCCAACTCTTCAACTACAATACTGGTATTCCGATTCTAATGCATTACAAAAAGAAATGATACGTTAGAGCTTGAAAAAATGTATAAATTTGAAATAAAATAAAATTCCGCGAAATTTGATGAAGGATTTTGGCGCAAAGACGTCATGGCTAAACATGACGTCATACAAATGAAAACTTACAAACTGAAGGTTATAACGTTACTTCTACGATTCAAATTTGAATAAATTCACATCAAAACAGCAATTTTGAGGTAGGTGTTGTTTTATTTTCGATAATATTGTAGTAGTTGATAGTTGTTGATCCAAGCAATTCAAAATGGCGGGTCCCTCCTTATTTACAACATGTCAAGTTTGGATTTGATGGTAACTTGTAGCCAATGAAAAAAATTGTTACATAAAAATTGCATTAGAATCATCATTATAAGGTTTTGGGAACCAAGTAACTGATAATAGAACAAATTGAATTGAATCGGGTTAGAAACAAAAGTTTAGAAAAAAGTATTTACTTTATTCCAAGTTAATTAGAAAAGTTGGAAGTAAAAATCACTGCCATGAATGTTAGGCTACATAAAACTATCAACTTGTATGACACTCTTTTATTATTTTTTTTTATTGCCTTTGCCATGAGCCAACTATCATGAATCTGACATGATTAAAACATTATCTATATAAAGTTGGCATTTCCGGTATTCTGAAAGACTACAGCATCAATTGATATATATCAGTGAACCCTCAGGGGTCCACGCAATTAATAATATGTCATAGGCAAATATAACAAACTTTAACTGATTAAATTTTTATCAAATATAAGGTTGCTTTTGTTGGAATATCAAACTGGGCATTAGATCCTGCCAAGATGAACAGAGGTATACTGGTACAAAGAGATATTCCAGACAAAGAGGAGCTCCGTAATAGTGCAAGGTAGGGTTTTTTTTTTAGTTACAAAATTCTTATTATTGTAGAAAAATTAAGGTACTATAACTATTTTATTTGAAAAATTGAAAAGAAAATCATTTATGCCTACACCAATCAACCAATATAGCAGGATTTACTAAAAAAATGAACTCAAGTGTAAAATAGGCAAGATGATATGGCAGAATTTAACCAATCTAGCACACATTTTTCCACTGGGCATGAAGTTTTGCATCTGTTATGTCTTTTTGGTCTGTATGTTATTTGGGGTTTCAAAAAAAAACATGGACTAAAGCCATTCTTCTTATATTGTTCTTATCATTTTTGGTTTTAAAATTTTTAGAACTTTCATATTCTCTATAAACATATTTAAAGTTTAAATGATTACTTTTCAATATTTTTTAATGAATAATAAAATAATTTTGCATCTTTTTTTCCAGAAAAATTTGTTCAACAGACAAAAATGTAAAGAGGATTATTGACCCAATGATTGACCCCCTAGCCATATCATATAATGAATTATTTGATCAGGCTTCAGAAGAGATGAGAGAATTCTTTGGTTTGAGAGATTTCTACAGGTATAAATATTCAGAAACAATATTGAAAAACTCAAACATTTCATTTTATGACTTGGCCACACTTTAAATAAAGTTTTTCAAATGTGTGATTAATTCATCAAACCGAACCATGTATATATTTCTACAGAGCCATTTTATTAAGTTCTGATTAAATGCCTTCTAAATATCCCATTTTTCTCATCACTTGACGTCCGTCGTCGTCCGTTAACTTTTACAAAAAATTTTCTACTCTATGTGTCAGGTAGATTGTATAAAGATGGCAAAAGTAAAGGTCAAATCCGGAACAAAATTACGTAAATACAAATTTAAATAATTTGCAATTATATATGTTTATATTATAGTATATTTGTATTTGTAATTAGCTAACAATTATAAAGTAAAACTTATCTTTAAGACACCCTGTTTTTAAAGATATTAATATATCAGGGTACCTTGTTTGTGAAAGCTGTAGCAATAAGGTTATTGTAACAGCTTTAGACCAATAAATCAATTATCATAGTAAAAAAAAAAAAAACTTTTACAAAAATATTCTCCTCTGAAACTGCTGGGCCAAATTTCACCAAACTTAGGCACAGTCATCATTAGGGTACCTAGTTTAAAAATTGTGTCCGATGACCCAGCCTGCCAACCAACATGTCCGACATGGCTAAAAATTGAACATAGGGGTAAAATGCAGTTTTTGGCTTATATCTCTGAAACCAAAGCATTTAGAGCAATTCTAACACGTGTAAAAATGTTCTTCAGGTTAAGATCTATCTGCCCTGAAATTATCAGACGAATCAGACACTCGTTGTTGGGTTGCTGCCCCTGAATTGGTAATTTTAAGGAAATTTAGCAATTTTTGGTTATTATCTTAAATATTATTATAGATAGAGATAAACTGTAAACAGCAATAATGTTCAGCAAAGTACAATATAAATAAGTCAATATGACCAAAATTGTCAATTGACCCATTAAGGAGTTATTGCCCTTTATAGTCAATTTTTCATAAATTTTTGTAATCTTTTACAAAAATCTTCTCCACTTAATCTACTGGACCAAATAGGATTAAACTTAGCCACAATTTTCAAAAGGGTATCTTGATTGAAAAAAGTATCCGATGACCCTGTCATCCAACCAACATGGCCGCCATGGCTAAAAATAGAACACAGGGGTTTACTATAGAAGTCTAAGGGAAAATTGTAAAAAAGACAATTTCAAATGGTCACAACTTAAAAACTAATTTAAATAATGATAAGGGGTCTTCAGTAACTATTGTAAGATTAAAATAGGATGACCTGCTTTTAATTTAACTACTGGGCCAAATTAAACCAAACTTGGCCTCTATCATTATTAGGGTATCTAATACTATTTATTATGATTTTAACCTTATTTTACATGATTTCCAAAAACATAGTAGATACAGGTGAGCGACACAGGCTCTTGAGAGCCTCTAGTTCTTGTAACAATTTCACTATGAAAAATAAGGATGTATCCTGTGCTCTTGGCGAAGCTGCTTATTTCTATCAAGTCTTTCCTCACAAGCTTCTTAATTTTTTTGTCTAGTTAGCTTCAAAATTAATGAATACATGATAGACAAACAGCAATGAAGGCAATTTTTAATTTGAGTTCCGAAGGAAAAATTGGTTTTTGATTTGGAGATATACGACTGCAGGGCTGGTTGGGTATCCACGCGGGTGGCTGCCAAACAGTGTCCGTGCATTTAGTCATGAACCGTTCAACCAAAGCTTTTCAAATTTTGATATGTTGTTACTGATGACAAAATGGAGGTCAAGTTCAATATTGATGATTTTCACTCTCACTGTTCAGGAGTTATTGTTCTTGAAAGATTGAAAAATGGTGTTTCCAGTTGTGTCTGTGCTTTAACTCCTGAACCGTCCAACTAAAGCTTTTCAAATTTTAATATATTATAACTGATAACAAAAAATAGGTCAAGTTCGATATTGACGATTTTCACTTTCATTATTCCGGAGTTATGGTTCTTGAAAGATTGAAAAATGGTGTTTCCAGTCACGTCCGTGCTTTAACTGATGAACCGTTCAACCAAATCTTTCCAAATTTTGATGAAAAATGGAGATCGGATTCTATGGGTGCAATCAACAGTTTTTTTTCTATGACGTCATATTTTAAGGGACCATGCCTAAGTGACCCTTAGTGGTGGAATGGTTAATAAAGATACTTGTATAAAACTAGATATTACTGGAATCAGAATTTTCCCTAGTTTATATTGAAATAAAAATATACTGTACTTTTAATATAGTAAAAAAGTTCTATCCAGAGAAAATGGGGAAAAAGTTGTTGCCTAATCTGAACATAAAAAACCTGAAATCAGGTCATGTGCATACCCATGTAAACATGATACAGGCACATTTCTCATAATCAAAACTGTATGAAATTCATAGGTTTTTACCTACCTGTCCTTTAATAAAAATCTTGTTTCAGGGTACGGTTTCCTGCTTGGAAAAGAGCTACAGTGGCTGCAAATAAGTTTTCAATTTTCACTGCCAAAAAAACAGGATGTTTACAGTGTTGTCTCCCCTCAAAACATGTATATTTAATCTAATTTTTAAAATTATTTTAATCATTCAACCTGTTTAAATTGAAAGCTAATTAACTAATTTTTACAATCAAATACAAAAAACATGATACTTTTTCACCAATTATATGAATAAAAAGGGATTTCCCTCCATGGTTTATTTAGTCGGGGAATAACCCCTAGTTTTTTATACGAAACTGTTTATAGCACCCTTAAGCAAAACTTTGTATGCGATATATAAAAAATTCTCTACTTTTCTGAATCTGTACATTATATCGATTAAAATGATGTCTTACTTTAAGGATTGCGACCATCGATAGTGAAACTACAGCTCATTTTTTATGTCGCATAGTATTGGCATATTGGCCAGTGGCAAATTGTTAAACTGGCATATTCCAAACATTTCCTGTATCACATTTTCATCAGTTATACAAAGAAAAAAAATCATAAAATTGGGTTTCTATTGAATAAATAGAATAAATACTATGAAATAAACATACATAAAGTTACTTTAAACAGATTTTGTCCCTTGTATTATATGAACTAAGGTGTAGCTGAGTTGAGAAAAATATTGAAATAGTGTATTTCTTAGGAACGGCACTTGTAGCTATTTGACTATAAAAAGTACCAAATATATAATATAATGAATAAAAATGTATGTTACACTGATCAGTAGTAAAGGTCAAAGTAGAAAAAATCTACACTTTTCATGTGCAACTTTTGGATCCAAATATATGAGAGAATGAATAAAAATATTATAACGTCGCAAAAAGATGAAAAAACTTCAAAATGTGCACACAGTCTTGTTTTCTTATATCTGGTTGCTATGTACAAATCTGTAATATTTGCATTAAATATACCAAACTGATGCTTTTAAATTAATGTATGCATGCCATATGATATTTTTCAGAATTGTTTTACTCAATTCACTAACACATTTCTATGCTAAAACCTCACTATATTATATGTTTGACCCTTTAAGGGTGCAATCAACAGTTTTTTTTCTATGACGTCATATTTTAAGGGACCATGCCTAAGTGACCCTTAGTGGTGGAATGGTTAATAAAGATACTTGTATAAAACTAGATATTACTGGAATCAGAATTTTCTCTAGTTTATATTGAAATAAAAATATACTGTACTTTTAATATAGTAAAAAGTTCTATCCAGAGAAAATGGGGAAAAAGTTGTTGCCTAATCTGAATAATAAAAAACCTGAAATCAGGTCATGTGCATACCCATGTAAACATGATACAGGCACATTTCTCATAATCAAAACTGTATGAAATTCATAGGTTTTTACCTGTCCTTTAATAAAAATCTTGTTTCAGGGTACGGTTTCCTGCTTGGAAAAGAGCTACAGTGGCTGCAAATAAGTTTTCAATTTTCACTGCCAAAAAAACAGGATGTTTACAGTGTTGTCTCCCCTCAAAACATGTATATTTAATCTAATTTTTAAAATTATTTTAATCATTCAACCTGTTTAAATTGAAAGCTAATTAACTAATTTTTACAATCAAATACAAAAAACATGATACTTTTTCACCAATTATATGAATAAAAAGGGATTTCCCTCCATGGTTTATTTAGTCGGGGAATAACCCCTAGTTTTTTATACGAAACTGTTTATAGCACCCTATATTGATGATTTTCACTTTTACCGTTCCAGAGTTATTGTCCTTGTGATATTAAAAAATGCCAGAACACAAATAAATGTTTAAAAAATCCGGTTTGCTGTCACTCTGACAGCCTCTTGTTTTTTATTCCAAATGGTATCTAGAATTATATCCCTTGCCAAAATTCAAAACCAATCTGGTCACTGGTGTTTATTTAACAAGTTATGATGAAACATGAACAGTAACTATACAATTAATACTTGGATTTTCAGTTTGTTAAAGATGCTTTATGGATTTATATCAAAGTCAAGGAGTAAACCAACTTGGCTACAGCTGAAACACTGTATTCTTAGAAATTTTGGTGGATTACCAGAAGAAGTTATAAAACCTGTCGACATATTTGCTAGAAATCTTGCAGAGGTAGTCAACAGAAATGAAGAGGTACATGAATTATCATTGTAGGGGTCATATTGGTTTCATTGCAACAATGTATACAGAATAGAATAGAGGAATAGTTAGCATATAGCATGCATTGATAGCAGTAAATATATGACACTATTATATCTATATGGACAAAATTACCTTTTCTGCATAAATTTTAATACTAGAACATAAAAATATTATTATGTAATCGTTTATATTGTAAACATTTGTCTATTGATATTATTATTGTTAATTTTACATTGTCTTTAAAAGTTAAAATAGAGTAAATAATGTTATTGTGTTTTGTTAATTGTTTATCTATATATATATATATATATATTACAGGAAACAGAGTATGATCCTGAATGTTCTTCAACTGGAATGATAAAAGCATGTCTGAGTGGTCAAGCAGACAGGTAAGCAATTGTCGTCGTTCTAAGACATTTGGTTTCCGTACAATAACTTTAGTATAAGTGAATGGATCTCTATGAAATTTGGAAGGAAGGTTGGGATTGATTTTGGGGGTTATGGTCCCAACTGTGTAAGTGTTTGGATATTTCTGAAATTGCACTACAAGGTTCCATATCACAAAGGGAAAGCTGGAATTGAGTTTGGGGGTAATTGCCCGAAACGTTTAGGAATAAGGGGTCAAAAATGGGCCAAAAAAGGCATTTTTCTAGCTTCCAGACAATAACTTGTGTATAAGTGTATGGATCTCTATGAAATTGTACTACAAGGTTCCATACCACGACAGAAGGTTGGGGTCAATTTTGTGAGTTGTGGCTTTTATCGTTAAGAAACTAGAGGCCAAATAGGGGCCAAAAACAAGACTTTCCTAATACTGGCTAAGCTGGTTCTAACATAAAATTATTTCTGATCTATTTAAAGAAACAACAAATACTGATATGGCAGGAGATACACACCAAACAGGGTGTGTAAATTATTATATTTAGTTTGTAAACAGATTTACTAAGTATTGTGCAACAGCAAAGTATTGCACAACAGCAAGAAATCTTCAGTTGAAAATAAATAAATCTTTTAACCAATTTCAATGAGGATTAATTTAAAGTTTTGAATTGTTTGAGGTTTATACAATGTATTACTATATTGGATATTTGGACATTTTTAAATAGGGTCCAAAAGTAGACTTTGTTTGATTTGATCAGAAACTGAATTCTTGTGGTTCAATGATATGCTGAATCTAACTGTGCATTCTGATTTTTAATTTTGGGCCCTGTTTTCAAATTAGTCTATATTAAGGTCCAAAAGGTCCAAAATTAAACTTATTCATGGTTTTTATACGACCGCAAAAATTAAAAATTTTTTGGTTGTATATTGGTATGACGTTGGCGTCGTCGTCGTCTGGCGTCGTCCGAAGACACATTGGTTTTCGCACTCTAACTTTAGTTTAAGTGAATGGATCTCCATGAAATTTTACCATAAGGTTCAATACCACGAAAGGTAGGTTGGGATTGATTTTGGGGGTTATGGTACCAACAGTTAAGGAATTAGGGGCCAAAATAAGCATTTTTGTAACTTCCAGACAATAACTTGTGTGTAAGTGTATGGATCTCTCTGACATTGTACCACAAGGTTCCATATCACAAAGGGAAGGCTGTAATTGATTTTGGTGGTAATTGCCTCAAAATTTTGGGAATTAGGGGCCAAAAAAGGGGCAAAAAACAAGCATTTTTCTAGTTTCATGACAATAACTTGTGTGTAAGTGTTTGGATATTTCTGAAATTGCACTACAAGGTTCCATATCACAAAGGGAAAGCCGGAATTGAGTTTGGGGGTAATTGCCCGAAACGTTTAGGAATTGGGGGCCAAAAAGGGGCCAAAAATAAGCATTTTTCTAGTTTCCAGACAATAACTTGTGTTCAAGTGTATGGATCTCTCTGAAATTGTACTGCAAGGTACCATACCACAAAGGGAAGGCTGGGATTGAGTTTGGGGGTGATGAATCATAAGGGGGTTCAAAAAATTTGGGGGGGGGGATTTTTTTTTTTTCTTTTTTTTTCTTTTTTTCATTTTTTTTTTCTTTTAAAATTTTCCATTTTAAGTTGGTTATTTCTGATTAATATTTTAAAGCAAATAATAATGATATGGTAGGAGATACACACCAAACAGGATGTGTAAATTATTATATAATAAGTATTGTGCAATAGCAAGAAATTTTCAATTGCACAGTATTGCACAATAGCAAGAAATCTTCAATTGCACAGTATTGCGCAATAGCAAGAAATCTTCAATTGCACAGTATTGCGCAATAGCAAGAAATATTCAATAGCACAATATTGCGCAATAGCAAGAAATTGTCAATTGTACAGTATTGCACAATAGCAAGAAATATTCAATTGCACAGTATTGTGCAAAAGAAGATACTTCGTATAAATTGCTTATTTCTTGATCAATTTCAATGGGGTTTTATTCTTGAATTCTTGGGGTTCTTTAATATGCTGAATCTAACCGTGTATTAAGTTTTTGGATTTTGGGCCCCGTTTTTAAATTGGTCCACGTTGAGGTCCAAAGGGTCCAAAATTTAACTTTGTTTGATTTCATCAAAAATTGAATTATTGGGGTCCTTTGATATGCCGAATCTAACCGTGTATTTAGATTCTTAATTTTTGGTTCCGTTTTCAAATTGGTCTACATTAAGGTCCAAAGGGTCCAAAATTAATCTTAGTTTGATTTTAACAAAAATTGAATTTTTAGGGTTCTTTGATATGCTGAATCTAAACATGTATTTAGATTTTTGATTATGGGCCCAGTTTTCAAGTTGGTCTAAATCGGGGTCCAAAATTAAACTTTGTTTGATTTCAACAAAAATTGAATATATGGGGTTCTTTGATATGCTGAATCTAACCATGTATTTAGATTTTTGATTTTTGGGCCCCGTTATCAACTTTGTCCACATTGAGGTCAAAAGGGTCCAAAATTAAACTTTGTTTGATTTCATCAAAAATTGAATTCTTGGGGTTCTTTGATATGCTGAATCTAACCATGTATTTAGATTTTGGATATTGGACCATAATAGGTGAATGTCCAATTTAAAATTTTTAAGTTCTTAGACCACATTCATTCTGTGTCAGAAACCTATGCTGTGTCAAATATTTAATCACAATCCAAATTCAGAGCTGTATCAAGCTTTAATGTTGTGTCCATACTTGCCCCAACTGTTCAGGGTTCGACCTCTGCGGTCTTATCAAGCTGCGCCCTGCGGAGCATTTTATTATTTTATATGCTGAATCTAACCATGGAATTGGATATTGGACCATTAAGTAGATTAAATGTCCCATTTCAAATTTTTAAGTTATCTGATCACATTTATTCTGTGTCAGAAATCTATAATGTGTCAAATATTGAATCACTATCCAAAATCAGTGCTGTATCAAGCTTGAATATTTTGTCTATACTTGCCCCAACTGTTCAGAGTTCAACCTCTGCAGTTGTATCCAGCTGCTCCAGGCGGAGCACATTTAACCAATTTCTGGAATTACACCCCTGATCAATATTGTACAACGAGGATTTTGTAATTAAGTTGAAAGTCAAAGGCTAATTTACATTGGTTTGATGGTGAGTATTGCTATTGCAATAAATTCCAAATCTTGACCAAATGCAATTTGTTTCATTAAATTGAAATTAAACTTTTCAACTGGTCAGAATTTTTTCAAATACTTAGTTTTTATTAGCATTGTCCAATTATTTGTCAATTAAGAGTTTTCACTCATGTTAGATTTAAATTGAAATTATTCCATATTGCAGTGAAAGTAGATACCTATTGTTGCTGACAGAAAATTATGGAGCTTTGTCAATTCTACAGCAGAAGATTTTCTCCATGCACAATGCAGAAGTAATTTTTGGAAGCAGCTTTCCAAGTGACCAAGAATACACTCAGGTGAAGTTGTACAATATTTCTGTTTTAAATTTTATAAATTAATTTTAAGCCTTTCAGTACATTGATTTCAAAATACTCAGAAAATACATGACTAAATAGATTACTGACTGTGTTTTCAAAATCCCCTCCATTCAAACAAGGTTTTATACCAATCTTTTTGTCTGCATTTACCAATAACTTCTTATATCCAAAGTGTATAATAATTGATATTAAAGAGTAGATTTTGAAGTCTCTGTCATTTTTATACGCCCGTCAAAATTTTGACCGGACGTATTATGGTATACAAATGTCGTCTGTCTGTCTGTCCATCTGTCTGTCCAGCGTAAACTTGTCGCACCGTAACTTGAGAACGACTTATCCAAATTTCATGAAACTTAACATAGTTGTTTCTTATGATGGTCAAACGATCTGTATACTGTTTGGTGAAAATATAGTTAAAACTTTTTGAGTTACGGGACTTAGTAACTAAAACAGGTGTGTGTTTTTTTTCACATGTCGCGCCGTATCTCACAAACAATTTATGATTATTGCTTAAAACTTTACACACTTCTTAGTTATATTAATCTTAAGATCTGTATACTTTTTGGTGATGATTCAAAATTTTATTTTTGAGTTATTGAGTATTTTGTAAAAAAAGGGGCAGGGGTTTTTCACATGTCGCGCTGTATCTCAAAAATGATTTATGATTATTGCTTAAAATTTTACACACTTCTTAGTTATATTAATCTAAAGATCTGTATACTTTTTAGTTTTGATTCAAAATGAGTTTTTTGTAAAAAGGGGGGGTTTTCGCATGTCGCGCTGTATGTCAGAAACTATTTATGATTATTGCATAAAAATTCACACACAAAACGACGGGCGTATCATGCGCTCGTGGCGCAGATGTTTATTTTTATAGTTATTTTACATGAGTGAATTCTTTGTGAATTCTTAAATGAATAAAAAATAACTAGAAATTTGGGCAAAAAACTAATATTTTTTCCTCTGTTTCAATTAAAAACAACAAAAGAAGTCCTTTGTATCTTTTTCGATGGACACTTCTCTGCTAGTATAAAAATTCCTCTTTGAAGTCCTGTGATAAAATCCTTAAATATGATGTCATTGTAAACAAAACCAGTAAAAACAGGATGTTTCAGCTAATTCATGTTCATTATTAGGTTAATTATCTCCCTTAGAACAGTATTGACTCATCTTCAGTCATTGCAAAATAACAAACTCAACCAAAGAGTTTTCATCCCTAGTTACAGTAATCTCTTTGCTCTGAGCAACATTTTAAACACATGATATGGTTGGTTGGACATCATTTAAAAATAAACCAATATGACAATTGGAGACGAGCTGCATAGGTGTCAATCTTGCAATCCAGTTGAAATTTCTTTTAATTACTAGATCACTAACATTGTTTGAAAATTATTGTCAGCTGTTGAAGCCAAAATGACAGATGGAACCCATGTAAATCTAATGTAAAGCCATCAGAAGTAAAATGTTTCCGATACCTTACAATCACTTGAAAAGCTTTGACTAAAAATAAAATTGACCAATTCAACTAAATTTCAGAACATATCCTATGTCTTGCTTGTAAAATTATTTTATTCTCCAGAATTGTTCAATGTTTTAGGTGTGTAGAAACATCAATCGTATCAAAGTGTGCATGGAAACTGGTAGCACTGTGATTCTACTAAATCTAGAAAACCTGTATGAAAGTCTGTATGATGCTCTCAATCAGGCAAGTTATTATTATATATTTTTAAACATTTAAAACACAGATGATTATCTCCCATTACACAAGAAAGCTTTAAATGATATTTTTATGCCTTCCCTATGATAGTATTAAATTAAAGTTTTAAATCAGTGATCCAGCTTGATTGTTTTCACAGGGCGGGCCACCCGCCCTTTCCCGACTGCCGCCCTGTGCCCTTTTTCTGATGCTTTAAATTAAAGTAGATTGTGGTCACATCAACTTGAACTTGAAACTTTGTTTGCAGATGTTCATAATGGGGTGAATTGTTAATATATATGCAAAATTTGGGTATTGACCTAGATTTGACAGTTCACTGAACATGGATATCAGATAGTGTGAGCAGTGCATGGTGTCGAATGGTATAGAGTGTTATAAAAATATTTTGTTTTTATATAGTTTATATATAGATTCATGCAATATTTCGTTAGACAAACTAGCTTGATTAGGTGCATGCAGCCAACCAGGTGAAATCATAGGCTGAAAAGAAATTTTTGCAGCTTATCATTCATTTCTTTGAATTTTTCACATGTCTAATTTTGTTGTGTAAATATTATGAAGTTCAATATTTATTACTTTGTTTTATGATAAAAATGTTGTTCATCTCTCTCGTTGAATCAATCAGGTTCAAGAGTATGTAGTTGGTACATTAGCTGGTGCATTCAAAATCTCTCTTAAGATATTTTATGAATTCATGTGTGCATTTATTATTGAAGTTGAAAGAAAACTATAGCTATTAGAGTTTGTATTTTAGTATTATGTTGAATTTGGAGGAGAAAGATATGTAGACCTGGGACTTGGAACACACAGAGTCAAATGTAGGGTACACAAGAAATTCAGGTACAGTTTGCATTATATTGTAAATGTTTAGAGATGTTTTATCAATTGAATCCTCATCTTGAGTCAGCTTAACCTTTATTACATGCTTGAATGACTTTGATTATTTTTTGGTATTTCTTTTTATTTTTGGGAAGTATTGATGATACATTAATGATATTTTAACATTTGAAACTTCTAACATGATTGCAATTTATGCTTTGCCCTATCTGTGTATTGAAGTTCCTTTAAGTTAGACATCCTTGTCTAGTTTTAAATGAAACTTAAGACTACTGTGAATCTTACTTTAAGTTTTTACACTTTTACAATGAAAAAAGGGTATTTCCCAACTTGCCCTAAGCTTTAATTATAACAGTAGGATGAGGGGAACTGAATTTTAACCAGAACAATCAGGAATATAAATGTCATAAAACTTGCATTTTATCATTAGTTATTAGGCGGCATTAAAGTACCCTTCAAACAAGAGGACCTATAATTGTCTGTTTCAGATTGGTTGTTGTAGCAGAAAAACAAGTTGTATATGACAAATTTCCTATACCACTGATCAATCGTCTTGAAAAACATTTCTTGTCGATGAATACAATGTTAACAGGAGAACAGGCTGAGCTTACCGAAGCACTGACTGAATGGGCCGAAACTTGTGCAGCAGACAAATCACCTAATCAAATTGGATACAAGTAAGTTCCACTATTTTTTTAAAAGTCATTAATGGCGCTGATGAAAGAAAACTCAATGAACATGTTTAAAGTAATAAATGACCATAACTTGATACTTAGTACACAACAAATATGACAAATCAAGAGGATGATGAAAGATGGCTCTTTAGTGTCAAGTGGCAATTTAAGTGCATATTCAGGACGAAAACATTTTAGTGGGATTTGAATATGGAGCCTGCTTTGTACTGGACTGACACAGTAAGCCAGATTTTTAACATGATAGTTTTCAGGGTTACAATCTGCAAGGAAGACATGTCACCTGTGCTGGACACATTATTCTGACTCCAAGCCGATCAGTCTTTGTTCTTACTCCTTAATGCCAAGTGCTACAAGAGAGATGTATGAACAAGAAGGGAACAACAGTCAAACCTGTATTAAGCAGTCATTCATGGGAAGATAAGAGTAAAAATTACATTGATAAAATGTTTGGGAGGGTCTGGAAGTGACTGTTTACAAATAACAACATTAAGACCATAGCTTCAGGCAATGCAAGTTTTTGTAAAACAAATAGTGATATCAGCTGTTGAGATTAAAACTACAGTCGAACCTCGTGTTGAAAACTCGGATGAGTCAAAGTAATTTCTTGGTTGGTAAAATTCCTGTTTGATCAATGCATAATTACCAGTGGTGAGTCCAACTTGGTTAATTCTAATACTCAGTTAAGTCGAGTAAATCTTATAGTCCCCTCGATGCAAGAATTTTCGAAAGATGCAGACGGAATGATAAAAATTCAAATCGGATGTATTTCTTATGTAACCTAATCATTTTCAAAAGAGATTAAAGTTTAGTAAACATATGTGTTTGTATAACAGTTAGAATGACATGTTTATGGTGACCAGTAATTTACACCTTTGTTGGTTGTTCATGCCAAACATTAGAGTGTTGAACATATTTCACATGAGATAAAAACGAAACGAATTTAAATGACCCAAACCGAGGTTTAAATGAATCGTTAGAATTAAAACTCATTAATTACAATGAATTAAAGGATTAAGACGATTATAATAAATTCATGATAATTTAATGTAAAGCAGACGACCTCATCAGAGACTGTTCAGAACTTATTTTGTTCCGCGAGTGATTTCATAATTTATAGTGACTGACCTTTGTAAATATTTGTGTAGCTATTGATTTTATATGTGCATGATTTGTATCTGTACTTGTGTGTTTAATTATTATGAAAGACCAAAAATGGAGATTGAATATTACACAATCATAAAGTGTCCTATCGAAAAATGGCACACTCAAAGTTTCTAGTTTACACAAATCTCATACCGTATTTCATGCATTCAGAATTTATGACAACACACTCGACCTCGAATGAGTCGAACCTCTGATAAGTCGAATACTTTGGTCAGGTCTCTTCGACTTCAACACAACGAGGTTCGAATGTATGTCGCTTTTTGTCTGAGTACTAAAAACAAATTCATTTATTGTAACTGGTTCTATACAGCAGACAAATCTGCTAAAATTAGCAACTTTGAATTATCATTTGTTTTCCGTAGTTTTGAAGTATGATTATGTAATTTTACTGACAATAAACATGCTAGACTTTTATCCCATGAAAGTAATGTCACACTCATGTTATTTAGGAAAGTGGAAAAAAAGATAGGTGATACCTTCATAGGGTATCATGCAGATACATGTGCTGCTATTATACATGATATTTGTGAGAAAAGAAAATCTACAACACAGACAATTCACAATGAAAGAGAACAGGTACTTAATTAATTTCAAATTTTCAAAGCCAGCAAGGCCCTTATTGTACTTAAATCTTAAGCTTTCTTGCCTTCAACAATGAGCAAAACCATACCATATAGTCCGCTTTAAAAGGATCCAATAGGACAAATTGTGAAACAGCAACATGACAAATAGTGAAATAATTCAAACAAGAAAACTAACGCCCTAACTTATATCAGAACAATTTAGGGAAAACAAATCTGACATATTTATTCTAAAACAAATATTTTTCACATTCATCAGTCCTCAATTTCCTGTTTACAGATATATTTTAGACGTAACATAATGAACATGTAACGAAATTTTCATTATATTTTTCTCTACAACTATAAATCACATCTTCCTGAAATTTCATGTGAGCATGCTTTAAAGTGTGATATATTTTCACTTCCACCACTAATCAATTCTTGTTTACTGATTACTTATGGCCAGTATGCCAGATATCATTAGTTAGCAGTTGTTCACAGTTCAACCTTTTTATCAGTATTTGTGGGGAGATTCTTGTGCTTTTTGTGACGAACTGTTGCATATAAGACCACAATGAAACTATACATTGAAAATTTGGAAACATTTGTAAAAAAGACAACAGAGTAACTTGAATGAAATGATCTTTTATCAGATCTTAAAAGAAGGAAAGTCAACATTGCTTTGGTGTGCTACACCAGCTGCTGTGACACAGAATGGTGGTGGAGAAGAAATGGAAATCTACAGTAAACAACAACAGCATGAGAGTTTGACAGATTACCTTTGTAAAAGACTTCAAGATGACCCTGATCAAAGTTTCTATGCTCAGGTAAGTTGATAATAAATCCACGTTCTTCAAACTATTACTTTAAGTCTAATTTTAGCTGATATTAGTTAGTAGTTACAAATAGAAGCACAGTTTAAAATGTTTTAGGGATCTGCATTTGGCCTTTCTTGCAAATTTTGAAAAAAAATCTATATGAATGAGAGATGAACACCTATGCACTCTACAAAAAAGCTTGAGCTGTTTTTGGTTGCTTTCTGCTATTTCTAAGCTTTCTCATGTCCAAGTCCCAGCATATCTCTATAATATAAGATTGCACATAGTCCACATATCTTCAATAGATGGCTCACTACAAATGTAATATCTTTTGCCCATGATATTGCTTAATCTACTGTTTTAAAGTATTAAAGTGAAACATATTTATTTGAAAAATAAAATATGGTAAACATCAAAATGTCTATTTCTGTCAAAATTTATATGTTCAACTCTAGAACCTAAAATTTGACAAAGTTTAAAATTTAAACTTATCTCTGAGCAATTTGCTAGTTGATTGTTGTAATATTGCCATATAGAAATGAAATACAATGATAGAGCATTAATCAAGGGTACAATCTCCAATTTAGCATGTGTACCATGGACTATTTCTTTATATTTTTGACCAAACAAAAGTCTTTCCTTAAGAATTTTAAAAAAAATCTGAATTTGAAGAAGCAATTTGAAATTCTCAATAAAAGTCGGAAGGAAGATTAGAATTATAAACTTGAGTCTGAACTTGAACTACATATTTTATTAATATCTTCTCTTTTCAGATAACTACAAACTCTAGGATCTTGTCACAAGCAGAATGTGAGGATCTTTGTGAATCCATACCAATTGACAGACAAAATGTGATCTCACTGACATTACAGCAATTTCATACAGAACAACAATTTAGCAAACAAATTAGGTACTTGATACTATAATAACGGCAAAAATATTAAGGAAAAGGGCACACACTTATGTAGTCTTTGCAGACTGCAACAAAGATAAAGTATTGTACTTTACCAGTAAGAAGTTACATTTACATGTTCATGTAGAAGTAATAACCATCAATTAAGGCATCATCACAAGTTAAATTTTAATTACAAAATTACACAAGGCAAATATATAAATGCATCAATTTTAATGTTATGTATTTTTTTTTCAAATCTGTTTCATTGACTTGTCTGGTATTCCTTGGATACAAGGACAATGTAGTGACAAGAGCATTTAACTACAATGAAAAACATTTCAGAAAAAAACTGCTCAGTAATGCAAACTCTTGAGAGATTGTAAAAAATCTCCACCAAGGAAAACAGATATCTCATATTTCACATTTCCTCATTGTCAAATAAACTGGATTAAAATAAAACACAACAAATTTAATACAAATGACCTTGTTGTTCTAATGTGGATCTTCTTCCTGCTAAAAACCTGCAGGTTCTTACCGGTAATTAGAACTTGGTTTATAACTGTGAATAATATGAAGGGGTATCTGGTGGATAAAAATCTAATGAAATAGAAGAAAAGTTTCATATAAAAGGAACAATGCTTTTAATCCTGTTATACATCTAGACATTTTCCAGTTCATTGATCTGAAATGATCACACTTTTAAATACATCAAGGTCATTAAACAGCCCTAAGCATCAATTTAAGACCCTTACTCAACCAATAAAATATCTTCATCAATTTTGTAAAAATACAAATTTTCTCAATTCATTTCTCAGTATTATTTTATTGATTTTTTTGAAGTACAATATTGATTTCCTAATTTTACGCTGTTTCATTTTCTACAGACTAATCAACATCAATAGAAGAAAGATACTTTTGGGGTCTGACAATAATACAATAGTTCAAAAACCAATTAACCAATAAGTTCTCTTCAAGCCTGATTCATGTAATTTTTTATAATAATGAAGAAAAAAAACAACATGGTAATAGAATTGTCTACACATTAAAAATTTCTATCCATGATTGTTCATCGTATTTGAAATATTTTACAGATCACTTGGTGATAGTAAAACAGTGTCAAATTCAATGCTTATTGTTCAGTGTGAATGTGGTGACCAAAATACAGAACTGATTGCATGTGCCAGATATTCTATACAGAGGGAACTCAAACGTATACTTGAAGAAAACAGTGAGGTCAAAGTCCATGTGGTTCTTCTTGTACAACTGCCTGGTATTGCTGGAGATTCGTTTACTGGTTTCCAGGTATTAAACCTTATAAAGTGTAAATATGTAATTGGAACAATCAATGAGACCACAACCAAAAGACACAAAAAAATAATCAATTTGGTCTTCAACAGTACACAAGTATATATACAAAATACCAATATTCATTTGAAGGTATATATATCTCTATACTATATAAGTTTCCATAAGGTATCTGCTTATGATATTGTTTCATAAACAAAGTGTTTAGCATGTCCTTGCATTCATTTTTCAGACAAACTTAAAAAGAGTAGGCTACATGTATTTTAAATTTCCCTGTATAGTTAGATATCTGCAGTCTGTTATCCACCTGAACTTGTGAGTAGATTTTAGCATGCACTTGTAACTTGTATCACTTTAAATATAGTTATGCATCATGTGTTTTTACCTTTTCCGTCTTTTTAACTCACCGGGGCCCAAAGGGCCCCATGTGAGCTTATGCCATCACTTGTCATCGTTCGTCGTCTGTCGTCGTCGTCTGTCGTCGTAAACTATTTAAAAAATCTTCTCCTCTGAAACTACTGGGCTAAATACCTTCAAACTTTAACTAAATGTTCCTTAGGGTATCTAGTTTATAAATTGTATCCGAAGTTTTGATCCATCGACAAACATGGCCGCCATGGCTAAAAATAGAACATAGGGGGTCAAATGCAGTTTTTGGCATATATCTCAAAAACTAAAGCTTTTAGAGCAAATCTGAAATATGGTAAAATTGTTTAATTGGTCAAGATCTATCAGCTCTGAAATTTTCAGACGAATCGAACAACCCATTGTTGGGTTGCTGCCACCGAATTTGTAGTTTTTACAAAATTTTGCAGTTTTTTGTTATTATTTTGAATATTATTATAGATATATATAAACTGTAAGCAGCAATAATGTTCAGCAAAGTAAGATCTACAAAAAAGTTAATATGACCAAAATTGTCAATTGACCCCTTAAGGAGTTATTGCCCTTTAAAGACAATTATAAACAATTTGTTCATCAAGTTTGCTAACATTTAAAAATCTTCTCCTCTGAAATACAGGTGAGTGATTCAGGCTCTTGAGAGCCTCTTGTTTCTACTACTGTTAAAGATTCTGTTTTGACTTAATGAAGCATATCCATATTGTGTCACCAGCCTCAGTCCACCTCCTGTTAGAATTTACAGAAAAGATCTTTAATAGCCAAACTTATTCTAATAACATATTAGTTCTTGCTGGGTAGCAATTCTCTCCATCTTACTTTAAAATTAGAATTTTGAAGTCTTCATTCATCATCTAAAGTGGAAATTGACATTTAATGTATTTTGTTCATTTCCTTTTTGTAAATTAACCCATATTAATCTTGGAATAAAATATATGATGGGAAGAATTGCTTCTGGATAACAATATCTCTAATAATAAATAGACCTTTGTGTCTAGAATTGTATTTATTTTCACGAATGATTAATTTCACAATTTCAATGCATTATCTTTTTAAGTGGGTGTTAAATTGACATTATTGTTGATTTGTATTTACTATTCACATAATGCTTTATATCGTTTGTCCTTTCATCCAACAAAAAATGTTCTTACTTGCTGATCATGATGTACTACTGAACAGAATGATCCAGAATGAATAACTTTATGAGTGATCAGCAGCTTTATTTATAGTGATTGAGTCATAATGTGTGAGCATCTTTAAGTGACCTACATGTTTGCCTTCAATTTTTCAAAAATGTTGAACTAAGCTAAAATGGATTAAATTTTCATCACACATTTCTCCAGGACTTCTGAATAAAATGACTTCTTACATGATCAGATCTGTCATACACCCACATCCTGTATTCAAATATATAATTTATACACAACACATTTTAAAGAAAGACTTTTATTATATAACATAATAACTCTAAACATCATTATCTAAATTAAACACCATAACATACATGTAACAATAAACATTTCTTTAACTTAAAATGTTACATTATTGGCTTTCTTGGGGCTACTCATTCATTGGAAAATTTAACCTTTAAATTTTTTAAATACATAACAATGATGGGGAGATCCCTGCAGCAAACTTAACTGTATGAAATGTCACCTGGGGCGATCCCGGCAGGTGTGAGCTACTTGACTAGAGAAATTAAACTTAACTGTATGAAATGTCACCTGGGGCGATCCCGGCAGGTGTAAGCTACTTGACTAGAGAAATTACCGACCTGGCAGGAATTAACCCATCTGATGTATTATTGAATTGGGGGAGTATAATTCCCCTTGAATTATAAAGGCCTGATGCAATTATCCATAATATGAGTAGCCTCTAAATTGGTGAGAAAACAAGTCTAAATATACAATGTACATACATAAAACTAAACTTAATGACTAAGTTAGTTATTAATGATTAAAACGATTATTAAAGAACTAATATCATAACATCAATATCATATGTACAATAATGTGTTATAAATCATTGTTAATTATTAAAAAGGCTAGAATGAAAATCCCTTAGGTTCAACACATACAATATGAAGCTTCACTATCTATCTATACACTAACAGTTACATACTGGTAAGATACAAGTATATTATTCGAAACCCAGATTGGAGTAGCTGGGGACGGTGGGTGGGATAGCTGATTAACATACATATGATACACGTGTAGGTAAGTTTGTCAATCTGATAATGAGGTCATCAAAACACATACCCCCTCTAGTAGTAAACAATAATAGAATCTAAAAATAGATTGACAGAGGCTTCTAAACTCTAGATAGAAGATAAATTGTGTTGTGTATAAACTATAATTTAATAAATCAAATTTCCTTTTATACACAACACATTTTAAAGAAAGACTTTTATTATATAACATAATAACTCTAAACATCATTATCTAAATTAAACACCATAACATACATGTAACAATAAACATTTCTTTAACTTAAAATGTTACATTATTGGCTTTCTTGGGGCTACTCATTCATTGGAAAATTTAACCTTTAAATTTTTTAAATACATAACAATGATGGGGAGATCCCTGCAGCAAACTTAACTGTATGAAATGTCACCTGGGGCGATCCCGGCAGGTGTGAGCTACTTGACTAGAGAAATTAAACTTAACTGTATGAAATGTCACCTGGGGCGATCCCGGCAGGTGTAAGCTACTTGACTAGAGAAATTACCGACCTGGCAGGAATTAACCCATCTGATGTATTATTGAATTGGGGGAGTATAATTCCCCTTGAATTATAAAGGCCAAATTGAGTGAATTCATAATGAATGATGAATGAGTGAAAGCCCCCAAGAAATAATACCATATAAAAATATAAATTAGTTATAAGAAAACTATGACAAAGACTCAATGATACATTTATCATGATCTTTGCAAATAAACTTCTTATAAGTCCTGATGTATTGTCTTAAGAATGACTACGAAACTTTAGTTATAACCAAGGCATAACTGAGTTGTCCAAATAAGGAATAAACGCATTGCATCAGAGTCACTTTAAAGAAAGGAGGAGAAAGTATACGGCCCCCATTCTCAAGTTAATTGTTACTTATACTAAGGCACCACTGGTTCAAACTGTTCTTTAATTGTAATCAGTCTTGGTGTTCTAAGTTTCACACCAAAAGCAAAGTACTACCCTGATATCAACATCACTGATTACTAGGCACTTTAGATTACATCCCTAATTCAACAAGTGAATGTTTCCAGTTCATCGAAGAGAACCAAAGAACGCTGTTAAAATGCACAGTGTTACAGTATCTATGAAACGTGAGGAAAACTCCTGTTGATAACATGTTGTACAAACACTGTAATAAGGATGATGTAAATGTTGGCCTGTTCATAGAAGCCTACATGTAAGTTGTTTATCTTGCTCCATGCAAATAGAAGGTAATCGCTCGATCCCTGTTGTGGTGTAGTTATGACAAGCAAATAATGATATCAAAACCTAGCTATATAATAATTGCAATTCTTTCCGATTCTTTCAGTGTGTTATAGAGTATATCAAATGGTTCTCGGTGATAGTAGAAAGACAGTTCATGGAACTCTGTATGCCCCTAATTCGAAATGATATAAACTTGTACATTTGATTAAACTTGTTGCGTTTAATGCTTAACGAAAGTTGCGTGACTGTCGTTCTAACACATTATACTATGATGGCAGGAATCGAGGTATTGATTTCCTTTATATTCCGGTGCTATTGTTCTGAAGGCAGCATCCGAATACGATAGGTTATTAATATCTGTATCTGTATCTGTATTTTTCTGTAAATAAAGAAAAAGAAAAAACGACCTGGGAAGTCCCAGTAGTCCTAAAATACTCCAGAGAGATCTAAGTGGAGATCCCAGCGGAGTTAAATATAATACATTAATACGTAATTATTAAGATAATAAACAACCTGTGGCGATCCAGCAGGTGTATTGCCATATATACAAAGAGAATGAACGACCTGGGGCGATCCATCAGGTGTATTATAATATATATAAAGTGAATGAATGACCTGTGGCGATCCAGCAGGTGTACAATATATAAAGAGAATGAATGACCTGTGGCGATCCAGCAGGTATAGTACAATATATATAAAGAGAATGAATGACCTGTGGCGATCCAGCAGGTGTAGTACAATATATATAAAGAGAATGAATAACCCGTGGCATTCCAGCAGGTGTAGTACAATATATATAAAGTGAATGAATGACCTGTGGCAATCCAGCAGGTGTGCAATATATATAAAGAGAATGAATGACCTGTGGCGATCCAGCAGGTGTACAATATATATAAAGAGAATGAATGACCTGTGGCGATCCAGCAGGTGTAGTACAATATATATAAAGAGAATGAATGACCTGTGGCGATCCAGCAGGTGTGCAATATATATAAAGAGAATGAATAACCTGTGGCGATCCAGCAGGTGTAGTACAATATATATAAAGTGAATGAATGACCTGTGGCGATCCAGCAGGTGTGCAATATATATAAAGAGAATGAATGACCTGTGGCGATCCAGCAGGTATAGTACAATATATATAAAGAGAATGAATGACCTGTGGCGATCCAGCAGGTGTAGTACAATATATATAAAGAGAATGAATGACCTGTGGCGATCCAGCAGGTGTGCAATATATATAAAGAGAATGAATAACCTGTGGCGATCCAGCAGGTGTAGTACAATATATATAAAGTGAATGAATGACCTGTGGCGATCCAGCAGGTGTGCAATATATATAAAGAGAATGAATGACCTGTGGCGATCCAGCAGGTGTAGTGCAATATATATAAAGAGACTGACTGAATGACCTGTGGCGATCCAGCAGGTGTAGTGCAATATATAAAGTGAATGAATAACCTGTGGCGATCCAGCAGGTGTAGTACAATATAAATAAATGAATGAATGACCTGTGGCGATCCAGCAGGTGTAGTGCAATATATATAAAGAGAATGAATGACCTGTGGCGATCCAGCAGGTGTAATGCAATATATATAAAGAGACTGAACGACCTGTGGCGATCCAGCAGGTGTAGTACAATATATATAAAGAGAATGAATGACCTGTGGCGATCCAGCAGGTGTGCAATATATATAAAGAGAATGAATAACCTGTGGCGATCCAGCAGGTGTAGTACAATATATATAAAGTGAATGAATGACCTGTGGCGATCCAGCAGGTGTGCAATATATATAAAGAGAATGAATGACCTGTGGCGATCCAGCAGGTGTAGTGCAATATATATAAAGAGACTGAATGACCTGTGGCGATCCAGCAGGTGTAGTGCAATATATAAAGTGAATGAATAACCTGTGGCGATCCAGCAGGTGTAGTACCATATAAATAAATGAATGAATGACCTGTGGCGATCCAGCAGGTGTAGTGCAATATATATAAAGAGAATGAATGACCTGTGGCGATCCAGCAGGTGTAATGCAATATATATAAAGAGACTGAACGACCTGTGGCGATCCAGCAGGTGTAGTTCAATATATATAAGTGAATGAATGACCTGTGGCGATCCAGCAGGTGTAGTTCAATATATATAAAGTAAATGAATGACCTGTGGCGATCCAGCAGGTGTAGTGCAATATATATAAAGAGAATGAATGATTGACCTGTGGCGATCCAGCAGGTGTAGAACGATATATATAAAGAGAATGAATGACTTAGTGCAATATATATAAAGAGAATGAACGACCTGAAATATAATACAATTTATTACTTTACTGTATGAAATGTCCACCTGGGGAGATGCCAGCAGGTGTGGAGCAATCTAGAATAGAGATATAAACATGATAAATACTGTGTGCTACATGTACTATGTGCTGAAATATATACATATAAATACATATTGATGACTAATACTGCACGAAATGTTCACCTGGAGTGATCCCAGCAGGTGTGGAGCAATCTAGAATAGAGATATAAATACTGTGTGCTAGTATGTGCTGAAATATAATACATATAAATACATATTTATTACTTATACTGTACAAAATATTCACCTAGGGAGATCCCGGAAGGTGTAGAGTAATCTAGAATAGAGATATAAATAATGTGTGCTACTATGTGCTGAAATATATTAAATATAATATATAGTATTATTTATACTATGTAACTGCTGTTAATCCTGATATAAGGAGATGTATGTTTTGTTTATTAATAAAATATATAAATATTACTTATACTTAACAAAGGCAAAGTTTCCACCAATACAATATATTCAGTTGCATATCTTAAAGAAGTGCAGACATATATATGCATATCCTATACGTGTCCTCCAATCTCCATGCTGTTCTTCACTCCCTGCTGCAGTAGAATGGTAAACCCCAATGTGTAGTGTATGATCTACGAGTGCCGTAGGTGCTGTTGGATATGGAATTGTTGACTGCCGCCGACAAAGTAGTTAAAACTGGCCAACCCAAAACTAGCGGGCTTATGTAATGATACTGTCATTTGGAATATTGTTTGACAAACAGATAATTATTTATTCAAAGCTGTAGATTAAAACGTTGAACGAAAGTTTACTCTTTGTCGTTCTAATCCCATAATTGTTATTTGTTTACATTTTTTTGCGGTGCATTGTGGGATCGCGCACTGGTCAATTGAGATGTAACTTCTAACATGCTGTCATGGCCGAAGGTTTCAAAAATCGAACTAAAGTCAATAAGCCATTCTCCTAGCGATAGTTGGGCATTTAATGTCCTTTGTTCTCAGCTCTGCACGAAATCTAGTTTAATTCCAGTTTCGAAAGTTCTGGATCATAAGACGAATGTTTCTGTTACCTGGGGGTTACCCATGGCACACTTGGAAAAGTGATACGTTGAGGAGATAATCATTACTCAATCAAATGAACAATATCCAAGCACTATTTCAAAGAAACGTATATCCATGTCAATTGATTGTTAACATACGGATACTAAATAGATTTTCGAATATGGTTCGAAAACAGTAAATAATAGCTGATTAACATACATATGATACACGTGTAGGTAAGTTTGTCAATCTGATAATGAGGTCATCAAAACACATACCCCCTCTAGTAGTAAACAATAATAGAATCTAAAAATAGATTGACAGAGGCTTCTAAACTCTAGATAGAAGATAAATTGTGTTGTGTATAAACTATAGTTTAATAAATCAAATTTCCTCACATGCTTCTGTTTTTTTACTTTTTCACTCTGAAATACAGTTGTGTATCCTGTAATTAGTGTATATGTTTTGAAATAATATTTTTGTAAGAGTCAAAGAAGTACTTTATCTTTTCTGTATTAATATGCCTGTTATTCACTTCTCTTTAGCATCCTATAGTTTAAAGCTTTAATATCTTGTTGATAGTATAGTAATGCATGAGTTATGTATTTTTTCATTCTAGTGTGGATTGTGGCATTCTGTCCATATAGATGACTTACGAATTTCCACAGTTATTCCACCATTATGTGACATGTGTGACAAGTCGGCCGGTGAAATACTTTCAAGCTCAAAACAGGAAGTGAAACAAACCAGTGAAAAAGTAGAAACTTTAGAAGAATCTGAATTACAAACATATGAAGGAGATAAATATGAACCTGAGCTATTTGAACAAAAAGAATTTCACATCAATAAGTTTATCAGGAGTTGTGTACTTAAAGCACTGGCCTGTTTAAAAGATCCTCCTACAGACTCTGGACATACATCTGGACGCACAACTGAAAGACTTAACATTGTTTTAAGACTGCTTGAAAATAGTCATGGTAAGCTAGAAGTAAAACATCCAATCTAGGAGTAAGGTATTGTAAATTCAGAAATAATTGTGTACAATTATTAATGCAATTATTGAAGAATGGATAAAAAAAGAGTCCAAGAAAATCTGCATACAGATAATTGCATCAAATATCAGAATGGGAGTTTTAATGTATGAGCATATTTCAGATTTTCAGACGCTTAGTTCCAGTTTGCCATTATTTGAAATTTTTCAATATGTTAAATTAACTTGAATTTTTTTGTCACATGTTGCTCTATTACTATTGGACAGAATAACTTCCTGTTTGGTCAACAACTTGATGTGGGTGGCGATTTTTAGGTCTGTCAAACATGTATTTCCTTTTTTTTAACCTGTATTTAATACTTTGAACTACTAGTATACTTAGCTTGTTGTGTGCATTTATACTAAGAATAGTTAAGAAAAAGAGTACTGTGCTCTAATACTTTGAATTAGGAGTGGGGTATAGATACCTGCCAACCTCTGAAACCTTCAAAGAGGGAGATCTCCCCCTCATCTGTCATAGCTGAGGGGGATATTTTGCGCGAACGACATTCTCAAGTTAAATGTATGACCTGTTTAAGTATTCTTCTACAAAACACCAAAAAGAGTTAATGAATAGACTTTATTTCTTCAAATCATGGTTATATTATAATAATCTATACAAAGTGGGGTTTTTTTTAGCCTTTTTCAATACCTCCGAGTCTCATAACTCATAACATTCCATATTTTGATTTTGATGTGAGTTTCACACTAAGCATGTTTTCAAACATCGTACAGACCACCAGAAGAAAAGTTGATTGAACATGATGTGCAAAAAGATTCATTGCCAGGTGAACTTGGTCGTAAAAATAGAAAATCTTTCATTCAAATCTGCTTGACATTTCAATTTGCAGTTATCTATTTCTTCTTTCTTTTTTACACTGTCGCTTGGTCCAGACAAAGACCTCTATCTTGTTGGAGTTGACATAGCAGAACTGAATTTTGATTACTTATATATCGAACATAAAAACTACTGACCAAAGTTTTCAAATGATCGCCGATTGTTTATTTATTTCTATTGAAAGTAATGAAAAAGCCAGAGAATTACGAATGCGGGTAATTCCAGGTCAAAATATCCAAAAGCGGGAGATTCTATACTCCCGTGTGGGAGCGGACCGGCAAGCGGGAGATATCTGGAATTTCGTCGTTTGCGCGGGAGGGTTGGCAGGTATGGGTATACATTAAAATTGAGAATGGAAATGGGGAATATGTCAAAGAGACAACAACCTGAACAAAGACCAAAGAGCAGATAACAGCCGAAGGCCACCAATGGGTCTTCAACACAGCGAGAAAATCCCTCACCCAGAGTCGGGCTTCAGCTGGCCCCTAAATAAAAATGTGTACATGTTTTTCTCTGACTGTTTATGACGTCTTTAAACTAAATCCATTGGATGTTGGATGTGTACGGATTGATAATTTAGTCTTAGATGCATGATTATTTTTATTAGTTGTTAGTGGCTTTGAACTAGCTGTCAGTAACTGCGAGTACACTCTGATCTGTACTTAGTGTCTTTTTGTTGTTTGGATGTACAAGTACCCTGCCACATCCACTTGTATTTGTAGTATTTGTATTTTTATCCATCTGATGAGTTAAGCCTCTTTCAACTGATTTTTATAGTTTGTTCTTATGTTGTACTGTAACACCACTGTCCCAGGTTAGGGGGAGGGTTGGGATCCTGCTAACATGTTTAACCCCGCCACATTCTGTATGTATGTGCCTGTCCCAAGTCAGAAGCCTGTAATTCAGTGGTTGTCGTTTGTTTATGTGTTACACATTTCTTTTTTTTTCGTACATTTTTTGTACATAAATTAGGCCGTTAGTTTTCTCGTTGAATTGTTTTACATTGTCATTTCGGGGCCTTTTATAGCTGACTGTGCAGTATGGGCTTTGCTCATTGTTGAAGGCCGTATGGTGACCTATAGTTATTAATTTCTGTGTCATTTGGTCTCTTGTGGAGAGTTGTCTCATTGGCAATCATACCACATCTTCTTTTTTATAGTTCAGGGAAAATGGACGTCATACTAAACTTCCAAACATATAAATAAACTAAAATTAAAAAAACATACAAGACCAAAAAAGGCCAGAGGCTCCTGACTTGGGACATGTGCAAAAATGCAGTTAAACATGTTTTGTGAGATCTCAACCCTCCCCTATACCTTCAGCCAATGGAGAATAAACAAACACATAGCAATACGCACAGTAAAAATCAGTTTCAAAGAAGTCTTGAGTCCAATGTCAGAATAGGTAACAAAAGAAATGAAGCAAAATGACAATGATACATAAATTAACAAATGGCTACTAGCAGTTACTGACATGCCAGCTCCGGACCTCAATTAAACTGATTGAAAGATTATGTCTTCATCATATGAAAATCAAGCACAACATTCCCTCCCGTTAGGGGTTTAGTATCATACCATCATAAAATATATGAGAAGAACATAACCTGTATCATGCCAACAACTGGTTTTAGAATAAATGTGTTTATTTCCGATGCAAAGACCCAATGAGTGAATCAATATTAATACCAAAATATGCCATCTTTAATGACCTAACAACAGTATCGTAACTATATCCCTTCTGAATAAGTCTGTTTAAAGGTTTGGTTAGCTTTTGAGGTGAAAGCCGACATTTTTGTGCTTTGTAAAGAATATTACCATAAAAGATTGGATGTGAAATACCTGAACATATAAGATGTCTGCATGTTGATTTATATTAACAAATGATGTCCGTGTACCGATGATAAAATTTAGTAAATGTTTTGACTAGTTTGTGATATCGAAAACCCTGGTGTAATAATTTTTCAGTAAAACAGAGATTTCTTTCGTTAAAATCAAATATGTTGTTACATGCATGAGCGAATCGAACAAGTTAAGATATATAAATACCATAAGATGGTGACAAGGGAACGTCACCATCTAAAATAGGATGATTAACAATAGGAAATGAAAAATCATCTCTTTTAGCATAAATTTTGGTATTAAGCTTCAAGTTAAAGATATAGATATCAAAATCCAGGAAAGGGCAGTGTTCATTGTTAGTATTAGCTTTATTTAAAGTCAGTTCAGCAGGATAAATCTCTTTAGTGTACATACTGAAGTTGTCATTATTGAGAGACAATATATCATCCAAATATCTAAAAGTGTTATGAAATTTTTGTATCAGATGTTGTTTCAATGGGTCTTTTCTGATTTTAGTCATAAATTGTAACTCATAACAATACAGAAACAGGTCTGCAATAAATGGTGCACAGTTAGTCCCCATTGGAATTCCGATAACTTGACGATATACGGAATCTCCATAGCGAACAAAAATATTATCCAGTAAAAATTCATTGGCAGTTATAGTATCAAAGCTGGTCAAATGTTGTGTGCATGTATACTAAGACTTATAAAGAAAAGGAGAATTTTAAGAAAAACATTTGGCTTATGTAGGAATAATGCATCAATATTCATAGTGTCAATATTTCTATTATCTAAAAGTTAAGGTCATCTCAAATAGTTTGAATTGCCAATGTATACTTTTTATGTATTGATGAACTTGATTTGGTGCTCTTTTACATAAAATAGATCAATGTCATTTATATTTTTATCAACAATTGTTCTTTTATTTCAACATTCAATTGAATTATGACGTGTTTTGAAAATTTTCATGAATATTGATTTTTTATGAAAACAATTATAAATCTGTTCAATAAACATTTGTTAAAATGTTGAATTTCATCTTGGTGTAATTCAAATTGAGCTGACCAGTTGATAAGTGATCGCCTGTAAAGATTTGGGTGTAAAAAGTGTAATATATTATATTATATAATATTATTATATTTAATGTTTTACAGAGGAAAGAAAGACAGTTCTGTCAGGAATTGCTGAACACACAAATAAGATCATCAGAGAACGAGAAGAAAACTTTGATACAACAACTTCATCTAACTGGTTATCTGTATTGGCCTCTAGACCAGAAAATATTACCAAGGCTGGAACATTCAGGTCAGTAATGATATGAAAAAGCATCAGAAAAAAGAGTTGGCTTTGAAAATTGGTGCACAGGAATAATTTTTACTGTCAATTACTTCTCTTTACTTAATTTCAAACATTTTAATGATATCATTACAATACAAAATATTGTGTCCATTTTAGTATTTTATATTGTGTTTTTATTAGAAGGTCAGCAAAAAGTAGACAAGGTTGACCTAATTTCATTCTTTACTCATTTAGATAAAATTAATATCAACGTTTCATATCTAGGGTACTAAGATATGAGTTTTGTGATAAGTTGCATTATACTGATAAAGTATGCATTTGGGTAAATGATATCATGCACTTATTGACTTTGTTAGTTCAGTTGACTCTGGTTATCTCAAAGTTGTCCAGACCAGAGAAATGTTTGGACTTACTAGTCTAGGATATACTTAGGTGAGGTTTAGACATTAGTGTCAGATATTCTGACTCCTTGGTTTTTTTCCTACAATATAGGGTATAAATATTTTGCCCCATAACACCCATTTTTCTTTTCATATAAGACTTCAATAGCTCATGAATGTTTCATTTACAAAAGTTAAAGCAGATTCTAGATTTCTTTTCTTTTGATTTGAGACCCAAATAATACCAATGCAAACATAAGGTAAAAGTCTGAGTCAGCCTTTCCCTCCATTGTTTAAAACTTAAATATCTCGAAAAGGACTTCCATAACCTATCAAAATGTTTAGCTTATTTTGTCCCTTAACTAATGCTTTTCAGACTTATAGTATCAATTTTAAATTTCTAGTTTATTTTAATTTCACTTAGATACACATCCTTAAGTCTGACTAAAACAAATACTGGAAGTTTGTCTGACCAAGGGACACAACTCATGCTTAACTTGTTTGAAGGCTAAAATAGATCCAGTAGGATATGGGTTGGGAATCGATAATCTGGTCTGAGATTGATGTATCCGTATATAATTGTCTTTTATTGTTTAGATCTGGTATTCGTCTTGTTTATTGTCTAGTGGAAAGTAAAAAAATATGCAAAAAAACAACATACTTTGATTTTGAATTAAGAGTGTTATCATAATGTTATCTTTAATGACAATGCTAGATTGTAGATTTTTCTCTTTGCAGGGAATGTGTCAGTCAGTTTTTGGAATCAAAAGTTGTTCCCATTTTAGCAGGAATAATTTCGTTTATAGACACAAATAGGAACTTAGATATTCTGATCAGAAATGAAGAACAGAAACAAAAATGGCAGACAGAACTTTGGCTCCAGATCATTAATGATCCTGAATTGACACAATTAAACTATACAACAATTGTGTCTCCAAAACAGCAACAGGAACTCTCAGAATATGTTGTGAAAACAACATCATCTACTGGCAGGGTTTTCTCTGCTGTAATGCCTTTCTCTTGGTTGATTTACAACCAGATTGATGAAGTATTAGTCAATACCAAAAAAACTCTACAAGAAAGTGGTAAGTAAATCAAAGTCATGAATGATCAATTTAAAAAAATTATGTTTCGACACTGCCATTTGCCCCTGTCTTTTGATAATATTTAGAAATAAATTTGGAATCAGCCTTGTCCCAATTATATTTTTACTACATCTAAAGAAAAATAGATCATAACAGAAATCTGCTAGTATTAAGTTATTTCTCAGAAACTCAGTCCTAGGGGAGGTCAACAATTCTTTTGAGAAAAAATCCTCTGAGTCCCAACATTGTGCAAATAACGTGTCATCTCAGAAAAAATTTATAGATGAAATCCTTTGTATGATTAAATATATCAATCAGCTCACTGAAACCTAAAGGTGGTAAATAGACATCATATTTTTTTCTTAAAAGAGGGTTTAATTGTATAAACGTTTGTTCCTTAAAAATTTGATTCCAAAAAAACAGATGACCATTCTTTTACTTATTGTATTTAGCCATGTATAGTAAGCAGTTGTGTATAATATGTACTCCTCCAAAATCGTGAAATAAAGTTTTATAAAAAAATTAAAAAATAGAAAAAAAAACAAAAAACAAATGAAAAAAATGAAAAAGTGAAAAAAAAAGAAATAAAGAATTTGTTTTTAAAAGTCTAGTTCACTGTAAAAAGCCTTTATAGGGAACCAATAATTTAGTATCTTAATTGTGTTAATAATATTTGTTAAACATTTGTAATAGTTTCTGTTTTTTTCCCCCTACCAGATGACCTTATAAATGTAGCCCTTAAAGCTGCTGACATATTTCAAGATTTTCCATTAGGAAGACTGTTGTTGAGTATGGAAGAGGTCACCACACAAGACATCCTTCGATGCTATATTAGAGATTTTGTTTTTATGGTTTACCCAGTTCAAACTGAGAATGAATGTAATGTAAGTTAACTTGTATGAAAATAAGGAGATGTGGTATGATTGCCAATGAGACAACTATCCACATAGTTCAATTGAATTGGATGTAAGTAATTATAGTCAACCATACAGCCTACAATAATGAGAAAACCCATACCATACAGTCTGCTATAAAAGGCCTTGACATGAAAAATATGAAACAATTCAATTGAGAAAACTATAGCCTAAATTACTATATAACCAACCAATTTACAAAAAGACAAATATGACAGACATGAACCAACAACAACTATTGAACTACAGGCTTCTGACTTGGGACAGGCATATACAGAATGTGGTAGGTTTAAACATGTTTGAAGGCATCAACCCTCCCCTAACCTGGGATAGTGGTGTAACAGTACTACATAAGAAAAAACTATAAGAATCAGTTGAAATGGATTTAACTCATCAGACCCATACAAAGCAGAAAAACATCTAACAAAAACACAGGCCGGAGGTGGCAGGGAATTTTAACATCCCTCACAACCGAAAATACACAAAACAACGCATTTAAACATAGGCAAAAGTGAAAAATTTGTTGGCTCTTTAGCTTTTTTTATGGTTGTAGTAAGTCTGGTTATTCCTGTTTATTTCACTGAAAGAATGGACTGAATTACTGGATGAAGGAAATTCCTTGCCAGCTTCATAGTCAAATAATAATGTCAACCTAATAGTGCAGTAATACAAAAAACGTGTGGGCAATACTTTCTTTTTAGACCCCGTTCACACTAGGACATTCAGATCGATTTAAACTAGATCGGTTCACTTTAGATCGATTTAAGGGCCAATGTGAACGCATTGAATCGATCTTCAATTGGTCTAAACTAAAACACCAAAAGAGGTAGTTTAGTTTGAATCGATCTAAAGTGAACTGATCTTACTTTAAATGTGAACGCAGAGATCGGTTTAAACTAGTACGATTGAATCGAAAATAATGTATGCGCATGTATAGCAGCACAACTATATCAATGGTTAGTTGTTTAACCCATATTTCTCTGTTAACAGACCTTTGTGTACATGCACGTAAAAACAAACTGAAAACATGTTGTCTTCGCCGTTGCATAAATTTGCGAAATCTGTGTCTTCTTTTTTTAGTTGATTTTTTTGTTTTCAGGAACCGCAGTATTTCGTCGTGTTGTAACTTCGTTGCTAGTTTTTTGTTTCAAAATCAAAGAAAACTGCAAGAACACCAGTATCAAAATTTGAACTTGTGATTCAAGAGAAACAATAACTTCACCCAATTTTTTTTTTCAAGTGTGTGTATCAGTGTATCAACACATCAATTTGATAAATTAGTTCTATTTATACACAATGTTTACTGTTTTACAGGTAATAAGGTCAGATCAATTGCATTTTAAATTGTAGTGTGAACGCACTGGTTCAGATTAGACCGATAGAGATCGTTGTGATTAAAGATAATGTCAACGCTGACTGGTTTTATTTAGATCGATTCAAATTAGATCGATAAAAGAAAAATGCTAGTGTGAACGGGGTCTTATTTTTTTCATCAATAATTATGTAAAAAATGTCAAGATTTGAAATCTTAATTGCTCAAGTAACAGCATGATTTATGTGACTTGCCAACATATAAACACGAGTTCTTACTTGGCAATTTAGGTTTAAATAAATGAGCAATTTCACAATAGCCATCCCAATTATCACTGTAGAATTGACCTTAAACAAAGAATTTGGATATTACAGTAATGCATTCATGATTAATTCTGTTAATTGCAACTGAAACATTTGGATTGAATAAATGCTTCTTTTCTTCTATTCTCTTTATTAATTTATTTCATGCTTAAGATTTATATTTGAGAAGTTTTTTTCTTTTTTTTACAGCTTATATGTGAAAGTGTTGCCATAGAATGTAAAACACTGCTCAGGGGAGAATATGGAAGGCTTCTTCCCTCTTTATTTGGTTGTCACATTGTGTATGCCTACCAAGCAGCAAGATTTCAAAATTTTTCACACATTGTTTGTGTTTGGCCAGACTGTAGTGAAAAGGTTCTTGACTATCAACAGAGAGAATCCAAAAACTTTCTGGTCACCGATGAAGAAAACGTAAGAACTTTATTAATCTATTATTTCTTCCATGAATGTCACAGAATCAAATTCCATTATGTGTTTATTGCTTTTCATGACTGATTTCTGCATATTAAGGTGGATGTCTTTATTAAAATCCATAGAATTTTTTAATAATTTGTCAAAATGTAGTTTTTATACGACCGCAAAAAAAATTTTGTGGTCGTATATTGGTATGACGTTGGCGTCGTCGTCGTCGTCGTCGTCGTCGTCGTCCGGCGTCGTCGTCGTCCGAATACACAATGGTTTTCGCACTCTAACTTTAGTTTAAGTGAATGGATCTCTATGAAATTTTACCATAAGGTTCAATACCACAATAGGAAGGTGGGGATTGATTTTGGGGGTTATGGTACCAACAGTTAAATAATTAGGGGCCAAAAAGGGGCCGAAAATAAGCATTTTTGTAACTTCCAGACATAACTTGTGTGTTATTGTATGGATCTCTTTGACATTGTACTACAAGATTCCATATCACAAAGGGTCGATGATGGGATTGATTTTGGGGTTAATTTCCTCGAAATTTTAGGAATAAGGGGCCAAAAGGGGGAAAAAAACAAGCATTTTTCTAGTTTCATGACAATAACTTGTGTGTAAGTGTATGGATCTTTCTGAAATTTTACTACAAGGTTCCATTTTGCAAAGGGAAAGCTGGAATTGAGTTTTGTGGTAATTGCCCAAAACGTTTAGTAATAAGGGGCCTAAAAAGGGGTGAAAAATAAGCATTTTTTAGTTTCTAGACAATAACTTGTGTTCAAGTGTATGGATCTCTCTAAAATTGTATTACAAGGTACCATACCACAAAGGCAAGGCTGTTATTGAGCTTGGTTTGGGGGGGAAGGGGGGGTGATGAATCATAGGGGGGGGGGGGGGTCAAAAAAGGGGTAATTATTTTTTTTCGTTTAAGGAATAAGGGGAAAAAAGGTTAAAAAACTAGGGTTTCCATTTTAATAGACAAATAATTGAGTAAAGAACATTATTTAAAAGCAGTGTAAGGTTGGTAATTCAAACTCATTTAAATATCTCACCTGCACTATGTTTGAATTATGTAAATTGGAAATTTGCCAATTATTTTAGTATAATAAACTTCATTGGAAATTTGCCAATATAAAATTTTGCTGATGAAGGTTTTTTGTTTACCTTTAGTCTGACTATGATGTCATTTTCTATTTTAATAGCCTTATGATGTAGTTAAATTTTTTTTAATACTTTTATGATGTATTTTAATGCGCTTTTATGGTTGCAAATTTATTGTTTTAATATAATAAACTCCATTGGAAATTTACCAATAGTTTGTTTATTTTTAGCTATGACTATGATGTCATTTTCTATATAATTTTAAGGTTACAAATTAATTTCAGTTTTAAATATTATTGTAAAATGTTTGCCCAAAACATTTATTAATAAGTGGCCAAAAAAGGGGGCAAAAATAAGCATTTTTTTAGTTTCCAGACATTAACTTGTGTTCAAGTGTATGGATTTCTCTGAAATTGTACTTAAAGGTACCATACCACAAAGGGAAGTGGGTCAAAAAATTTTGGGGGGGGGGGATTTTTTTTCCTTTTTTTTTTCTTTAAAATTTTCCATTTTAAGTTGGTTAATTCTGATCACAAAGAGAAAGTTGGAATTGAGTTTGGGGGATAATTGCTCAAATGTTTAGGAATAAGGGGCTAAAAAAGGGGTTAAAAATAAGCATTTTTTTTTAGTTTCCAACAATTAATTGTGTTTAAGTAATTGGATCTCTGTGAAATTGTACTGCAAGGTACCATACCACAAACTGAAGGCTGGGATTGAGTTTGGGGGGGCATGATGTGTGAAAATTTTCCACTTAAAGTTGGTTAATTATTTCTGATTTAGATATAAAAGCAAATAATAATGATGTGGTTTGATTTTATCAAAAACTTAAATTGAAGTTATGTATATTGTAAATTTAGGTTACATTGGAATTTAAGAATTGGCTTTGGGGTAGGGTTATGGCTCAAACCTTTAAATAATAAGGGAAAAAAAGGTGAAAAAACAAGGGTTTCCAGGTTAATAGACAAATAAGTACAAAACATTATTTAAAAGCAGTGTAAGGTTGGTAATTCAAACTCATTTAAATATCTCACTTACACTGCTTTTAAATTATGTAAATTGGAAATTTGCCAATAACTTTATTGTTAATAAATGCATTGGAAATTTGCCAACAATTTTAGTATAATAAACTTCATTGGAAATTTGCCAATATAAAATTTTGCTGATGAAGGTTTTTTGTTTACCTTTAGCCTTGACTATGAAGTCATTTTCTATTTTTATAGCCTTATGATGTAGTTGAATTATTTAATACTTTTATGATGTGTTTAAATGGGGTTTTATGGTTGCAAATTTATTGTTTTAGTTTAATAAACTCCATTTAAAATTTGGTAATAAAAAAAATTTTTGTTTATTTTTAGCTATGATTATGATGTCATTTTCTATTTTACTTTTATGGTTGCAAAGAAATTTTTATTTTTAGATATTACTGTTAAATGATGCTGATTAAGGTTTTTGCTATGTTTAGCCATGACTATGATGTCATTTTCTATTTTAATATCTGTCATGATGTATTTAAATGGGCTTTTATGGTTACAAAGGAATTTTATTTTTAGATATTACTGTAAAATGTTGCTGATTAAGGATTTTGTTTATTTTTAGCCATGACTATGATGTCATTTTCTATTTTAATACCTTTATTATGTAATTTCCATTTTTAGATATTACTGTTAAATGATGCTGATTGAGGGTTTGAATGCTGGGATTGATTTTGGGGGTAATTGCCTCCAAATTTTAGGAATTAGGGGGCAAAAAACAAGCATTTTTCTAGTTTCATGACAATTACTTGTGTGTAAGTGTATGGATATTTATGAAATTGTACTACAAGGTTCCATATCACAAAGGGAAAGCTGGAATTGAGTTTGGGGGTACTTGCCCAAAACGTTTAGGAATAAGGGGCCAAAAATAAGCATTTTTCTAGTTTCCAGACAATAACTTGTGTTCAAGTGTATGGATCTCTCTGAAATTGTACTGCAAGGTACCATACCACAAAGGGAAGGCTGGGATTGTTTTTGGGGGTAATTGTCTCAAAATGTTAGGAATTAGGGGCCATAAAGGGGCAAAAAAACAAGCATTTTTCTAGTTTCATGACAATAACTTGTGTGTAAGTGTATGGATCTTTATGACATTGTACTGCAAGGTTCCATATCACAAAGGGAATGCTTGGTTTGAGTTTGGGGGTAATTGCCCTAAACTTTTAGGAATTTGGGGCCAAAAAGGTGCAAAAAACCCAAGCATTTTTCTAGTTTCCAGACAATAATTTGTGTTCAAGTGTATGGATCTCTCTGAAATTGTACTGCAAGGTACCATACCACAAAGGGAAGGCTGGGATTGAGTTTGGGGGTGATGAATCATAAGGGGGTTTCAAAAAATTTGGGGGGGGGGATTTTTTTTTCCTTTTTTTTCTTTAAAATTTTCCATTTTAAATTGGTTATTTCTGATTTATATATAAAAGCAAATAATAATGATATGGTTTGAATAGGTAAATTAAAAAATTTTAAGTTCTTAGACTACTTTCATTCTGTGTGAGAAACCTATGCTGTGTCAAATATTTAATTACAATCCAAATTCAGTGCTGTATCAAGCTTGAATGTTGTGTCCATACTTGCCCCAACTGTTCAGGGTTCGACCTCTGCGGTCGTATCAAGCTGTGCCCCAGCGGAGCATTTTATTAACATATCTAATTTACAATGGTTCTTGAGATAAATTGTGAATTTGGAGACAATCAGATCACTTTTACAAAAATTGAATATTTCTTGTAATTTTCCTTATTGTACATGAGAAGAAATTTAATTTTATTTGATAAATATTAACAGGCAAACAGTTGAAAAACTTGCTGATGGCATTGAGTATCGTAAATTTACACAAGATAAAATAAATGGGTATTTTCACAATTTTTATTTAGCATGCGTGGAAGCTAAAATAAATTATGCTTTAATGCTAAAGCTAGTTATAGTAGTAGTAATCAGATTGATGCTTAAGAAATTTCAAGGTTTTATTTTTTATATATATATTTTGTAAAAACTTAAATTTTACACTTCTACTGAAACAAATATTATTGATAATGATATATTTGTTTCTTTAAAAGTCTAAAGTTATACATTTCTATTGAATTTAACAATTTGATAATGTTACATTTGTTTCTTTGAAAGACGTGAATGTTCTGGAAATATATATCATACAAAGGAGATAGCAAGGTAAACTGTCAGTCATGTTGTAACCAGTCCTATCAAGTTTAATTTTTGTTTGAGTTAACTCCCTTTTACTCTATATTTTAGTTGAATTTGACAGTATTTTTATAGAACTTTTTCATGATTATCTTCAAATTTAATGAATTATAAACGGAAATTTACAATGTGAAACTTATTTTTCATTTATTGCTTCATTTAATTCTTTTACAATTTAATTACAAATGTAAATGGTTTCAAAAACCAATGATCTATTTATTACCTGTATTTTAATTTCAATTTTTATACGACCGCAAAAATTGAAAATTTTTTGGTCGTATATTGGTATGACGTTGGCGTCGTCGTCGTCGTCGTCGTCGTCGTCGTCGTCGTCGTCGTCGTCTGGCGTCGTCCGGCGTCGTCCGAAGACACATTGGTTTTCGCACTCTAACTTTAGTTTAAGTGAATGGATCTCCATGAAATTTTACCATAAGGTTCAATACCACGAAAGGAAGGTGGGGATTGATTTTGGGGGTTATGGTACCAACAGTTAAGGAATTAGGGGCCAAAAAGGGGCCAAAAATAAGCATTTTTGTAACTTCCAGACAATAACTTGTGTGTAAGTGTATGGATCTCTCTGACATTGTACCACAAGGTTCCATATCACAAAGGGAAGGCTGTAATTGATTTTGGGGGTAATTGCCTCAAAATTTTAGGAATTAGGGGCCAAAAAAGGGGCAAAAAACAAGCATTTTTCTAGTTTCATGACAATAACTTGTGTGTAAGTGTTTGGATATTTCTGAAATTGTACTACAAGGTTCCATATCACAAAGGGAAAGCTGGAATTGAGTTTGGGGGTAATTGCCCGAAACGTTTAGGAATTGGGGGCCAAAAATAAGCATTTTTCTAGTTTCCAGACAATAACTTGTGTTCAAGTGTATGGATCTCTCTGAAATTGTACTGCAAGGTACCATACCACAAAGGGAAGGCTGGGATTGAGTTTGGGGGTGATGAATCGTAAGGGGGTTAAAAAAATTTGGGGGGGGGGATTTTTTTTTTTTCTTTTTTTTTCTTTTTTTCCTTTTTTTTTTTCTTTTAAAATTTTCCATTTTAAGTTGGTTATTTCTGATTAATATTTAAAAGCAAATAATAATGATATGGTAGGAGATACACACCAAACAGGATGTTTAAATTATTATATAATAAGTATTGTGCAATAGCAAGAAATTTTCAATTGCACAGTATTGCACAATTGCAAGAAATCTTCAATTGCACAGTATTGCGCAATAGCAAGAAATCTTCAATTGCACAGTATTGCGCAATAGCAAGAAATATCCAATAGCACAATATTGCGCAATAGCAAGAAATTGTCAATTGTACAGTATTGCACAATAGCAAGAAATATTCAATTGCACAGTATTGTGCAAAAGAAGATACTTCGTATAAATTGCTTATTTCTTGATCAATTTCAATGGGGTTTTATTCTTGAATTCTTGGGGTTCTTTAATATGCTGAATCTAACCGTGTATTAAGTTTTTGGATTTTGGGCCCCGTTTTTAAATTGGTCCACATTGAGGTCCAAAGGGTCCAAAATTTAACTTTGTTTGATTTCATCAAAAATTGAATTATTGGGGTTCTTTGATATGCCGAATCTAACCGTGTATTTAGATTCTTAATTTTTGGTTCCGTTTTCAAATTGGTCTACATTAAGGTCAAAAGGGTCCAAAATTAAACTTAGTTTGATTTTAACAAAAATTGAATTTTTAGGGTACTTTGATATGCTGAATCTAAACATGTATTTAGATTTTTGATTATGGGCCCAGTTTTCAAGTTGGTCCAAATCGGGGTCCAAAATTAAACTTTGTTTGATTTCAACAAAAATTGAATATATGGGGTTCTTTGATATGCTGAATCTAACCATGTATTTAGATTTTTGATTTTTGGGCCCGTTATCAACTTTGTCCACATTGAGGTCAAAAGGGTCCAAAATTAAACTTTGTTTGATTTCATCAAAAATTGAATTGTTGGGGTTCTTTGATATGCCAAATCTAACCGTGTATTTAGATTTTTAATTTTGGGTCCTGTTTTTAAATTGGTCTACATTAAGGTCCAAAGGGTCCAAAATTAAACTTAGTTTGATTTTAACAAAAATTGAATTCTTGGGGTTTTTTGATATGCTGAATCTAAACATGTGTTTAGATTTTTGATTATGGGCCCAGTTTTCAAGTTGGTCCAAGTTGGGGTCCAAAATTAAACTTTGTTTGATTTCAACAAAAATTGAATATATGGGGTTCTTTGATATGCTGAATCTAAACATGTATTTAGATTTTAGATTTTTGGTCCAGTTTTCAAGTTGGTCCAAATTGGGGTCCAAAATTAAACTTTGTTTGATTTCAACAAAAATTGAATATATGGGGTTCTTTGATATGCTGAATCTAACCATGTATTTAGATTTTTTATTTGTGGACCCCCTATCAAATTGGTTCATATTGAGGTCAAAAGGGTCCAAAATTAAACTTTGTTTGATTTCATCAAAAATTGAATTATTGGGGTTCTTTGATATGCCAAATCTAACTGTGTATTTAGATTTTTAATTTTGGGTCCTGTTTTTAAATTGGTCTACATTAAGGTCCAAAGGGTCCAAAATTAAACTTAGTTTGATTTTAACAAAAATTGAATTCTTGGGGTTCTTTGATATGCTGAATCTAAACATGTGTTTAGATTTTTGATTATGGGCCCAGTTTTCAAGTTGGTCCAAGTTGGGGTCCAAAATTAAACTTTGTTTGATTTCAACAAATATTGAATATATGAGGTTCTTTGATATGCTGAATCTAAACATGCATTTAGATTTTAGATTTTTGGCCCAGTTTTCAAGTTGGTCCAAATTGGGGTCCAAAATTAAACTTTGTTTGATTTCAACAAAAATTGAATATATGGGGTTCTTTGATATGCTGAATCTTACCATGTATTTAGAATTTTATTTTTGGGCCCGCTATCAAATTGGTTCATATTGAGGTCAAAAGGGTCCAAAATTAAACTTTGTTTGATTTCATCAAAAATTGAATTATTGGGGTTCTTTGATATGCCAAATCTAACCGTGTATTTAGATTTTTAATTTTGGGTCCCGTTTTTTAAATTGGTCTACATTAAGGTCCAAAGGGTCCAAAATTAAACTTAGTTTGATTTTAACAAAAATTGAATTCTTGGGGTACTTTGATATGCTGAATCTAAACATGTGTTTAGATTTTTGATTATGGGACCAGTTTTCAAGTTTGTCCAAGTTGGGGTCCAAAATTAAACTTTGTTTGATTTCAACAAAAATTGAATATATGGGGTTCTTTGATATGCTGAATCTAACCATGTATTTTGATTTTGGACATTGGACCATAATAGGTAAATTAAAAAAATTGAAGTTCTTAGACCACATTCTTTCTGTGTCAGAAACCTATGCTGTGTCAAATATTTAATCACAATCCAAATTCAGAGCTGTATCAAGCTTGAATGTTGTGTCCATACTTGCCCCAACTGTTCAGGGTTCGACCTCTGCGGTCGTATCAAGCTGCGCCCAGCGAAGCATTTTATTATCATACTTTTTTCCTAAATATAATAAAAAGTATGGGTCACCAGACTTTTTTTCATGCTACAGGTTGTGCAAAATTGTCAGATTTTGTATAGATTATGCATGGAAAATCCAATTTTGAGTGATAAAAAGAAAACTACACCATAGAATTTTAAGATAAAATGTGCGAAGATAGCTCTTATAACATGCTTTCAAATAGAAAAAGAAAAAAATGGGGTCACTGGACTTGTTTTCTTGCTACATATTAAAATAGGTAAATTCGCAACACTTTCTATTATTAAAATTACTTTATCTAAGTTATCTTCCCTACTATATGAGTTATCTCCCCTTATGTGGCAAAGTTTTAAAAAAATGAATCAAACAAAATACAGCCATAAATATGATAAAACACATCATTTTCTATACTAGCAAGAAAAGTCTTACACATGAATTACATACTACTCTCAAAATTTGCACATTTCAGTAAAGATCTAGACCAATTGGTATCTGCTACTTCAAAATCCAAGATGGAGGAAGACACCCACCCCAAGTACCTTAAAACCAATTTCAATGGATTTTTTCTGTAGATATTCTTGATTAAGAAAAATACAGGAAATGTTAACACATCTTTGGAGGGGAGTAGGACATTTTGAAATCAGGCATAAAACACATAATGGATTTTTCTTTCTATAGATATACCTGTTTTAAATAAAAATACAAGAGCGGGGGTGTAGTAGACATTTTGTCATATAATTGTTAAATATCTTTAAGAAATTTTGTGTTGAGTAGTTGGGTGGAGAAATGTCTGACTTGATTAAATTTTTGATTGGTTACCCACAGTTCAGCACATGTTCATTTAAAATTGTTATGACTGTCACGATGTACTAATTATTTTCTTTCATATTTTGATAAATTTCAGACATTAGACATCCTAGCTCTTCAGTTACTAATTGATGATCTCAAACCTGTCAAAGATGCACTGAACAAACCAGAACCTAGAAATAAATGGTTACAGAAGGTCTGCCAGTATAGACCTGTTGTTGAAAGAATATTTGGACATTTCAAACAGGATGTTCAAAATCAGGAATTAAAATATGGAGAGCAATGCCAACAGGGTCTTCAGCAAGCCAGGTACTCATTTGTGTGAAGGCTTTTTGGTAACATATCTTTAAGATTTGAAAGCATTTGCTATTACATTATCATGTTTGTATATGCCATCAGCAGACATATTATGGTATATATTGTACTGTTGTCCAGTCATCTGCCTGGCATTAAAATGTTGCTCACTAATGCAAGTATGCATTGTGCAATTTACTGCATTCGTTAACTAATTTATAGAGTAGATGTCTGAGTGTTTGTATATTGGTTATGTTCCAGGCATGGGGTAATGCAAATTTGTAATTGTAATGCATGGTAATGCATTACATTTTTCCAAGTAATTGCATGTAATGTGTAATGCAGCAATTTGTGCATTACATGTCATTGTAATATAATGCATTACTTTAGCAAAAAGTTGTGTAATTTCATGCATTACATGGCATTACATGTCATTACTTTTTTCACATACTACATCTTTAAAATATTGTTGGAGTTTTAACTAAACCAAATTTAAGATTTCTTGATTAATTAAGAATATGTTAATTTTAATTAAGGTCTATGTTTATTTTATAATTAGGGAAGTAATTCACAGTAATTAAATATTTCGTTTAAAATTTAAAGAAAAACAACAAAAAATATATTTATAAAAGTGAAGTCAACATTAAGTTAAAATAATTAAAAATTGTAAAAGTCAAATTAAATAGACTTTTTACATGTATACTTATATTCAATTCATGGAACAGTTACTGCATATGCTAGAATCTTTTGTGACTTGTAGTTGTTTTTCAAAATGTTTAATTTTTCTATTCACTAATAAAATTTTCAAATGTAATGTGTAATTCAAGGCATTACTTTGCAAAAGTAATTGTAATATAATGCATTACTTTGATAAATGCATGTAATTGTAATTGTAATATAATGCATGGTTTGGTCAAAGTAATTGTAATATAATGCATTACATTGCAATGTAATTCGCCCCATGCCTGTTATGTTCTCTGTTGTTAATTAACTTATTCAGTATGGTTTTAATTTTTAAGCTGTTGGTATTGTGAAAGGATAAAGACCTGTTGAATATACAGTGTAGTACATGTACATTTAAAATTGTTATGACTGTCACGATGTACTAATTATTTTCTTTCATATTTTGATAAATTTCAGACATTAGACATCCTAGCTCTTCAGTTACTAATTGATGATCTCAAACCTGTCACCTAAGTTGACCATGTTTTCTTGGGGTAACAATCTGCTCTATCACCCTCTCAGCTATGAGTTATTTATATACTATTTCTAGTTAAAATTTAGATATCTTGTTATTTGATTTAAAATTAGTGATCTTTTTTGGTTTATTGTTAAGGAAAACAATTTAAAAACCACATTTGAAATTGGTAAAATCTGACATTTTTTTTATCAATCTATCCATTATACACATGCACTATTTTCCACAACAAACATGCAGTGTAAATCTCCTTTCAATTTGAATGTTTATTCACTGTTTTATTGAAGTAAAAAAGTTTTTTTTACCAAAATAAATCCATATTAAAATAAATGTAGCAAATAGATGCTGTTCATTTATAATTATTGTATTTTGAGGTCTCTAACTAGGATGTAAGAACCCAAAGCATCATCTACATATTCTTGAAAGTTATTGAGTTAACAAAATGACTGCTCTTCAGTTTAATTTACCAATGATAGTTGATAAGGATTTGTCTTTATCATTCTATTGTATCATTTCAGATACAGATGGACAAGAACATTTATTGTCAAGTTATTTATTGAGAATGTTTGTATGTCAAATGAAGAAGAAGGGAAAGAAGTTATACGGTGCATGGCTTTGTGGACAGTATGTATTACAATAAATAAAACTGCCTTCTATATGTGCCATTATAAGTTTTATTGGCATAAGATTTCAAATATGTAGATTCATATAATTTTGAGGATAAGCACAACTAACTGAACATTTTGGTACTTACAATTTTAGAGAGATGAAAAGACTTGTATATTAGCAGAACTAAATGAATTATTTAAAAACAATTCTAAAAGGAGGAAATGGTAACATATTATGAACAATTTTTCTAAAAAAAAATTTCCATTTTGCATTAAAGAAATATAGTTTGGAAGTTTATTATTGGAAGGACAATGAGTTTTTTTGTTGTTTTTTAGTTAAACTTTTTTTTATCAAATAATTACCAGCAAAAATTGGCAAGCATATCCAAAAAATGTTATTATTAATATTTTTTTGTGGTTATAATTTGCGGCATTATTACCAGTATATATATCAAGCCATTGCAATTGAGTCGAGCAAGAAAGGCTCTTATTTAGTAAAAAAACTGAGCAAACATAGATGTCAACATAAAACATTACAAACTTGTTCAAACAATGTCCATCCTTTCAGTCTTTTTCTGGCTCTCATGTGCACATATCATGCCAGATTTTTATAAATTTATATCAAAGGTTTACAAGATCAGGCTATTTGGACCATGTGTTGTTCATCAATTTTCTTTGAGGAGTTGGGAGTCGATGGTTGAGGTTGGTCAGTTCTACTGTCCTATATTTTCTGTAATTCCAATTATTGTCTTTTCTGTATAAAGTTAAAGTTGATGCATATATTAAGAGGTAGATGTGAAAATAAGACATCAAAAACTCACTAAACCTTCAAAAATTTATATTACACTGTCAGGTGGCATAGTTTTTCTGTTTACTTTTTTATATGATTCTATTTTGTTGTGATATCAGGGGGTAATGTTGATATGATTGCTCAACATCTTATAGTGTGAATAGCATGTTAAATGTTGTACTTCCTCCCATTAGTAAAGGCAATTCTCAGCCAAGTATAGAAATTTTCATTCAGAATATATAAAGATATGGGTTGTAAAGAAGACAACTCTTGCTAATTCATGAAATGGGAGACAACTTAAGATTTTTGTGAATATAAAAGAATATTATAAACTTTTGTCCTTTCTTATTTGCATGTGTTTTTGCTATTTTTAAGTGTTAGCTAGTTAATATAAAAATAAGGAAAACAGCTACATGGTGTTGTTTTTTTATTTATACATGGCATACCTTTCTTAGTATTTGGTTTTTGTTTAGCATGTCATTCCTTTTTTGTTTTTTTGCATGTAGAAATTAGGTGAGACTGATCCTGACATGAAGACATTAACTACATTTGAAACAATAGAGAACTATCTGAAAAAGAGAAATGACACTGTTTTAAGCCAGTGCTTTGGGTAAGCCTATCTGACAGTCTTTGTTCTGTTCTTTTATTTCTACTTAAGTTAGCCTCAACCAAATGTTATGAGACTAACACACAATGTTTATTACCACAAAACTCAGATCAAGTTCAAATTTGGGTAGCGTCACTTTTACCGTTCTTCAGTTATGTCCCTTTATAACTATACGATATGCAAGCAGGGGCATCATCTGTGTCCACATGTGGACACTATCCACATTTATTTATTCTAACTTTACTTATAAGGCATTGGTCCAATAGGGAATTGAAAAAAAGATCATGAGGTCTTACGTATACAGGTTCTCATTTATAATAGTGTTCAATAAATATTTCTGATATAACAAGGTTTTATGACATTCACACTTCTGCATGTTCTGTATACCCAATTCATATCTTATTTTCAGACTGAATGAGGATATGTGAATGTTTTCCAGGAAACATATTGAGTATCAAATTAATTTCGGTATTTTTTTTTCTTTCTTGGTATTAAATCACAGAAATTTAAAGAATATACTGCTTGTCCGCTTTAGGAGTATTCTTGTCAGTTTAGACAGAGACATATATATGTGTATATATGTCTCTGGTTTAGAGTGGGTTTATGAATGTTTGATAAGTCTTGCAAAGGTACAAGATATAAAGCACATTGAAAATCTGATTCCTCCGGTCTGTCTCAATTCCAATAAGGCAAAGTTGACCTTAGATTGATTCTGTTAATTTTTTTAAACATCTTTGGTCAAATAGCTAAAGTATTTAATAATTTAATTTTTTTTTTTTCTATTTTTCTGTCTCAAACTCGCACTTCTCTTTTATCATCCATACGAGATGTTGTTCACACCTGAAACGGTGAACCCTTGAGGCCAAAATACACTCGAGTGAAGATCAAAAGATTAGAATTACAAAATGCTAATCTTTTAATTATCGTGAATTTAACCACGCCTTCACCAGGTAGTGTCAAGAGTATAATACACATTGTATTTACACAGTACTAGCGGGAAATGTTTGCTAGACTGAATTAAAAGGTGAGAAAACATACATGCATTTACATTACATTATCAGTTATATATGTTTGTTCAACATATCTGTCCGAAATTATTTTTCACAAAAATATTTTATTGTATGATTTACTTTTATTACTAAAGGCAAGGATTTGTATAGTATACTATACAAATCCTTGCTAAAGGCATATCAGAAATCCATTAAATATAAATCTGCCTGTACCTTATAATGTAAAAAGTTGCATGGCTGTTCATTTTATTTTCTTAATTATTAGTTGGTTAATACATGTAGCTATGCAAATTAGTCATCAACATGCTTTAAATTGCGTTATTAGATGATTAACGAACAAGACTTAAAAAATGAGATTAATTCCACTCCCGGCATGCAATTAGTGTAAAAATACATCACAGTACACAGGAAGTTCAAATAAATAAAATTAATAATTTCCAATTTTCTTCTTTATTAGTGTTCATATCCAGATAAAACTTGGTGAATATGTTTTTTATGTTATGATGAACATAATTAGATGATAAGTAAAAAATCGTGAATTTTTCCTTTAAGGATAAAAAATAGGTCACTCTTACCCATTTTTCATACCTGCATGACATGTGTTAATCAAAACTATTGTGAGTTGTGTTAAAGCATAACATCAGTGCTAAATTTTGTTCCCATTACTTTTGGTTATTGGAGTAGGAGATTACTTAGCATAACAATGGATACAACTTCTTGTTCTACTTTAGAATTCTACCACTAATATGAATGAAGAATTTTTTTTATTGTTCATTGTTTTAAATGATTACGGTAACAATATAATTTATTTTGTAGAATATTATCACCATGTTTAGCTTGTGAACGCAAGATCAGCACTCTCCCAGTTAAACTTCCATGTAATGATGTTTATTGCGAAAACTGTTACCGAGACATAATCATTGAGAAAAAGCAATGCATACATTGTAACGAAACACTGCCAGAAAACTTCAATCCAGCAGAATTGCATAAAAGGTAAAGTAAACAAAATAAACTGCACCCCAAAAAAGTTCTGTTTGTTAGTGGGCTGTATCTTAGACCATTTGTCATTTCAAATCATACATTTCTGATATGGTCACAAGAGGCAATGCCAAAAGAATGATAAGAAAGTTTTTGGGTTTATAGAAATCAGCATACCAACTGTGTAATTGACCATGCTTTACTTTATGTTATAACCTTGCACATTGTTGACTTGACTGGTTTTCTTCAGCAGTAAGTTTTAATTTCTGACCAGTTGAACAGTTTGGTTTGATAGAAAAAAATTACAATTAAGTCAGAATTTTGAATGAACTGCAATAAGTGGAGAGCAACACTTACAGTCAAGTTACAGTAATAAGGTGATACAATATCTACTGACAAATTAAGTTTAACCCTTGTCTGTCTGTACATCCCAAAATTAGTTTCCATTCTCTAACTTTAGTTTGCCTCAACCAAATGTTATGAAACTTATACACAATGCTTAATACCACCAAGTACAGATCAAGTTTGAGTTTCGGTGGGGTCACTTTTGCAGTTCTTGAGTTATGTCCCTTTGGAAATTGAAAATTGATCAAATAAAGTAAGTATTAAAGTAAAAAAGCTATGTAAATTGAATTTCAGAATTTGCCATATACAATGTATTTACAAGCAGGGCATCTGTGTCCAATAAACACATTCTTCACTTGTTTTAAATCAGTTCCATTTTAATAATCAAGACATAATGCCAGGTATTCAACTTCAACACCTCTGACTTTTTGTCAAGATTTTTACTTCACATTAAAACATGTATGATATTAGTTAAAATCTTCCCAAAATCATAAAATAATTTTGAGAGTTTTGATTGATTGATTGTTGTTTTGAAATATTGCAAATATACAAAGTAATGATTTTAAGTTATAGAAAACCAAATATTATGATGGAATAGCTAAAATACATATTAAAAATTATTATCTTCAGTGTCTAGGCAATATCCTGCTTTAGTCCCAGCTGGGACTAAAACAGGATTAGAAAAGAAATACCCAAATGAAATACAGTTATATATTAATCCTGTTTTAGTCCCACCCTTATGGAAAAATTGTTGTTTAAGCATGGAAGGTGGGACTAAAACAGGATTAATATATATAAGCCACTTTATATGAACCCTCTTTTATCATATTTTGATGGAAAACGTCTATTATATATTAATCCTGTTTTAGTCCCACCCCTATAGAAAATTTACTGTTTTAACATGCAGGGTGGGACTAAAACAGGATTAGTATATAACACTTTTTGTCGAGCCTGCGACTTTTGTCGCAAAAGCGAGACATAGCGATCCTACATTCTGTCGTTGGCGGCGTCCACAAATATTCACTCTGTGGTTAAAGTTTTCAAAATTTTAATAACTTTCTTAAACTATCCTGGATTTGTACCAAACTTGGACAGAAGCTTGTTTATGATCAAAAGCTAGTATCTAGAAGGAAATTTTGTAAAAAAAAATTTCCTGTTTTTCCGTATATTACTTATAAATGGACTAACTTGGATGGAGAGTTGTCTCATTGGCACTCATACCACATCTTCCTATATCTATTAGTTTTTCTTCAAGTTAACATTACATATAGTCTGCAGTTAAAGTTTTTAAAACATTTATTAGATTTATAAACCATCCTGGATTCTTACCAAACCTGAACAGAAGCTTCTTACATTCACAAAAGATAGTATCTAGAGGAAAATTTTTAATAAATATTTCCCCATTTTTGTTGAGCCTGAGACTAACAGCAAAAGTAGGCGAGACACTGAGTTCTGCGGAACCCTTACGACTTTTTTTCATAATAATATAATTTTGCTTTTTTTCTAATATTTGTGTAAATATACTTATAATTATACTAAATAAAACATTTCTGTCACCTTTATTTCATTAATAAAATGATATTAAAATTATTTAAAAAAACATAAAATCGATTAGAATCGAGGCAATTAAAAATGTTAAATCCTACATGGGACTAAAGTAGGATTATGCCCAGTGTCTGTATTTCCTGATATATTTTATGTTTTATGACTTAACCCTTTTGACAAATGCTGAATATTTTTTCAGAGTTGTAAAAATTATTGTAAGGGGAGATAATCTAATTTGCTAATTACAAGCTATTGCTAGGCATAGGTATTATATTTTGTGAGTGCACAGCCTTTTTTAGTTCATATTGAAGTTCTTTATCAAAATTTTGAGTTCACTGTTCTGATAGACAAAGTTGAACTCACATAAAAAGAAATTGAATGGTTAATTCTTAGTTCTTATTAACAAGATATAATCTTTTACAGTGAGAATTTGACTAAATACAGAGATTTCAGAAGACGATGTAACAGTTTCTTTATGGAGGTTGTATCACAGCTTTGTTTTGCTGAAGGAACTCCACCATCACCAGATGTTATAAAGAAACTCCAGTCATACATTATTGGAAAGAGTAAAAATGAGAGAGGAGAGAAACTCCTGGTTTCTAAGGAATTATCTGTGTTTCAGGATTCTATTGACCCCACCCCAGTTGTCAGGTCATTCCTACTGCAACAGCTGATGCAGACTAGGTTTGTATTGAAGATTGCTTAAAGTGTTTAAAATCAGTTTTTATACGACCTCAAAAAAATTTTTGCGTCGTATAATGCTATGATGTCATCGTCTTCGTCGTCCGAAGACACATTTGGTTTCCAGACAATAACTTTAGTTTAAGTGAATGGATCTCTATGAAATTGTACCACAAGGTTCCATATCATAAAGGGAAGGCTGAGATTGAGTTTGGGGGTAATTGCCCCAAACATTCAGGAATTAGGGGCAAAAAAGGGGCCAAAAACAAGCATTTTTCTAGTTTCCAGACAATAACTTGTGTTTAAGTGTATGGATCTCTCTAAAATTGTACTACAAGGTTCCATACCACAAAGGGAAGGCTTGGATTGAGTTTGGGGGTAATTACTCCAAAAAGGGTGGGGGGATTTTTTTTCTAATTTTTTTGGGGGGTTCATTTTCTTCTTCAAAATTTTGAAATCTTTAATTGCACAGTATTGCACAATAGCAAGAAATCTTCAATTGCACAGTATTGCACAATAGCAAAAAATCTTCAATTGCACAGTATTGCGCAACAACACAGTATTGCGCAATAGCACAGTATTGCACAATAGCAAGAAATCTTTAATTGCACGGTATTGAGCAATAGTACAGTATTGCACAATAGCAAGAAATCTTCAATTGCACAGTATTGCGCAATAGCAAGAAATCTTCAATTGAAAACAAATACTACAAATTTTTGCGGTCGTTTATTGGTATCACGTCGTCGTCAGCGTCGTCCGAAGACATTTGGTTTCAGGACAACAACTTTAGTTTAGGTGTATGGATCTCTATGAAATTTAATCAAAAGGTTCAATACCACAAAAGGAAGGTTGGGATTGTTTTTGGGGGTGATGGCCCCAACCGTTTAGGAATTAGGGGCCAAAAAGGGGCCAAAACAAGCATTTTTCTAGTTTCAGGACAATAACTTGTGTATAAGTATTTTGATTGCTCTGAAATTGTACCACAAGTAGAAGTTTGGGATTCATTTTTGGGGTAAATGCACAAACCGTTCAGGAATTAGGGGCCAAAACAAGCATTTTTTTAGTTTTCAGACAATAACTTGTGTTTAAGTGTATGGACGTCTCTTAAATTGTACCAAATTTTACAAAAAGAAAATTTCTTCAAATATTATTTTTTTTGGAGGGGAGGGGGGTTAAAAAAAAAAAAGAATTTTAGGGGGGGTCAATTTTTTTCCCTCAAGATTTAAGAATTTATCAATTTTCCAAAAAAAAAAAATGGGGGTCACAATTTATTTTGCTAATTCTTTGTATATAGTCTGAAAACAGATTTACTAAGTATTGCGCAACAGCACAGTGTATTGCACAACAGCAAGAAATCTTAAATTAGATATAAATTCAAATCATATAACCAATTTCAAGTTCTTTGACTACATTTATTCTGTGTCAGAAACCTATAATGTGTCAAATATTTAATCAAGCTTGAATATTGTGTCCATTTTTGCCCCAACTGTTCAAGGTTGGACCTCTGCCTTCATATCCAGCAAGGGGCATTATGTTTTTCGGTCTGTGCGTCCATTCTTTTGTGCGTCTGTTCGTTCTTCTGTTTGTCTGTCACGCTTCAGGTTAAAGTTTTTGGTCTAGGTAGTTTTTGATGAAGTTGAAGTCCAATCAATTTGAAACTTATTACACATGTTCCCTATGATATGATCTTTCTAATTTTAATGCCAAATTAGAGTTTTGACCCAACTTGAAACTTAGTACACATGTTCCTTATGAAATGATCTTTCTAATTTTAATGCCAAATTAGAGTTTTGACCCCAATTTCATGGTCCACTGAACATAGAAAATGATAGTGTGAGTGGGGCATCCGTGTATTATGGACACATTCTTGTTATAGTTTGTTTTTATGTTGTACTGTTACACCACTGTCCCAGGTTAGGGTGAGGGTTTGTCGCCATCTAAGTAGTTTAACCCACCACATTCTATATGTGGCTGTCCCAAGTCTTGAGCCTATAATTCAGTGTTTGTCGTTTGTTGCTGTTATCTCTATTATCTATGATAATAAAGGAGGGAATTTGCAGCATTTCCAGGAAAAAGCTTTCATCATACTAAAAGAGATATATAGTTTGGATTGAGCAGATTGCAGACATGTGATTACTGGTGGGAGTCAAATTCACCCAATTTGTAAGCCCTAATCCGTTCCTCCCGTTAATAATTCAAATCTTCTGTTTTTTTTTTCAAAATTCAAACCCACAAAATTACCAGTCTCTTTTTTTTACCATCGATGTCAACATTAATTACGTTTTTGTGTCACTGATGAAGGTAATTTTTAGTCCCATACCAACGAAGTCAAAGGGGACTTTAGGTTTGCACTCCGTCCGTCTGTCTGTCTGACTGTCCATCCATCAGTCCGGCAAATCAGTTTTCCACACTTTTTTTCATCATGCTTGAAGATATTGATTTTATATTTGGTGTATTGTTTTATCATGACAAGTTACAGATCAAGTTCGAATATTGTTCCGGTTTGATGATTTTGTGCAGAGTTATGGTCCTTTGACTTAGAAAATTCACCAAAATAATCAGTTTTCCAAACTTTTTTTTTCATTCTTTTAAGATATTGATTTGATAATTGGTATATAGTTTTATCATGACAAGTTCCAGTTCAAGTTTGAATTTTGTTCTGGTCTGATAATTTGGGCAGAGTTATGGTCCTTGGACATAGAAAATTCACTCAAATAATCAGTTTTCCTCACTTTTTTCGTCATGCTTGAAGATAATAATTTGAAAATTGGTATATAGTTTTATCATGACAAGTTACAGATCAAGTTCGAATTTTGTTACGGTCTGATGTTTTTGTGCACAGTTATGGTCCTTGTTAACAAAGAAATTGTGTAATTATCATAATTATATGGCTTCTCTTGACAGCTTGGGTGTCAAACATACTGCTAATTAACTATTTTTACCTCAGGCTAAATCCCGTTATGTAATAAAAGCTTTGTGTATTTGAAAACACTTCAAAGAAATTTCGGGTTACTTCCCTTGTTTAATCACGTTTTAAGTTACTCTCCTTAAAATAATGTAAATTGATAAAAAAATATAAATGAAATACAAATTGAACAAAGAAAAATTAAGGGTGGTAATTAAATAATTTAAAATGTCTTAGGACAAATAAGGCAATAATATTTTGAAAATTATTTGAGAGATCGACAGTGTGAGGGCTGTATAGCCAGTCAAGGTCGTTAAAAACCCCCATCATCATCATACTTCTTTTCAATGCTTAAATTGAAATTTATAAGATATGTATTGATGTAATTGGTGATAATGTGAGTTATGACATCAACTTTGGCTAATTCAACAATAGCTAGAAAAAGGCAGAATACTTGAAACACATAATTCACTGTTAGAATGTAGGAACATATGGCAAAGATGAAAGAAGAAACAAATCACATACAAATAGTGAGTTTTGTGTTGACAAATATTTCACATGGTAACAATACAGAGAGAAAACATTAATACTAGTAGTAATACTGTTATCTTAAAAAAGGAAAAATATGTAGCTGTATCATCAAACTGAACACTGCAAAACGTTGATAAATATATTGATAAAAAAATCTCCAGTTATGAGGCCCAAACTCCACCTGAAAATTTTCAAATCTCCAGTTGTGACCTGACAACTCTGTCACATATATGAGATTGATAAACTTTACAACCATAAGCCTTTTTTGCAATTCTGGTAAAAATGTATTTTGTATGCACTTTTGAAGATTAAATTCTCTTAACCTTAGAAAATTCTAGAATTTGACATCACAAATATTCCTGCAGAGTACTTTTATAAAAAAGATGCGTAGATATAACAAATTGTATGATCGTTGTGTAATCTGTAAATATTCAACCATCCTGACCCTTTTATTTTCCATTATAATAAACAAATTCCACTCTGGAGGTAAATTGCATAACTGGATAGAAAATTGAATTAAAATACCAATGTTAAACAATGTGTATGAGACTTTTGATATGCATATTCTTGTGGTACATAATTTTTTTTTTTTATTTTCATAAGTGGTGTAAATGTAGAGGAGCATCTTACTTCCTATTTTGAGAGTACGTGTCAACTGGTAGAAACAATTGGAAAGCAGGAAGAATTAGTAGAACTATGTCTATTAATTTTACAGTGTATGGAGGTAGAGTGTGTTTAACTAAATACTCTTTTGCAGTTTAAACGACTCCCAAGTTTTCAGTCATGAAATCAGCAACCTTCAATTTTTTCTGAAATTAGTACAAGTTGAAACTATATATCTGATGTCTGATTTTTGTCTTTAATACACTGTTTGAAAAATTACATATTTCTGAGGAGGATTTTTTTAATTGACACCCACAAAAATGTTCTTTCTAGAATTACGAAAATGTAAATATAAATATAGTATACCAATGTCAGCTACAAACAGACATGAAACATCTTTAGAATTGCATTAACCCTAAAAGATTTGGTTACTCCGCAATCTGCCCTTTTTAACTGGATTGGTTTAATAACAAAGGTATATAGACATCTTGCTTTCAGGTATTTCACATACCATCTTTATAATAATATTCCAGACAATGCATATAAATGTCGTCATTCACCTCAAAAACATGTTTTACACCTCCCCATGTTTGCACTTGTCCCAAGTTATATAAAGTTTACCGTAACCAAGGAAAATTCCACTGGATTTTAAAAGATTTAATAGACATTCTTATACGTTTTTGCTTTATGAATAACGTTACTACTGATTGCTGTAATAATTGTATTTATTACAGGACTCTATTCATCAGCAGCATCATCAATATTGTGACACTGCAAAAGAGATTACCATAGCAACAAAATTGATGAGAGAGACATACAATGTTATTTGCAAAACTGATATTGGAGTATTGGAGAAAATTAAGGCTATTGCAAAGACTAGATTTGCCTTATCGATTGTTGCTAATTATGTTGAGAAAGTTTTCAGAATTTCTCAAAAAGGAATACCAGGTGATTTAAGAAGACTTTTTGAAACAGCTGGACAACTATGTGAGGATTGTCTTTGCCCATGGCCAAGGTAGTTTTCTTTCTAAATTTCTTTTATACTTTGATGGTTACTTTAGTTTGATGTAATATATTAAAAAAGTGGATAATTTCTAAATTATTTTTCTTTCTAACAAGATATATTATTGGCAGCTGGCCAGATAACATTTAAGACAGGTATAACACAAAATCTTTTAAAAACACTTCATTCAGTTTACCTTTATTAACCATAGATTAACCCTTGAAGGTCCAGTTAAAACAGAGGACTTAAATTTTGAATATCTGTTGATGATATGAAATTCATTAACTACTCAGGGTGAAAGGACAAAATGTATTTATTATTTTTGTCCACAGCCACATGCACACAGGGGACATGGAAATATTCTTTGTCTGTTTGTTGGTCTGCCCCTTTGTGACATTCTTATGCTCAAAGACTGTTGACCAAAAGCATTCTTATTTCAATTTGGTAGTATTGATATTATTTTTTTACCATACTGGTTTGACAATTTCTGTTGGTATTTCAGGACTTAAACTATTTTTATCTGGCCTCGACAGAATCATGGTTAATTGACTTTGAAAGTTTTGCATAGTTTACGTGTTTAAGTATTGCTGTCAATTTCAACATTTGCATTTCTACTTTCAAAATGCAAACAGGCAAGACATTTCTCTGTGTCATCAGTTCATTGTACAATTGTACTCAATGGCACCTTGTGAAGCCAGATCAACTCAACTTCTCTAAGATCTTTTGCCCAAAAGCTTTCTTATTTGGAAGAACTGCTTGTCATTATGTTTAGTTGACAATACTATACTGTCATTTGGTTTGACAATTTCTGCTCTACAATGACTATCCTCAGCCTATTGTCACGTACACTTGTCCATACTTAGAGCTGAAAACATTTCAGTATAATAAATAGAATCATCCATTATTTATAGGTTTATGGAATGATCAGTAAAATTAAATTGATATTTATATATGAGGATTTGGCCATTGATGTTTAAGTCCCTTTTGGTCATATAGCCATGTGTTTTGGTAATCATACATCCCTTGGCTTTCAAATGTTTAGATTTGAGCATTCCTTATGAAAGTATATTCAGAGAAGCCATTCAAACACATAAAATTTATGAACTATTGTTTTCATTTTTTTTATACATTTTAGGCAATATTTTGTGAAACATTTATGTAGAAGTTTTGGTATTGATACTTACCAAGCAGTTCAAGGCAGTTATGACTTCCTAAGATGGGTACAGATACCTGACTTGAAAGGCAAAGAGGTAAGTGTATGTTTAGGAGATTATGCATAATTTCAATAATAAATTCACATTGATACGATAGTTAAAATGGATTTTCACAGAAATTTATGAATCCTCATCAGTAGAAAGTTTTTAATTATCTTTAAAATAAACAAACATGAAAAATCTTCTTTTTGGGAAATAGTATAAAGGCTTGTGTAAAGCAAGTCTATGAACCTTTATAATTACTTTTTTTTTAATTTAAATTCAATAATTTTTTCCGCATATAGGTAAGCTTTTGCTGCCTTCTTATATTTTAGTGTACTGTTGCACAAATTAACTTTTGTAGGTTAAAGAATGTCATGACAGGTACATTGTTTGTGGAGGAAAATACAAGGCTATAAGAGAGGCAGTTGTAGCAGTAGGAATTAGTCAAAAGGAAACTGAACTTCAGAAAATACTGTCTGTAAGCTATCAAATGTTTCTAGGATATTTATTAAGAAATTAATAAAGTAAGATTTTGGTTTTGAAAAAAAGATACATAAAAAATCTTAATCTTGTTAGGATTATAGTGATGATGGTCTAAGAATTGTTTATCAAGTAATGCCTTGGGAGAATGTCAACCATATATTTGTTTCAGTAAGTTGCACTCGGAACTTCTGGATTGGCCAAGTGGTTGCACAATTTGCAATTATACATTGTTTTATTACTTAACTTGTCCAAGAGGCTTTGCTTTTTAACAAGACTAATAAGCCAAAAATTTATTACAAGCTGGTGTTTGAATTAATTTCTTCAAAGTTAATTCCATTGTCAGTGAAAGGTTTCTAAAAATCCAATTCCAATCTATGGTTGACTCTTGTTTCATGATAAGTATGGGAAAATAAAACACTTAAATGCATACATTACAGAAGAAGGGGCAGATAATAACTCATCCAAGTTCAACTCATTGTTTTTCACAACGTTGCTAATACATGTAATGCGCATCCTAATTTGTGGGAACTCACACTGACGACATTAAACCAGTTGCATGAATTTGAAAACACTGCCAAAGGAAAACAGAGATGCTTTTGATGGAAGCACATAAAATCTACTGTAGAACATAAAGCTTCAAGAATGTTTTGTTGTGTTTGCAAGAATAAGTCAACCGTAGATTTTTTACTGCATGCATTTGTATTGGCAAGAAAACTATCTGTGGCTATCTGTCACCAAAAATGGCATGATTTCACGACAATTTTTGGGGAATGAGGCAATCTTTGTAATGAAAGATTTCCTATGTTTATTCAAGGTACAACATACAGATGAATGGAGGACAAGGGTGATGGTTGTTCTAGCCTTACACAGAGAAGTTGCTATGCACAATATTTACATCGATGAACAGAAGTTTTCAGATAAGGTATTATAATATTTTGCATTTTGTAATGCTTTTTTCAAGTATAATAGCTCATTTTATAATTGTTTCAAGATGAGTTATTTAAAAAAACCTCTAAAGTAACTTGGAAAACATAAGGAAAATTATCAATTATCAGATAATTCTAATAGTTCAGCACATTATTGGTCATTGATGCAAAACCAAATCAGTTTACAAGTGATTTATTGAGGTGACTTTCACAAATAGAAAAATAACACAAATTCGAAGGATTTATGTCACACTTGGATCTTCTTTTACATGAAAACATTAAGAAAAATAGATTTTCACAAAGATGAATTAAATGGTATTTTGTGCTTCTCCACTTAGCACACAACAATAAAGAGTGAGAGCAAAGACTGATCATCTCTGAGTTATCATAATAATGTCCAGGTAGGGTGACATCTCTTTCTCCAGACTATTGCCTTGTGAACTAGCATGTTAAAAATATGGCTTAGTGTGTCAGTTTTGTACAATACAGGGTTCATATCCATATCTTAACATGTTCTAGTCCTGATATGCATGTAATATTTGCTGCTTGACATTAAACACCAATACATCGATCCATTTATCATTATGTCGTTTAATAATTAATATATTCTAATCATTGCTTCAGAAATTTTTAAACTTCTGTGTTCCAAATGAAAATTTTAAATATATCTTAAAAACATTCTGTGATATATGTCGAAAACATGACATGATTGGGATATAATCCAGAACAAGCTTTGCCAAGCATAACCATTTGTTATTATTTTACTGTTACAATATCTCCCTTCTATATTTTTAATAATTTTTTATTTAAGATGGTTTACGATGAAGTTGTTTTAACAGCTACATGAAACTTAGAAAACATATTAATAACGATTTAAGATATATGCCAAATAAGGGTTTTTACCCAGATGGAAATGTGATAAGGCTGTTCCATTGTCATATATTCTTATTTTTGTACACATTTTTTGGAGTTAGCTAAACATGGGTGTATATTTACAAATGGGGGGAAAAGTGGACATGAAAATTAGGTTTTTTTGGTTTGTTTTTTCTCAAATAGAAAAGTATGATGTAAATTTCTTAGTGCACAACACATGTTTACTGGTGATAGTCTACCAGCAGAAATGTTGACATAGGAGTAGTCATTTGAAAATATGACAACCATTTCATTGAGTATAAAATATGGTTCTAAATAAACTTAAGCAGGTGCACTGTAGACAAAAAGTAGTTTGGGAATCCAAATTCACAAAAGGTTTAGACCATAAAAATGAATAGAAATTAAAGTTTTTTTGTTTTGCATTTAAAATAAATATTCATATTTCTTTGCAGGGATATGATTTACTCAAGGAATGTTTGTTGAAGCATCCATCATTTAGAAATAGGGTAGGATATTTATACAAAAAGTAATCATTTTGTGAAGTTTATGTATACAACATTAATTATCTATGTTAGTCATTTAAGGATGTTCTTAGGTGAGGTTTAGGAATTTTTGTCAAATGTTCTGACTCCTATGTTTTTTCCTATGATAAAGGGGCAAATATTTTACCCCATATCACCCATTTTTCTTTTCATATATGGCTTCAAAAGCTCATAAAAGGTCATTTACCAAAATTTAAGCAGATTCTAGATTTCTTTTTTTTTCGATTTGAGACCCAAATAATACCAATGCAATTATAAGGCCTAGGTAAGTCTGAGTCAGGCTTTTCCTGCCAAATTTTAAAAATTAAATATCTCGAAAAAGAGCTCCATTACCTATCAATATTTTTTGCCTATTTCGTTCCTTAACTAATGCTCTTTTGACTTATAGTATCAATTTTGAATTCTAGATTTTTTAATATCACATAAGTACATCCTTAAAACAGAAAACATTAAGACTTAGTTCCACTTGAGATTAATTTTTACTAAATTGCAAGAAAATAATTTATCTGCCTTATGTTCAGTCATTATTGCAGATATGGAGCTGATTCTCAGTTATTTGTATTGGGAAATTTCAAATCTTTTATAAGCATCATGTTAATCACAAGTTAGCCCGGATTTTGGGATCCCAGAATTTAAATCACCAAATCTGTGTAAGGTTGGTTTATTTGTAGATGTAGGATTATGAATGCTTACCTTTGTATAATTTCTATTAATGTAAACTAAAAGTTGTGTGTCCCAAATTAGTACCAGCTATAGGCATACTTGCCAACCTCTGACAATGAGAAATCATGTCATGACATGACATGACATGTCAAAAAGCGTGTGAAAACGCGTGACGTAGATGCGGACTTTTTAATATGAACAATGTTCATATAATTTCACATTATATGCAAATTTGTTAATATAAAAAACAATATTCAACTGTAAACTTTTATTGTATTCAAAAGTGGTCTGTTTAGCTGCTTTAAAAGCAACACCACTAGGCACATAGTCAAAACACCTGCTGGTTTGGTTACATTTACTTGATAACAAGCCACACAATATATCATTGTCGATCGAGTTCTGATCAGAATTCAGTGTAAATTTCTTTATAATTGAAAATGATCTCTCACAGTCAGAATTGATATTTGGCTGAACTAAAATAGCTTCATGAAGCTTTAAAAGAGTGTCATAATGTTTTTTGACATCTAAAATGTCATCTATGATCTCTGCCATTGCTCCCAACAAACTATACAATATATGTTGCTATTGTCTGGTCAAAACTGGGTAGTTCATCAGAAGACAGCTAATACTATGAGAACTGATCCAACAGTTCCGTTATATTTCCATCCCCTATGGCCTGTGGAAATCTGTTGGCTACATTTGAAACTGAAAGTGAAAAAGAAAAATATTTTATAATTGTTAAATGCTTAATCAAATAGCTATGTATTTTAGTTCTCCTCTCATATGTATTGTTATGATTGCAATATAGAGTGCACAATGCGTTACTCATCCCTCGATAATTTAAACTAGAATTCCCAAATATAATTTATAAATCTTGAATCTTGGTACGTACACATCATTTTCGCTTAGAAATCGACTCTTTAGACGACGGTACAGGTCCTGAAAGCTACCTCTTTCTGTGGACATTTCCCCTAAGTGAATTTGAAAGAAAGAAAGTCCCAAAATTGTAAAAACTAATCACAAACTACTTACCTAAAGAGCTTTTGCTGTTCATCCATATAGAAAAATGAACAATGGCCACCAAACAATTACTTTGAAATTTCGGTATTTATCGTGTTATAATGAAAAAACCCGAGAATCGCGATATCACTAACAACCAAAAAATCAAAACAACGAAAAAGCGTGTAATTGCGTGTAAAGTGGTGAAAAGCGTGTACACGCCATGTGATAAAATCCTCGCGTGTAAACCGTTGAAAAAGCGTGTATTACACGCGAATATCATGTCAGTTGGCAACTATGGCTATAGGCAGGGCTGCATTTATTGGTATCAAATCATTGCATATAACATATTAAATTCAAGTTACATACTTTTCAGCAATATCATTTGAAAAGCTGTCCCCCGCTCGACACATTGTGGGGGGACATAGAAATATCGTCCGTCCGTCCGGTCTTGTTAGCGCTCTGACGTGTACAATTCTTGCCAGATTTTTATAAAACTTGTATCATAGGTTTATATCAGCAATGTCTTGTACAAGTCAGTGTCGATCAATTATTTTTAAAAGAATTATGCCCCTTGGAAACATTAATTATATGGAAAATTGCATCGTTAGCGCTCTCATTTGTACAATTCTTGCCAGATTTTTATGAAACGTAAATCATAGGTTTATATCAGCAATGTCTTGGATGAGTTCGAAAATCAGTGCCGATCAATTATTTTTAAAAGAGTTATGCCCCTTGGAAACATTAATTATATGGAAATTTGCATTGTTAGAGCTCTCATGTGTACAATTCTTGCCAGATTTTTATGAAACGTAAATCATAGGTTTATATCAGCAATGTCTTGGGTGAGTTCCTAAATCAGTGCTGATCAATTATTTTTAAAAGAGTTATGCCGCTTGGAAACATTAATTACATGGAAAATCGCATTGTAAGTGCTCTCATGTGTTCAATTTTCGACAGAATTTTATGAAACTTATATTGTAGGTTTGTATCAGCAATGTCTCGCACGAGTCCGAAAATAAGTGCCAATCATTTTTTTTTTAAATGAATTATGCCCCTTAGAAATATAGATTATATGGAAATATGCATTGTAAGTGCTCTGGCATGTACAATTTTTGAAATCTTGCTATTTGATGCCATAAAATAAGTTGACTATAAGCTGCATTATTTGAACTAAATATATATATCAGAATCAACACTGGTTAAGTTTGGTTGTAGGCACTGATCCTTAGAAGTTATTTAACTGAAGGTATGCAGACTATCTAAATAGAGTTTAATGGTGACTACCCTTGCAGGTATTACGCCAGATTGCCTTATTATATTAAAATATATTTTAATAATTTAAAGAATTTAGTGCTTATTTGGAATTAACTTGCATTTCTAATTCATATTATAGTAATGTGAGTTTTTCTTTCTTTTCTAACTTTACCTTAATATATTTAAACTTTTATGTGTATGTATTAGTCTTATTTATTATGTTTTTTACTATAAGAAAGATAACAAAAAATGTGTGTGTGCTTATTGTGCTTTGGTATATTACATATGCAGATTAAATACGATGCAGTCCGGTAAATATCTTATATTTGATTGTATGTATTTCTGCTTAATTATATACAAATTGTATCAAATTTAATATAAATCGATTCACTGACAAATCAACTTTGTGTAGTTTATCTCATTTCCCAAAAAATATCTGAAATAAATTTTAAAATCAACAAAACAAGTGGGTCATCCGTGTTTTTATCGGAAATATGTTTGACCTGTAAATCTGCCCATGGGGCAGTAAATATGTAAGGTGGGTCAGTTTATCATAAAATTGTGAAAGGAAAAGGTGATCTATTTATTAATAGATCACTTATAAAGAGATTCCAGATAATCAAAAAAAAATTTCAAGTCAGAAATGAGTTTTGTAAGCAATACCCGGTAATATGATTATCGTTAGGAACTGTATTATATATATATCACTAGAAATTTTTTTTAATAAAAGATTTTTCTTTTAAATTTGACAAGCAGTGATGATAAGTACAGTTTCTATGAATAAAATAGCAGACGAAATATTCACGGAAGTGACAATTACGGAAGAAATGGGAGTGGGCGGGTTTACCAGACGGGCGGAATTACCTGACACTACTGTATTCTGGTTACTGGATATATTACTTATTATGATATAAAGCATAAATATCATATACTCTTTTAAACATATATCTGACTTTTCCAGAACTGTAAATGCCCCTTAAAAATATAGATTTTATAGAAATTTGCATTGTAAGTGCTCTCTCATGTACAATTTTTGCCATATCTTTATCTTTATCAAATTTATATCAAAGGTATATAACAGCAATGTCTTGGACATTCCGAAAATAAGTGCCGATCAAATATTTTAAATGAGTTTCCCTTGGAAGTATTGAATATATCGGAAAATGCTCTAAAGTCTTCAACTCTCTAGTAAGATAATTTTAAAAAGTTTTAGATAAAATATGTGCAAGGCGGGGGACATTGGAACTCTGTTCTTTTATTGTTTTAGCCAATGTAAAAAATATTTATCTACTCTAGGAGTGGGGCTATATTTCAATCACAGTATCTGTTTGTCCGTTCGTTCTTCTGGTTTCATTCCTTCATCAAACAAATATTTTCTTAGAAACCCACTTTTGTCATCATATTTGGTCAGCAGATCAACAGTGAAGATTTGAAAGTGTGAACAATTGAGGGATATGTCTGGTACCTACTTCCTGTTTGCTGGTACTTTGAATTACGAGTGGTGTATGTTAAGCACCACAACTTGTGCATTCATGTAAGTTTTGGAAACTACTCAATTCTGCATTCAGATGCTGCAGGATTACCAGACTTCCTCCTCAATCCATGCTGGTCCCATATTAGTGTAAACTCATCAATTGATCCTTTTGGTAAGGAACATTGCTTGCAATTGAAATACCCTCCAAAAGCTTGGCTAATTATCATTTGATAGTTGTATAATGGTAATAACTGATAAATTCCAAACATTGTTTTGGATTTGATATATTGATTAATTAAAATCAATTGAGCAGGCAAGACATATCATACTTGTCCATTTTTGATGATGAAAGTTTACTCTAATTTGCTTACCTGCCCACAAAAGCATGAACATTTTTTTTTATACAAGTCAGTTTGAACTTTTCTTAAACATCTGAATAAACATTCAAAGTTATTACAGGTTGTTTAACATGTACATGTTCAATTTCAGGAAGGATTACCAAGTTTAGTAATGACAAATAAGCTATGGGAAGACCAAAGATTCAATATTTACAGTGAAATGAATTTGACACAACAAAATATCATATGCTTATTAACCCATTATATGGTGTTGATGATGGAAATCCCAGGACAGACAACCCTCATAACTCCACTTAAGAATATTGCATTGTTTCCAGAAAAGATGGTAGTAAGTATGCAATTCAAAATATGTTGTGTGTTACACATTCCATTAAAAGTTAATTATTTGAAAAAAAAAATATTGTTTATGCAACACACCAGAAAAAAAATGACTGTACTTAACATTTTAACGTGGCAAAATTTTATGAATTCCAATAGCATAAAACTGTTAATATAATTCATAATCTCTGCATGAAAAATGTATTGTTTTTGATGAATGAGAATGTGTCAAAGTTAATGTAGATAGCGTGAAAACTCTTAAATATCAATTTTTATTTTAGTTACATATATGATTTCTGACCTCAAACATGTCAAATATAGCTGCTAACTTAAAATTGCTCACTTTAATATATAAGAACTTTTTGGATTAAGTTTGACACAAAGAAGTAATTTTATTCAATTCTTTCTCAATTTTTATATTTCCCATTCGTTTTATAATTTTATTAGTCCCCTACCGACGAAGTCGAAGGGGACTTTAGGTTTGCACTCTCTCTGTCTGTCTGCCCATCCATCCGTCAGTCTGGCAAATCAATTTTCCACACTTTTTTTCTGCATGCTTGAAGATATTGATTTGACATTTGGTGTATTGTTTTATCATGACAAGTTACAGATCAAGTTCGAATTTTGTTCCGGTCTGATGATTTTGTGCAGAGTTATGGTCCTTGGACTTAGAAAATTCACTCAGATAATCAGTTTTCCTCCACACTTTTTTTCGTCATGCTTGAAGATAGTGATTTGATAATTGATATATAGAGAATATCATATGGCTTTTTCAATATCACATCCGTATCAACCCGAGACACCAATATAATCCCAAGAGCTCTGCTCGAGGGATTATATTGGTTGAGGGTTGATACGGTGTGTGATATTGAAAAAGCCATATGATATTCTCTATATATCAATTATCAAAAGTGTGTGATATTGAAAAAGCCATATCATATACACTTTATTATATACATATACCTCACGTAGATGTTTTTATGTGACATGACGTCATACAGGTAAGGAGGTTTGAAATGACGTCATACAGATTATAGGTTTGACATGACGTCATACAGATTAAGGGTTTGATAAAGCCTTTGTAACCGTGCTGATATCGATATCATCACGGGCGGCTGATACAGCACGCTTGCCAATGATTGTATTACACATACAATTTATCTGTATTTACTACTAAGTATATAATAAATAGTTTTATCATGAAAAGTTCCAGTACAATGAATTTTTAACAGGTAGCAGTGGTTTTCTTTGTTCTTACAATTTTTACTAGCAATAAGATTATGGTATATCTTGATTAACTTGCAGATTTGATGGCATGGCAAAGGGCAACCATGCTAAATGATTACATGCAATGCAAATTTTAGCATATTGAATTGATTAACCATAAATATTCAAAACAACTTTGGTGTAAAAATTGTAAAAAAAATATAATTTCTACCATTGCTTCAACTGAATAACTCAATCATTACCATGTAATTGATATATACCTAGCAATATACAAAATAACATTTCAGTGCAATACATACATTTTTTTGTTAAGTGAAGTCTCAGTATGAAGTCCATATTATAAATGTTTTTTTTTTAATTTTCAGAATGCCTATTATCCTACTATGCCTCAAGATGAAGCTTTGTATGTGACAGAGGCTCTGTTGCAAGCAAGAAAAAGCAACAATGAAAATCCTGTACTTTACAGTAAGTTATTTAAATTTAGCAAAATTGTCTGATTCCTCTCCCTTATTATGTGCCAATGGTGTATAAGTATGGTTTGTTTTTATGTAGTTTAATGCCACTTTTATATGCTATTTACAATATCATCCCAATGCATTCAGTTCTAATTCATAAAGGAAACTGCAGAATCAGGATGAATCACAAAACTTTCATGATTGATTAAAAACTTGTAAAATATCATATAAAGTGGAGTGCAGTTGAAAGCAACCAGAATTATGAGATTCAAAATTCTAATGTAGTGGTGGTAAGGGGAGTAATATGCACAGTTTCATTATCATTTGACTGCATTGTGACTGGTTTCTTACACCCTTCTCTCAAAAATGGTAGTTTTCCAAGGAAAAGATTGTACTAATTATGTTACAATAATCCTATGGATAACTGTGAAGTTTCAAAACTGATGACCCCAAACATATCTATTATAAGCTGTGTATTATGTTTTGTAAAAAAATGAGTATTGAGATTTTCATACTAAGAAATATCTTCTCTTTTATTTATAGAATGTCCAAATGGTCATCCATACATAATTGGAGATGTAAGTTGTTACTTTTAATAAGAATCATATTGCTGGATAAAGTGTTTTTTACCTCATCTGGTATAAGATTCAATCTACTTTAAAGAGTAAATTATTTTTTGATGCCTTTTTTTTTTATTTATAACAAGTAATATGTCAACTTTATCTTTGATATTTATGTTTTGATTTGAGCTCCGCTGATGAGTCTGATGTAGACGAAACATTACTTTGGTTTACTAGATCATAAGTCTGTAGCTTTAATTAGTTTTTTATACACCCAACATAGACAGGATTTATAATAGTATACCTTTTTTTACCTTTGGTGACATGTGATAGAGATGCTTTGATAAAATTTCATGAAACTTATAATATGGAAATTAAAATTGGTGGAAAAAAGTTCCCTTTCTATTTTCATAATTTTGTGCTTTGTTGTTTCAAAGTTAAACAGGACTTAACTGTTAGATTTATATTTCACATTTCACACACTAACTTGAGTATGCATTGATATTTGGATATGAGTTAGCCCTCTTTTTATTTTGAAAAGATCTCTGAGCTTTTCTCGTCACTTGGCGTCCGTCGTTGTTGTCCGTTAACTTTTACAACAATCTTCTCCTCTGAAACTACTGAAACAAATTTAACCAAAATTGGCCACAATTATCATAAGAGTATCTAGTTTAAAATAATATGTCAGGTGACCCCAAGACGACTTCTTTTAGGAGTTATTGCCTTTTAATGACAATTTTTATCAATTATTTGCATTATGGCTTATATCTTAAAAAATTATGAAAGATAGACAGAAAGTTTAAAAGCAAAAATGATCAGCAAGACAAGATTTACAAATAAGTCTACATGACCAAAATTGTGAGTTGACTCCTTATTGTTATCATTGCCCTTTAATGATGATTTTCAAATTTTTTCCTCATGTTTGCGTAATATCTTGAAAACTGTAACAGATAGATAGAAACTGTAAATAGCACAAATGATCAGCAAGACAAGATCTACAAATAAGCCATAATGATGGAAATCATCAGTCAACTCGTTATTGGAGTTATTGCCCTTTAATGATATTTTTTTACATTTTTTGGTATTTTTTGCCTATAATCTTGAATACTATTATAGATAAATAGAAACTTTAAGAAAGAAAAATTATTAGCTGGATAATTTCTATAAATATGTCAACATGACTGAAAATGTCTGTTACCTCTAAATAGAGTTATTCCCCTTTAATGATGACTTTTACCAAAAGTTGACCACTGTTGAAGATGCAGGTGAGTGCTTTAGTTTGCTTTTCAGGGACTTAAGCTGTCCAATTTAGGCAATTTTTATACGTTTCATAATGTTCTTCAGCATATTTTCTTTTTTACCTACTTGCTGACTTGATTTGATGTTGTCTTCTATATTCCCTTTTATTCTTTTAAATATAACAAATGCATAAGACAGGCATTTTTTCTATACAATTTCTATTGATTTTTACTAATTTTATTAGGGTCCTATTGAACTATTTTTACAGAAATGTAAGAAAGGTGAAAAAATACACTCATCTATATATAACTGTTCAGATTGATAAAATATCAATAGAGATTGTTACTCTTATATGTGAATGAGATTTATGTTTTAGTGTGGACGGCCATATTATAAAGACAAGTGTAACACATGTGGAGCACAGATTGGTGGAGTAGGACACAAAGCTATTCCAGGAAATGTCAAGTATGAAGGGTAAATATTTCATACGTACATTATTTAGAACCATATTATCAAGCTCAAAGATAAATATTCAAGGGTTTCTAAGAAAGTTGCTATCTCAAGGTTTTGCCTTCAAACTAGTAAATTTCATTTGGTAATATTTTCCCCATAATAATAATATAAAAAAAGACATTAAAAGTATAAAAGCCTATTTAGGTGATTGTTCTCAACCTATCAAAATAATCGTGTTGATGTAATTAAACTAAAAAAGATGTACAAGTATAATCAACAAGAGAAATATCTCTTTAATCAGTAAAATTATTAAATTGAACAACAACATCACATCAGTCATAAATTAAAACAGGAAACAAATTTTGCTCCTTGGCGACTCTTCCATCCATATATGGTTAGATTTCTTTCTCAGATTCATATTTGACAGCTAAGTCATTAGGTACCAATTGGCACTGTCAGAAAGTTTAACAGGTGTCCTCTTCTCTTTCAAAATGGAAGGACCACAGAAAAAAATCAATGATCTCTTTTTTTGGCCATGTTGTTACGTTCCTTAACATGCTGTGAAAATGGTCCTCTTACTGCGGGAGCACCATCATACATTTTGAGGATAAGTCCTAAGATCCAAAGACTCATATTAATAAATACACAACCATTACTGAGGCAGTAGTTGGCTTTGGCTGCATGATCTACACTTTGTTATCCTCAGCCCCTTAAATACAACTTGGGGGTAATGGCCCAAAATGTGCAGGAATTAGGGGCAAAAAAGGGGCCAAAAAACAAGCATTTTTCTAGTTTCCAGACAATAACTCATGTTTAAGTGTATGGAACTCTCTAGAATTGTACATCCTGAAAAGAAAATAATTCAAAACAAATTTGGGAGGGTGGGATATTTTTTTTCTTCAAAGTTTTTGAAATTTCAAATTATTTGAAAAAAATTTGGGGGTGGGGGTCATACTTTCTTCTTCAACATTTTTCAAAATTTCAAATTGTTTTAAAATATATTTTTGGAGGGATTTTTTTTTCAGAATTTTAGGGTTTTTTTTTCCCCCACAAATTTTCCATTTTTACATTGATTATTTCTGATTTATATATAAAAGCAACAAATACTGATATGGCAGGAGATACACACCAACATGGTGTGTAAATTATTATGTATAACAGATTAACTAAGTATTGTGCAACAGCACAGTATTGCGCAATAGCAAGAAATCTTCAGTTGAAAATAAATACAAATCTTTTAACCAATTTCAATGGGATTAAATTAAATCTCAAATATTTTGGGGTTCTAACCTTGTATTACTATTTTGGATATTGGGCCCCATTTTTAAATTGGTCTACATTGAGGTCCAAAGGGTCCAAAATTAAACTTTGTTTGATTTCATCAAAATCTGAATTATTGCGGCTCTATGATATGCTGAATCTTATTGTGCATTTAGATTTTTTATTTTGGGCCCTGTTTTCAAATTAGTCCATATTAAGGTTTGAAGGGTCCAAAATTAAACTTTGTTTGATTTCAACTAAAATTATATTTTTGGTGGGTTTTTTTATATGCTGAATCTAACCATGTTGTTAGATTTTGAATATCAGACCATACTAGGTAAATTAAATGTCCCATTTCAAATTTTTAAGATCTTTGACCACATTCATTTTGTGTCAGAAACCTATATTATGTCAAAAATATGATCACTATCCAAATTCAGACAATAACAAGCTGGAATATTGTGTCCAAACTTGCCCCAACTGTTCAGGGTTCGACCTCTGCGGTCGTATCAGGCTGTGCTCAGCGAAGCATTTTATTATTTTTTATTGAAGTATATTTTTGGGATTTTACATAAAACAACACGGACTTTGTTCTTTCTGCTTATATCAGATTTGTCAATATTCCACTACTTCAAAAATCACTTGTCAGAATATTACCAAATTTGCAAGGATTCATCTACAGGCCATGAAGTCATTCACCTGCTAATTAGATTTTAAATGTTAGTGGTTTTTTGTATTTTCCATACCAAAATATGGACTTCATAATTTCTGCTTATATTATTTTGAGACAGCAGAGGAACATGTCTACCTTTGAAGATCACACATTTTAGACATTTAACTTTCAAATAAACTTGTCCTAGACATTTAGATTGTATTGAGTATCTAGTGTAGGAAATTAATTATCAGTTGAACCAAGATTCTGAACTACCTTTACAAGTTGGTACATTATAAGTACTTCCTTCTTGTTGTTTGTGGTAAGTGTTAATTTGATTAGTTATGTCTATTTCAGTCAATTATAATATGTTATTTGTTACTATGTTTTGTACTACACTACACCACTGTATTGGATTGAAAACACACTAACATGTTAAATCTTGTCAACTAGTTGATGTTATTGACCAAGTCTAGGAATATGAAGTTCATAAGTTATTGTCTTCAGTATTCAAGTAACATCAATGTTTTTGTTCTACTTTAATGGCCTAAAATAAGTCTTTAATATTTTTTGTGAATTTTTCACATTTGGCAGGACCTTTTATAGCCTACCTGAAGTTCATGGTTTATGGTCATATAGATGATTAGATCTATCCTCTTTTATGTTTTTGGGCTTTGTTGGTTATTTTTCACATTTTTCCACATAATATATTTGTTATGTTTTTTTTTCAAAATATATGTGATTTCACTTGTAGACATAAACTGATTGGTGAAACAGGCTATTTATGTTTTCAGTTGATCTAATTTGGCAATTTCATGCCATTATAAACCTCAGAATAACAGATAAAAATCACAAAATTGAATTTTTGTTAAGGCTGGCTTCCCCTACATTGCCTAAACCATTGTCTCTAGAACAGTGCAGCCAGATGCTGATCCAGGATTTTGAAATAAAGGGGGGTAGGCCCAAACTAGGCAATTCTAGGAGTGGGGTTATGCAAAAAGTCTGTATTAAACATATATGTAGCTCCATAAAGGGAACCCTTCCCCCTGGCCCCCCTAAAACCACCTCTGTCAGCATCTCTACCATGGGACTGTTTCTTTCTAATTTCTTTGCATATGTTCACTAAGCTTTAGCTTTATTTCATTTCAGTGTGACACTGTTATGGGAAATCAGTTTAATTGATTTTATATATGTTTTTATTTAGAAATCTTTCATGATGCTAATATGCTTGTTTATCTTTGTTTATGACAGAGATGAGACAGCTAGAGGACACATACTTGGCAGAGTGTGTGACAGAAGTCAGAAACAGGCTGTTATACATGACAGAAGTTTAGACAAAGAAACAATAATACTAATCAGACTGTTGACTCACATGTCAATGTTTGTTGGATGTAATTTCAAATCACAGGTAAACATAGTTTCCAAAAAGGGACACAATTTCCAGAATTGTCTTTTATTTTTCATAAACTGATTTGGAGAATATATTCCATTGATCTGCAGTTTGGTCATATTTTTATTTGGTTGGCAACAAATTTTGGAGATTTTGCTTTTTTGGTTGACTTGTAATTTTCACCAAGACGAGCAAGCTTTTTCAGTTATGAAAGTGTCGTGAGGAGAAATTACTATAAAACAAGCCCTAATTAGTTATCCTGTCATCAAGGTTGTTGCTAACAAAGGTTAAGATCATTACAAAAATATCTGACATTTATTTAGCTGTTATCAAACATCCATCTTTCTTTTAAATTTTTATGCCCCCACTGTAGGGGAGGGGGCATTAAGTTTTATCCTTGTCAGTCTGTACGTACTTACGTCCCAAAGTTGGTTTCCGTTCTCTAACTTTAGTTTGCATCAACCAAATGCTATGAAACTTATACACAATGCTTATTACCACAAAATACAGATCAAGTTTGAATTTTGGTGGTGTCACTTTAACCGTTCTAGAGTTATGCCTCTTTACAAATGGAAAAATTGCTGAATTTTTCGTTTCCGTTCTATAACTTTAGTTTGCCTCAACCAAATGCTATGAAACTTATACACAATGCTTATTACCACAAAACACAGATCAAGTTTGAGTTATGGTGGTGTCACTTTAATCGTTCTAGAGTTATGCCCCTTTACAAATGGAAAAATTGCCGAATTTTTTCGTTTCCATTCTCTAACTTAAGTTTGCCTCAACCAAAGTTTATGAAACTTGTACACAATACTTATTATCACAAAACCCAGATCAAGTTCAAATTTGGGTAGGATCACTTTTACTGTTCTTCAGTTATGTCCGTTTATAATTTTATATGATATGCAAGCGGGGGCATCATCTGTGTCCCATGGACACATTCCACATTTATTTGTAACTATTTCTCATGAATTAAGGGTTTACAGTTATATTATTTTAAGCAAGATGTGATTTAGTTTGTTGAAATGATATTAAAATCGATATAAATTTGTTGAGCAAAGAATTATAGAACCACATTGTATGCAATGCATCTGTAATTTTGGTACAATAGATATAAAAAAAATGTACACAGGTTTTAATATAAAATTAAGGAGATGAGGTATCATTGCCAATGAGACAACTATCCACTAAAGTTCAAATGAAGTGGATGTAAGCAATTATAGGCAACCATATGGCTTTCAACAATGAGAAAAACCCGTACTGTATAATCAGCTATAAAAGTCCCAGACAGAAGTCTTTGTTTAGAGTTGTGAAGGAGAAATGATCTTTCTTTTAAGTTATCTATCTGATATCTGTGTTATTGTAATGATGACAGTAAGTGATATTTGGATTCACTATAAGTTTAAACTAGCCATATCAAAATACCATTAATAATTTGCGGATGCCCAACTTAAACGAAACATATTATGGGTTACCATAGTGTTTGTCAATGCATAGTAAGATAACTCAAACTTGCTTTTACTGATTCTCCTGAAATTTTAACACAACATTAGCATTGACAGAAGAATGTGTTCTTGGCACAGTTGATTATTATGTAATATAACGAAAATCCTTGGCCTAAAATTTCCAGTCGTTGCATTGATTGGGTGAATGCATACAACTGATCAGAAGGAATCTTTGCATATCTGGAACAGTTAATCATTTTAAAAAAATGATAGGCTATATATGGTATAGGTAGAGTGTTAAAAATTATGTTATTTTCAACTTAATACTGACAAATTAGAAAATTCATTTTAGGCAGTATTAGAGTCAATCAGAGTAAATCCTGGAGTAGAGTTATCTGAGGTGCCTGACTTTCTTCTTGAACACATTGATTTTGACATTGAGTGTCTGCATAGGATACTGGGGAAAAGTAGAGATGATGTCTTTTTGCTGATTCATCATTTATTAGCAACAATTATGGAAAAGCATAATATGAGTGTGATTGGTAATAATATTAATGTCAAAGGTTATCTTTAGAATTGTTGTTTTTACAATAGATATATATAATAATTTTGACTTTTTTTACTATTGTTGATTCATTATTATTCATTGGATACCAATTTTTGTGGATTTTGGAGGTATAGGTGTAAACCAATTTAAATGTTGAACAAGGACATATTTTTTATAGGCTTGTATGCAGACTTTGGTGAAACCACAAAATCATGTATCCACAAAAATATAATTTTTTCTCAATCCACGAATGCTGGTACAATGAAAATAAATTTATCCATAGTATTCTTCCAATGATGAAAATATTTAACTTACTCTCTAACCATTTGAGATGAAGTAGCTTTCTTTCAGCTGTAGTTTCAATGGATTAACTTTTCAATCATATTCCTGAAAATATTTTATGGTTTTTAGGTATGACTGAATACAATGAAATCTTTGTAATCTCTAAATCTTTGAATAAAAAGTCCCAAAAGGTCTGTTCAGACAGTTTTCTCTGCATACCTTTTAACTTCATCAAAAGACTTTAAGCCTAATCGAATTAATGCCTAATAAGCAAAGACTGAAATGATATGAACATGATTAAAGCTTAATACAAATCAATTTTGAAAGTAATAAGATTCTTATTGGCACAAGTTTTGAATCGAGACCTGTAATAAGACAAGTCCATGCATTTCTTATACTGTATGTAGAACACACAAAATTACTGGCCCGCATCATGAATAACATGTCTAGGTCAAACTCATTGACTTGTTTTGCTGTAATTTTGTAAGGGTAAAGTGACAAATATTTGAGCACGAGCTCATGTGAGTCTAGTGTCCAAAACTGGGATTAAATAGATTTATTATTAAACAATATAACTTTCAAACACACAACTGACTTAAAATTTTTGAAGAGTAAATCTGGATATAGATGCTTGCAGACCAACTATTGACTTGTTTTTATGCCCCTCCCCAACTGAAAGTTGGGGGCATATTGTTTTACCCCTGTCCCTGGTTAAAGTTTTTAAAATTTTAATAACTTTCTTAAACTATCCTGGGTTTGTACCAAACTTGGACAGAAGCTTGTTTATGATCATCAGATAGTATCCAGAAGTAAATTTTGTAAAAAATAAATCCATTTTTTCCATATTTTACTTTTAAATGGACTTAGATTTTCTGCCAGGAAACAACACATTCACTCTGTGGTTAAAGTTTTTAAAATTTTAATAACTTTCTTATACTATTTTGGATTTGTACCAAACTTGGACAGAAGCTTGTTTATGATCAAATGCTAGTATCTAGAAGGAAATTTTGTTTTCTTCCAGTTAACATTACATTCAGTCTGCAGTTAAAGTTTTTAAACATTTATTAGATTCATAAACTATCCTGGATTTTTACCAAACTTGGACAGAAGCTTCTTACAATCAAAAGATAGTATCAAGAGGAATATTTAAATTGATTTACTTCCTCATTTTGGTTGAGCCTGCGGTTAACAGAAAAAGTAGGCGAGACACTGGGTTCCGCGGAACCCTTACGAATTTTTATTGATAATTGCTCTTTTGGGAGATACTTGAACTTTGTCATTTTTTGGAGTATATACTTGCATGAGAGGTGCATAGCTATTCCAGATAACTTTTCCTACTGTTTGAATGCTAGGAAGTTTTCACTTTGCTGGCTGTTTGAACATATATTGAAGGTGTGCATGTGGTCAGGGTTTTGATTTTTATTGATATTTGCTCTTTTGGGAGATAGTTGAACTTTGCTGGCTGTTTGTACATATATCATTGGAGTATTTACTTGCATATTAAAGAGGTGCATAGCTTTTCCAGATAACTCCTCCTACAGTGAACCATGTGCTCCCATGCTCAGCTTTTTATACGCCCGTTTACGGGACGTATTATGGTATACCGTTGTCCGTCTGTCTGTCCGTCATTCCGTCCGTCCGTAGTCAACATGTCAGACAATAACTCAAAAAACGCTTTAATCAATTTGCATGAAACTTTGGTGAATTGTTTATATCTATTGACGTGAGCTCCCTTTCGATTTTTAAAAGTTTTGGATTTTACGTTTCTGAGTTACGGTGTTTTATTCATTAAAAAAGGGGGATTTTCCAGTTTTCTGACAATAACTCAAAAATGCTTTGAACAGTTTTCATGAAACTTTGGTGAATTGTTTATATCTATTGATGTGAGCTCCCTTTCGATTTTTTATACATTTTAGATTTTACGTTTCCGAGTTATGGGTTTTATTTATTAAAAAAGGGGGATTTTTCCAGTTTTCAGACAATAACTCTAAAATGCTTTGAACAGTTTTCATGAAGCTTTGGTGAATTGTTTATATCTTTTGATGTGAGCTCCCTTTCGATTTTCATAAATTTTATTTACGTTTCCGAGTTATGGGGTTTTATTCATTAAAAAAGGGAGATTTTCCAGTTTTTGGACAATTACTCAAAAATGCCTTGAGCAGTTTTCATGAAACTTTGGTGAATTGTTTATGTCTATTGATATGAGCTCCCTTTCGAATTCTGGTTTATATCTATTGAAAAAGTGATGGGCGTATCATGCGCTCATGTCGCAGCTGTTTATTGTATTTTAAAATAACACCTTGCATCTGCGGGGGCATCATTTGTGTCTCCCAGACACAATAATATCTCAAAGAAAGTCCTACATTGACTTTGTTATAATATGATTACTTCAGAGTGGAGTGTGGGGGCATCAATTTGTCTAGCTTATATATATTTTTTATATTTTTTCTTATCAAGCTTTTTCAGCATTCAGGGAATCTGACGAACTAGGTGTGTCAATTATGTGTTGCCTTAGAAAAAATATAACAGCTAAAATACTTACGTATATATAAGTAGCAGAAGCATGTGTGATTACAGTAAAACCTGCCTTAACGGTCACCTTGTTTCAGCAGTCACCTGCTTCTAATGGTCACCTTCAGACCCTCCCAAATGGTTTCTCTATATAATTAAATTGTTTCAACGGTCACCTAATTTTCGCACGAAATCATCATTTCAACTTTTAGCAAAGGCCATTGTAGAATTTGAACTAACTAAATAATCATATTGAAAAATATATGCGTTCAGTATTGAAGTCAAAATGAAAATTGGAACCAGTTTGCAACGGAGATCTCGCAATAGGAGGTGAATCAGTGAATTCCTCGTGTTCAACACATTTTCGTTTCCATTAAAAACCATATCATCAACATTTCTTCACGACTATAAACATATTTCGATATTTTCTTCAAATTTACAGCAAAGGATTGAACCATTTTCACTGTTGCAAAAAAGATAACTCTACCGATTGAAAACACTAAAACGTTTTGCCCTGATCCCGGCCATGGGCGATATCGGAATAATTTGGGACTTTGTTTAAAAGGTCACCTCTCTTGAGTGGTCAATTTTGATACTTCCCAAGGGTGACTGCTTAATACAGTTTGACTGTATTAAAGTGTTGATCTATTTTATCTTTATCATCAAAAAATTTATGGCAGTAGCAATTATTTTTCATACATATCTTGAAACAACTAGATATATTATTTTGAATTGTCTAACTTGTTTACAATTATATTTCAGGAGAAGCAATACCTGTTGAACAGTGTGAATTAACCAAAAAGGATGGAAGAATCAAATGGGAACAAGAATTTGCCAACCGATACTCAACTCCAGTTCTCAAGGTAAAAAAATTTCTCCCTGTTTTTATTGAATTACTATTTCAACCATATTCCTCTGTTTTTAAGTTGACTATTAGAATTGATATACTTCTTGTCATCACTTTTTATCCTTTCACAGAACAGAGAATTAGGCTTAAGGATTCAAAGTTAATCTCCTGTTTACCAGAAATTTTTTAACTTTCCATTGTTATATTGTTAAATATGTTCAATCACAGGCTTTCAAAAATTTGCTGGAAAAATTAGTTTTTTTCAATGAATTTCCAGACATAATAACACTGATTACATAACGTTTCATAGGATTAAGAAAAAAATAGAGGTTTTAGCAATCTTTTTGGGCAGACAGTTTTCCCTAACACAGACACACTTTACCAATCATAACAGTGACACAAAGATTAATAACTGTAAAACCAGGCTCTAATTAGTAAAATTTAAGTGATTTTCATGGATTGAGGAAAATTATATAACGGTTGATATTTGATTATTGTATATGATTTAGGTTCTTAATTTTTCATTTCTGTGTTGTTAATGTAACATTAAATCTAATACTCCTGAAAAGAGTTGCCTTTTCCCAGTGTTTGAACTCTATGTCTTATCATGCCACCCAAAATCATTGCAACAGATTGTAAATTGTTCAGCATTTATACAATATTTTTTTCAGGCATTGACTGGTACATTAAAGAAATGTAATAATGAAATCCTAAAAGATAAAAGACTAGGTTTGTATTCATGTTATTGTAATTAGTTTAGTTGGCCTTTCCATAACAGGTGGTATCCAGTTCTTTTGTCCCTCTCACAATTGGTAAGTACCATGCACCTGAATTGTGGAATTTTATTCATAAAAAATATATAAAAATACACCCTACAAATGGAAAAAGTACCTGTCCACATGAAAGATAATGAAAGCTTGTGATGATATTTATATTATTTAACAGATGAACTACACTGTAAAGTATATTTAAAAAAAATCATTGTCCATATATACTGGTCAGTTATGAACAAACTAATAAAACAATCATCATTAAAAAGTTGGTTTTTAAAGTCTGTATATTGTTTGCTGAAAACTCTAAGATTCTATATTTGTAATTGTGTTGATTTTGCATCCATTGTTCTTTTTAGTCAACTTGTACCTTCTCTGTTTTAGGGTCTGATCCTTTGCTACAGTTACTATATGAAGTTGACATTCAGGTAGAAATGTTGGATGTTACAAACCTTCAGAATATTTCTGCAGTATGGGGTTACAGAGCATGTGTATCTGTTGAGCATTTAACACAGATGCTTAATTCAAGTCAGCAACAATGTCCAGTATTGTCTGTTTTCCTGGAAGAGGTATAGTTTATGATAGCACAAACAGTTTATATTATATGTTTTCTTAATTTTGGGAAAACAATATGAGAATAAATTCTGGAATTCTGCTTCGGTTAATCATCTATTTGATAACTGGAAATATATTTCTTATTTTAGGAATCTATTCTAAGAGCACTTAGACATATTCCTAGCATTCTAAGGCTCCAAAAGCTGCTGATGAATAAATACAACAGAAAATTGGACAAGACTGAGGGGACAACTCTACAGATTGATACTATTAAGAAGGATATAGAAAAAGGTAGAGAGAAATACTGCTTGAACATATCTTTACTGGAAAAAATTTGTATAGACACATAATTGGATGAATACTTTATTGTGTCCCCCTTCAGCATCTTGTTAAAGCTATCCCACATAGGAATCATTTCTGTTATCTTTGATCATGATTTTTTGGGGCAATTAACATAAAGTTGGATCAAATTTTTAGACATCAATAACTTTTTCAAACCTTCATGGAATGTGTAGGAACTTGGAAAGTAACTTCTCTTGATCGAAAAATAGGATCTGAAGAAGAAAAAAAAAAAAAGTATTGCCAAGTCAACTGGAAACGTAATACACATCATGGTGTATATAATTTTTTTAATATATGCCAAATTAGGGATTTGACCAGATTTCACAGTTCAAAATTGTTTTATGATATTGTACTGTCCTATTGACACATATTTGTACTTATTTTCAGACAGAAGATCTGAGGAATTTGGGACTTTACTTGATGATTATGCAGAAGCATGGGAATGTGTACGTCAATCACTTGAATCTTACAGTATGTGCTTTTTTTTTTATCTCTATCAGTTCAAATATGTTTAAAAATTCATAATAATTTTTTCCTTCCTTTTTAGCTCATCTGGCCCTTAATTTTCTATATGTACCAACATTATTAGATGACTTTAGTGGAGTCACTTCCACCATTCTTGAGTTATGTCCCTTTATAAATGGAAAAATTGCTAAATTTGTCGTTTCCGCACTCTAAAGACCGCTTTTGTGGTCTTTTGGTAGCATGTTTGCCTTTGGTTTGGTAGGTCGTGGGTTCTAACCCCTGCCGCTTCAAAACAAAGACTTTTAAATTTGTATTTGCTGCTTCTCCGCTAAGCACACAGCATTAAGAATGGTCAGCTCAGAGTCAGAATAATGTGTCCGGGTAAGGTGATGTGTCTTCCTGCGGACTGATAACTAGCACGTTAAAAATTTGGCTCAGCGTGTCTGTCTAGTACAAAGCAGGATTAATATTCATATTACATTATCATGTTCTTGTCCTGAATATGCATATTAATTTGCTGCTGGACGTTAAGCAGCCATCCATCATCATCATCCGCACTCTAACTTTAGTTTGACTCAACCAAATGTTATAGAACTTATACACAATGCTTATAACCACCAAACACAGACCAGGTTTGAATTTGGTTGGTGTTACGTTTGCCGTTCTGGAGTTGTGTCTCTTTATAAATGGAAAAATTTCTAAATTTATTGTTTCCGCACTCTTATTTTAGTTTACCTCAACCAAATTTTATGAAACTTATACGCAATGCTAATTACCACCAAACACAGATCAAATTTGTATTTGGGTGGCGTCATTTTTGCCGTTCTTGAGTTATGTTTCTTTGTAAATTGAGTAATTGCAGAAATTGCTGTATATTTTGAAGTGGGAACATCTGTGTCCTATGGACAAATTCTTCATTTATTTTAATTTAACAATTTTGTCTATTTTTTTTTTGAAAACTATAATTAATACACCAAGCTTTGACAGTAAATAAGATCACCAATACAAGATCTCCAAAAATTAATATGAATGAAACATTTTTTAACTCATGAAAGGAGTTATTGCCCCTAAAAGATTTTATATTTTCCCATTTATCTTGAAAACTATGAAGATAAATGGACATCAACTGTAATCAGCGTAAATGATAAGCAATATAAAATCTGCCAAAAAATTAATGTCTGAAAATATGTACTGATCTGTTTTTACAAAGTAACTTATCTGCTCTTTAATAATGCTTTTTGACTAATTTTACTTATTGTGCCTGTTAACTAGAAAACGATAGTAAAAAAAAACAGAAATAGAACTGTAAACAGGGAAAAAGATCAGCAGTTGAAGGTCTTCAAACTGCCAAAATGACTAATACCATTTATTTACTCCTTAAAGTAGTTACACAATTTAGGAATAATTACAGCATTTTTTCTTATTTTCATGAAAATTATTATAGATATAGACAGAATTTATGAAAAGTGTAAATGTTCCATCAATTCAAGATTTAATCAATACCATTATTGAGGTGTAATACCACCATTGATTTTCCCCTATTAGTCTTTGTTAAATTTGCACTTTTCAAAAAATTGTGCAGAATTTATCTTTGTTTCAAATATAGAAATACTTGGCATGAGTAAAGTTTTATCCTGTCCAGTACTATAGAAAAAATTTCACATAACATTTCATTGCATATAAGAAAATAACCATCACTGGAAGTTAACCAATCAAATTTTCCCCCTTTTTTAACCTGTGTACAAGCTTTAGTAACCATGTAACCTCAAGTTTCCAAAATATTCTATAGAAACCCCAAATAAAAAAATAATGGTGCTTTGAAATACCCAAGATATATATTTATGACCCAGAAATGTTTTACTGCAATGAAATGTAGGATCAATTACCTACAACTGTCAAATTCAAGGGAATATTTTTTTTCGACCTCTTTTCGTATGCAACCGGATGTGACATACTATGATTTGGTGGTATTACACCTTGAATGAAATCATCAATTGACTGCTTGTCTTCAAAAATTATAATAGATAGGCAGAAACTGTTAAAAACAATCATTCAGTGATAGAAGATCTAAAATTTAACACTTGACAGAAACTATCAACTGATTATTTAATAATTTGTGTCACCTTTAAACAACTGGACCAATTTAAACCAAACTTGACTTAAGTGTACCTTAGTGTGATTATAGTTTTTGAATTATATTACAATCTATTAGCCAATATTAAAATTGGCAAATTTGAATTGAGTTACCACACAAAGGTGTCTGTCATTAAGGAGGAAAGGGTAAATGATAATTTTTATAAAGTTTTATAATTTTAATCCCCTGCAGCAGCTGAGGAGGCATTAAGTGTCACTATTGTCCGTCTACGTCCGTCCATACATCTGTATGTATGTCCCAAAATTTGTTTCCTTTCTCTATCTTTAGTTTACTTCAACCAAATGTTATGAAACTTACACTCAAGGATTATTACCACAAAAAAAAGTTCAAGTTTGAATTTGGATGGCCTCACATTAACCGTTCTAGAGTTATGCCCCTTTTCAAATGGAAAAATTGCTGAATTTTTTGTTTCGGTTTTCTAACTTAAGTTTGCCTTTACCAAATGTTATGAAACTTATACACATGGCTTATTATCACAAAACTCAGATCAAATTCGAATTTGTGTGGCTTCACTTTAACCGTTCTTGAGTTATGTCCCTTTATAACGCCAAATGCAAGCAGGGATATCATTTGTTTCCCATGGACACATTCTCCATTTATTTGGGGTATTATTTTGTAAACAATAATGGATAGATAGAAACTGTGCACAGTTTAAGTTGAAAAACAAGCACATAGCTATCCTCAAATTATGTTGTTAGTGTGGTAAATATTATGATGATGATGGTTATGATTAGACCATTTTATTTGAAAAGGGGAGGATATGGAAGATTAATAAATTATTTTATCCAGATTTTTACATTGATATCAATATTGAATATTTTTACTGTGGTGCCTTTTACCTTGCGAAAGCGAGACATAGCGATCCTAGAATCCGTCGTTGGCGGCGTCAACATTTAGGTTCAGTCTGTGGTTAAAGTTTTTTGGACATCAATAACTTTGTCAAATATACATGGAATTTCATGAAATTGGGACAGAAGCTTGTTTATGACCAAAATACAGTATCCAGGGCAAAATTTTAAAAATATTCATTTTCATTTTTCCATATTTTACTAATAAATGGACTTAGTTTTTTTTTTACAGTTAACTTCAGATTTTGTCTGAGGTTAAAGTTTTTCAGACATCATTAACTTTGTCAAAACTTCATGGAATTTTATAAAATTTGGACAGAAGCTTGTTTATGACCAAAAGACAGTATCCAGAGCAAAATTTTGGAAATATTTATTTTCATTTTCCCGTATTTTACTGATAAATGGACTTAGTTTTGTTTTACAGTTAACAAGTAGATACAGTCTGGGGTTAAAGTTTGTAACACATTAATTACTTTGTTAAACCTTCATAGAGTTTTATGAAACTTTGGCAATAGCTTTTTAATGATTAGGAGATAATGTCTGAAGCAAACCTTTGAAAATATATTTTTTTCATTTTTAGTATTTTTCTGATAGATGGACTTTATTTTTTACAGTTAACCTTTAAAGAAAGTCTGGGATAAAAAAAAAATTTACATGATAAATTCGTAAACCTTCATGGATTTATATGAAACTTGTACAGAAGCTCATCTTCAAGACCAAAAAATAGCATCTAAAGAAAAAGTTTTTTTTTTTTTTTTAAATTCTGTATTTTACTGATAAATGGACTCAATTTTAAAGTCAACATTACACTTTAACACTGACAGCAGCAATGGCAGAACCCCTTATGAATTTTTAATGGTTATTCTAAAGTAATGAAAAAAACTTAATTGTTTAAAACTTGAATTTATAGTTATTTCCAATTATGCGTTGAAACTGGCACCTATTGCCTTACAACAAGCATTGCTTATTGTTATCAGAATCCAGTTCATTTCAAATACATAACCTACTGGTATTAAGAATCAAAAGCTATATTACTGAAGTACCACTTTCAGAATTGATCTGAATGTTAGTGTTGTGTTTGTTCACCTTCAGAAACTAACAAAAGCTTTAATATATTTAAATTTCAGCTTGCTCAGTTAATGGATCTTTTGTCTCAGTGAATAAAGAACATTTAAGAAGGCAAATAGATAGCAGAACACCAGTTTCATTTCTCCTTCCAACTCTCAGAGATGATGGTGGTTTATGTGCCTATATGTTACTTAGATTTCTGCTTGAAAGACAGAACAGCTTCCTAGGAAAATATTGCCAGAAAAGTAATAAATTGTATGTATTATTGTAAATCCATTACTAGAAATGTGCATGATTCTGTATAATGAGGAACATCACAATGTCCATATGTTTGTGCACATTTTTCATTATTTTGAAAATTTAACTTTACAATCTATAAACCCACAGACACAACACAGTACAAATGACATTCAAATGTAAACTCTTGATGTGTATGGTAAAAATTGCATATAATTGAAAGGTTTCCAAAATACACAATAGACTCTTACAACCAATTAATTGTTATCTTCTTGATATATTTTTTACATTTCATCCTTTATTGTCGAGCCTGCAACATTTTGTGGCAGTAGCGAGACCTAGTGATCCTACATTCTGCATCAGTGTCATCTGCATAGTCTATATTTAGGTTCAGTCTGTGGTTTAAAGTTTTATTTAGACATTAATAACTTAGTCCAACCTTCATAGAATTGTACAAAACTTTGACAGAACCTTTTCTTATGATCTAAAGATAGTATCCAGGGACCAAACTTTAAAAAAAGTTTTTTTTAATTTTTCTATATTTTGCTGATAATTGGATTTTTTTTTTATTTCCATTTCACATTAAGATACACCTGTTTTTAACTAATTATACTTGGGAGAAGGGCCCACAGGTAAACTGTTTTACCCTTGTCTGTTTGTACATAATTTGTTCCATAACAGCTTCCTGAAGTATGTTATCAGGCTTATTTCAGCATGTTATACCATGTGACACAGTTTCAGATATATTTTTTTTAAATTTTTCATTAGCATTACAAGGACATCTGCAGTTGAACACTACACTTACTGATGTGTTTAAACATATCTGCATACTTGGTTGTAGACATTTTAATTTTATAAACTAGTAACTGGATTTTTCAGGTATAGTGAGAGGTGTGGGGGACAGAGTGGTGTTCTGATATGTTTTCTAGTTAAATGTGTGATGAATTCCTTTAATTGAAGGTTTGATAGTATGCCAAGAGTTCATGTGAAGGACATTTCGTCAGCTCATCTGATAAGTTACCATCCAGATAAGGACCTGTTACCAATGGTGTTTGCTAACTGTAATTACTCATTTGAAGTTGGTCAGGGAACTAAAGTGGAGTATGACTTTGCTAATCTTGAGAGACAATTGCTGGACAGATTTCTTTTCTCAAAGTCAGTCATCACTGGTATTGAAGAGGTAATTGGAGGTTTTCAATCACTGATTTATTTTGTAATTGTGTTAAACACATTCTGTGCATCTTGGAAATAAATAAGAGAATACCACAATGTAAAAAAGTCAATAAGAAACAAAAAGTAAGGGATGTTTGCTCCTCTGTTTCAAAATAACAAGCTTTTTAAAGGACTGTTATAAATTTATATTATATAAATAACTAAACTTAAAAAGCAGAAATAAGGATGAAAGGTCTGTGTCCTTGTTTTTGAGATATATGCAAATGAAAATTTGGATTGGGAAATGATTCTTTCTAGTGTTTTCATACATTTAACATTGGCACCTTTTTTCTTTCAAAAACTATGAAAAAATAAATAGCATTTTATAAGATTTTCAAAAATGGATTTTTAAACTATATGTAATAAAATTATGGAAAAAAAAGTAGGGGTATGTGGGCCAAATTTTTAATGGCACTATATGGATAAAACTAGAGGATTCTGAATATCTGAAAAAGAGTCAAAAACAGGAGTAGTGAACATCCTCTAAAAAAAGACAACCCCATGACCAAAATGAGGAAGACATATAGAAACAGTACGCAAAAGGCTTCACAAAAAACTTAAATCAAATCAAATCAAATCAAAAATTAAAATCAATTTATCGGTTTAAAAAACCAATTGCAGGATTTTCATCAAGGCATACAAAATTCTATACTAACAAACTTTAAAAAAAAACATACTAACAAACTTTCAACAAAAACATATTCAGATTTGAAAAAAAATATACATGCAATAAAGACAATATGAAAATATGTTGAGTATCTATTTATATAGAAGATTAAACTCATTCAAAATTTAAGTAACATGAACCCTACCACAACTGGGGTCAACTCAAGATCTCATCTACAAAGAATTTGCATATATTAATAAACAGCAGTTTATCATATTAGTATAAGCAGATATTCATTTTTTCATATTGTGGAACAGAAAGTTCATTATTAAGTCTCCCAAACGAAGTTTGGGAAGACTTATTGTTTTTGCTCAGTTCTTATTATTATTATTATTCTTCTTCTTCTTCTTCTTCTTCTTCTTCTTCCGCCGCTTTTAAATTTGAACTTGTCCGCACCTGTTCTCCAAAACCGCTTGTCAGATTAACTTAGGGTTTCACAACATGTTAGACTAACATGTCTAGTGGTGCAATCAGGTTTTTGTTTGTGCAATGGGGTTTATAAAGGGGTACTTTGAGGGGCAAAAAGAAAAGAGGGTTTTACTATAGAACCCTATGGGATTTTATTTTAAAAAATTTTCAAATGATTATAAATTGAAAACCGTTTGTGACACAATCTTTTTAATTGAAAATGTTCTAAATGATAAAGCCCATTAAATGAAATACAGGATTAGTCCCCAGGGGTCATCCCGACCCCCTGCCATTTGAGAAAGTTCTAATATCTTGTAAATGGTCGAGATCCCCACCCCTAAACCATATATATTCTGGTTTGTCATGATAAAGCACATCAAATGTTATACAGGGTTAGTCCCCAGGGGTCACCCCCACCCCCTGCCATTTAAGAAAGTTATATCTTCTAAGTGGTCAAGATCTCCACCCCTAAACCATATATATTCTGGTTTGTCATGCTAAGATGGTTTGAATGATATACAGGGTTAGTCCCCAGGGGTCATCCCGACCCCCTGCCATTTGAGAAAGTTCTAATATCTTGTAAATGGTCGAGATCCCCACCCCTAAACCATATATATTCTGGTTTGTCATGATAAAGCACATCAAATGTTATACAGGGTTAGTCCCCAGGGGTCACCCCCACCCCCTGCCATTTAAGAAAGTTCTAATATCTTGCTAAGTGGTCAAGATCCCCACCCCTAAACCATATATATTCTGGTTTGTCATGCTAAGATGGTTTGAATGATATACAGGGTTAGTCCCCAGGGGTCATCCCGACCCCCTGCCATTTGAGAAAGTTCTAATATCTTGTAAATGGTCGAGATCCCCACCCCTAAACCATATATATTCTGGTTTGTCATGATAAAGCACATCAAATGAAATACAGGGTTAGTCCCCAGGGGTCACCCCCACCCCCTGCCATTTAAGAAAGTTCTAATATCTTCTAAGTGGTCAAGATCCCCACCCCTAAACCATATATATTCTGGTTTGTCATGCTAAGATGGTTTGAATGATATACAGGGTTAGTCCCCAGGGGTCATCCCAACCCCCTGCCATTTGAGAAAGTTCTAATATCTTGTAAATGGTCGAGATCCCCACCCCTAAACCATATATATTCTGGTTTGTCATGATAAAGCACATCAAATGTAATACAGGGTTCGTCCCAAGGGGTCACCCCCACCCCCTGCCATTTAAGAAAGTTCTAATACCTTGTAAATGGTCAAGATCCCCACCCCTAAACCATATATATTCTGGTTTGTCATGCGAAGATGGTTTGAATGATATACAGGGTTAGTCCCCAGGGGTCATCCCGACCCCCTGCCATTTGAGAAAGTTCTAATATCTTGTAAATGGTCGAGATCCCCACCCCTAAACCATATATATTCTGGTTTGTCATAATAAAGCACATCAAATGTTATACAGGGTTAGTCCCCAGGGGTCACCCCCACCCCCTGCCACTTAAGAAAGTTCAAATATCTTCTAAGTGGTCAAGATCCCCACTCCTAAACCATATATATTCTGGTTTGTCATGCTAAGATGGTTTGAATGATATACAGGGTTAGTCCCCAGAGGTCATCCCGACCCCCTGCCATTTGAGAAAGTTCTAATATCTTGTAAATGGTCGAGATCCCCACCCCTAAACCATATATATTCCTGGTTCGTCATGTAATGAACATTTGAATGACGTATAGGGCCAGTCCCCAGGGGTTCCTCCCCACCCCCAATGTTCTAGTATCTTGTAAATGGTCGAGATCCCCACCCCTAAACCATATATATTCTGGTTTGTCATGCCAAGATGATTTGAATGATATACAAGGTTAGTCCCCAGGCATCACTAATGCATAGAACTTTACTGGACCAAACCAATTTTCACTGGACGTTGCCCAATGTCAAGCGACCCTGGGAATTACGAATTATGGGAGCTTCGTTTGGGAAACTTCGTAACAGCATCCTGTTACAATCATTTCTTGTTGGAATTGGATGGTAGAATATTTCTATTAGCTTACACTTGCCTTCTAGCAATACTTACCAGTTAGCTTGAAGAAATGAATTCAAGCTGCAACTTTGAAAAGTGTGTTGGCTTATTGGTATTGTGAAACAGCAAAGCCTCTTGGATATGCATTGTAATTGTGTCTCTATTTTAGATTGAGATGTTTAGATACAGAACAGAATCTACAAATGCTTTGGTATTTGATGAATTGTCCCAAAGAATTAAACAAGTAAGTCCTACGTGTGAAAATGAGGTTGGTAAAATAATTTTAAAGTCCAGGCCATTGATCTGACAACTTTTTAGTTTGACAACCATTTGTCCATCAAACCATCTGATGTCTCAGGTTTAAGGTTTATGTTTTAGAAATATCTACTTAGCTCTGCATGGTAACTATTGCTTAACTGATTTGAAAAGAACATATTTATTCCAAATTTTATGAACAAGATAGAAATACTTATACTGAATGTTTTGGCTCTTCTGTAAGGTCTTTAGGGTTTTGTTGTTTCCAAAAAATTCAACAAATTTTGAATCCCAAACTTTTGGTCTTATTAGAAAATAAGGAGATGTGGTATGATTGCCAATACGTCAACTATCCACCAGAGACCAAATGATGTTGATGTAGATGTCCGTGAGGATAGGTTGCGATACGGCCTTCAACAATGGGCAAAACCCATACTCCATAGCAAGCTATAAAAGTCCCAGACATAACTAAATGTAAAACAATTCAAATATGAAAAAACAATGGCCTGATTTATATACAAAAGGAATATGTTATACACAGTAGCAAAAGACATTCACCGAATTGAAGGCTTCTGACTTTGGACAGGCGTATACAGAATGTGGCAGAGTTGATATAAAAAGAAGATGAGGTTTGATCGCCTATGAGACATATTTCCGCCAGAGACCAAATGATATAGAAGTTAACAACTACAGATCACTGTATAACCTTCAATAATAAGCAAAACCCATACCCCATAGTCAGCTATAAAAGGCCCTGGAATGACAAATGTAAAACAATTCAAAGGAGAAAACTTATGGCCAGATTTATGTACAAAACAATGAACGAAAAACAAATATGATATACAGCAACAAAAGACAACTACTGAATTGCAGACTCCTGAATTGGGACAAGGACATACAGAATGTTTGTGGGTGCCTAACTCTCCTTTTAACCAGCATACCTTATGAAGAGTATTTCATAAACACTGACATATCTCTTTTCCATGAAATTTATTCTACCCTGCTCCCTCACTCATGGTCTATTGAAAGTTTTGCACACTTACATGCTGAAGTTTGTGATTAAGTTTGTTTTGGGGGAAACTGATATTAGGTCAATGACACTTGGTATGCAGTTGTTTATCTATTGGCACATCTCATCTCCATGGAGATTATTTGAACCTGCTCCCTAGGGTATGGTCTATTGAACTTGAAACTTTTGCATTGTTTAAATGTTGCCATCTAAATTTCAACATATGCATTAAACTATCAAAATTATACTCAAGCAAGACATATCTCTGTGTCAACAGTTTTTTCTTTGTAACAATTCAGATAGAAATGTTATAGTGTTTCATTTCTTGTAAGTTTAGATATGATTCAAATGATAAATTTTGTAAATATACATTTAATTTAGGTTGCTGAATGTCATCAATTAAAAATTTTACTCCTTCTTACAGTTCTATAAATTTTCACATTTCAGGAAAGAATCAATACAACTATTCAGAATCAGATACAAAGTGAACTGCAAGCAAAAGAATTCTCTGATTTGTGTGACAGTCTTGTCAAGCTGGATATTGCTATCAGTTTCTTGAAGTCAGTCGGGTCAAACCCTGACAGCTTACTTTTTGATTTTATGTCCAAAACCCTGAAAATACAACATCCATTCTTAAGTTCAAAGGTAACATTACTATCTTTTAAATATTTACTGTAGCTAGATATATGTGTTCTCCACATATTGCAGTGCATTAGGAATTCAGATCAATTTACAATTTCTTTTATTAAATCAAACTAATCAGAAATGTTGTCAAACTCCAGTTGAAAAACTCCAGTCAAGTCATCAATGTAATGATAAAAGAAAGCATACTAACAATAATTTAAGATTTGAATAAATAATTGAATACAAAATGAAAATAAATAAGTTGGACTAGCATGAGGTGAAGAAATTATTTGTCTGCAAAAATCTAATGGTTTTCCCTTAAATTTTGATGTGCTAAATACAGGCCTTTATAGAAATGTAAATATTGTATTAATCTTGTTGCATGTTTTGACTGAGTTTACTAAAGTAAAGCCATAGTGGTGATTTACCATAATTTAGCAAAAATAGGCTAATTTCAGGAACCATCACTGATGTTGCCCAAATTGAGATAGGGGCTTGTTTGTGCTTTATATTGTTTCTTAGCCCTTGTAAGTGAATGTTCACAATTTTTGGCATATTTACCATTTCATTTGATACAACTGTCTTTTCTTTGCTGTAATTAAAAGTAAAAAAGCAATGTTTTATTAAAGCATTAGATTCAGTATTTAATTGTGCGAGGAGTTCATCGGTAAGGGTCATATTTGGCCCCAAGTATTAAGTCATTGTTTCAAGATAAACAAAAAGTGATATGAAATTATTTTTGTCAAGTGTTGTCATCTACATCTAGATTTTGGTGAAAGTTGACAAAATCGTCTGGAAACAGAGCACATTCTTCAACAAACTAAATCTCATGTCGAATATGTAAATTATTAAAACAAACATAATGTTAAAAGATCTTTTTGTCGACATAAAAGAATTTTCTATCTAGTCATGTTTTAGCTATGACTTATTTGGTTATGATCAATAAATCTTAATTTGAAGTTCTAGCTGTAAAAAGGGCCTTATCGAATTTAATTTCAGAATGAGAAGGTGTGGAATGATTGCCCATGAGACAACTATCCACCAGAGTTAAAATGAAGTGGTAGTAAGCAATTATAGGTCATCGCACAACAATGAGAAAAACCCTTTCCGTATTGTCGGCCATAAAAGGCCCTGACATGAAAAATGTGAAACAATTCAAATGAGAAAGTTAATTGCCTGATTTAAGTACAAAACAATATACTAAAAACAAATATGATATACTGGAACAAACAACAACCTCTAATTTAGATCAGGCTAATTGCCCGACCCCACTCTAAAAAGTACCTTCTTCTCTCTAGATTATTTATTAATAACTCTTGTAGTCATATGATGCATTGTTTAGATATATTTATTTATAGGCACAGCAGTTTACTAAGTGTAAGAATACATTATCTTGGTGGGTTACCTTGTCATTGCATAAAGAGAAACAGCAAGCTAAATCCAAATATAACCAGGTATACTTAAAACTTAATCTTTTTATTTTGTTTTAAACATCATAAAGCTCCCGTATCAGGTTAAATATTATTGTTAAGGTAGTTTACCATGACGTTGTGTTCACATCAACTTGAAACTATGCTCTGGATGATGTGAACTTTTAAAATTATATACTGAATTATGATTGAAACACCAATTTGAGGGTTAACTGATTGTGGAAATGTGATACTGTGAAACTAGTAGATTAAAGTTTTTTACCTAAGGTAGTTGCCATGAAATTGAGGTAACATCAACTTCAAACTAAATTTGCACAAATTCATTAGGGCTATTCCATTAAAAAGAATGTACCAGGGTCGGACGGCAATTATAAAAAATCCCTTTGGCTGTTGATCTGTTGAAGCGTTCATGGCCAGTGGCCCTTGGTGTTTAGAGAAACTAAGTATTGTTGGTTGTTGGTCTTCTTTGACAGTCAGTTTTCGTGACTGTCGGTTTCATTGTGTTATTTTTTGTTTTTTATTATTATTTGTTTGTAAGATATGTGCTTGTCATTAAAGGGATTTATCTCTTGCACTTCCGGAACTGGTACCATAGGTAGAATACAACGTTGCGCCTGCAGTGCGTTAGTCGCGGGAACAACTTCTCTTCCAAATCTCACCACTTCTACCCATCAGTTTCAAAAAGAGAAGTCACTTCAAAAACTTCCTGTTTACTGAACACTTACATCATTTTAAAAATAACTATTTAAATATTCCAAATGCATATTTGGGTGGGAGTATCATCAGTGAGCAGTAGCTCGCAGTTTCACTTGTTGATCCTTTGTATCCTTTGTCTGTGTCATCGTAAACTTTTTTCAAACATCTCTGAGCAAAAAAAGCCAATTGGAAGCAAACATGGCCAACATATATTAAGTTAAAAAAACAATCCATTTGCAGTTCTATAGACCACAGTTCTAATTTTCATCAGTGATTTTTATAAGATTTGAAATGTTTCAAACCCTGGTGACCAAATTATATTTTTCATATTTAAGATTTAAAACACAATGAAGTTTGATCTCATTTCTTCCTCCAATCATAGCCAGCATTATTCATCAATTTTAAAAATCAAATGAAAATTTGTACAAAATGAAAAAAAGTTTGAAGCACTAATGCAAATGTGCAAGACAAAATACTGATTTTTGACAGACTCAATTTCTTCTAATTTTAATATAATTTCAGAATCTGTTTGACAGTCTATCAGATAGCTTTAAGCAGCCACTAAAGTCAGATCAACTTAAAATTATAGAAGGAATAGTGAATAGTTTGCCTTTGGAACATATTCATATTTTACTGGTTCTGACATTCGAATGTATCCTTTTGAGATTGGATATCCCCGATAGTGACAATTTGGCAGAAATCAGGTACTTTTGAGCAAACTACTCAAGTGTAATAAAACTGGCATTTTCAGCTGCCAAGTTCATGCCCACTGAAATGACTAAAACAATTAGATTGAGCAAACATATTGAAAGATATTCAACTTTATTATTCTGGCTATATCAACATAGCACAGGAGAAGAACCAGAAATCAAAGAAGCACTTTTAATTCACAATTATATTAACAAAATTGAATAGGGCCTTAACCTCAAAATATTGTTTAATAATATTATTATGTCCCTTATAACGAAATTCCTTTTAACATCACATAACTGTCAACAATGTTTTTATTGGATGCCTTGAATATCTCTATAGATTTGTCAGAGTGCTATATATGTGATGTTTTTTTATATGTATATATTTGGTATAATTTGATGTAGAGAAAACAACAATTCATGCAACACTTGAAGTAAACAATCAAAGAACTTGAACATTAATGGATAAACAAACTCAATGTTGTGTACAGCTAGATCAACATTTTCAATTAATTTTTAGTTGTACTTTATTGTCTTTTTGACTTTAAATTTATTAGTTTTGTACAATTCATTTTAGCTTACAAGAAATCCTGATACCATACATAGATTCTTCACCTTTTGAGAATGACAGTTTGGTAGGTGAATATTTAAAGGAAGCAATTAAGACACTGCCTTCTGGAAAAAGCAATGCAAAAGTTACTACAGCACAAATTGTTGACTTCTGGAAAACAATAAACAAACTATTGATTTCTAAAGAACAGTTCAGGAGATAAAAGGATTATTGAGCAAAATGTTTGCCATAAAAACTTTGGCATATGACTATCAGCTTTATATAAAAGGATCAAATGAAATACAAATTATAATCATGGTGTATGACTTTAAATCACATTCCTTAACAATTTTATTTGTATTTTTTTTTTTGCTCAAACATTTCCTCAATGAGTTAACATTATTCAATATTGGACTCAATATTTGCCTTATAACCTAAAATGTATGTTTGATTCATTCATTTTATTTACTCTTTTCATATTTTTTTCCACTGATATCTTTTCACATTTTTGCAGAAATTCAATGCTGTCATGAACATTTATTTTTCAATTAAATTTGTGTTCCTTATTTCAAAAAAAGAAGAAAAGAAGAAAAAAATTCATGTCAGACCCGAGACTACTATAGGTAGTAATCTTAAGTCAGCCATCTTACATTATTTTGAAACAAGACACTACTTTCAAATATTCCCTTTACTTTTTATAAACACAACACTTTTTAGTAACATCTGACATTGTAGACATTTTTGTTTCATTTTCATAATTTTATGCTGTATAGATTTTAGCATGTAATATGCATTTACAATTTACTTTTACAATAATTTATGGTTAGAGTTTGAAAATTATATGCAATATTTTATCCAGCCAAGCTGGATTTATGTTATTAAACTGGAATTTAAGCTTGTGCAGAATTCTGAAGTAAATGCATATTATATTTTTACAAAACCATATATAAATGTAAACAACTTGCAAATATAAAACACCATTTTAATCATCTACTTCATACTTTTGACATATAATTTGCCCATAAATGTAAAAAAAAAGTGAAGTTGATCAAGTCTAATTTTAGATAAATACAATGATTTCTAGTGAAAAGATAAGATATCTAATCTAAGCAGATGAAAAGAAATTATGTAACTATTTTATCAGTATCTTATACTTGTGGAAGCAATTGAATAAAATTTGGTACAAACTGTGCATGGATATCAAAGTGGATTTCCCCACTTTTTCAAATATTAAAAAAACACGCCCATCTGGGGGTTGACTTTCCAGTCTGTCAGTGACGCTATTCCTTGCCAACAAAAGCTATATGTTGCCATGGCATACAAACAGTTGTTTTCATCATTATTAATTTTTGTTTTGATTTAACAATTGTTCATTTATAACTTATGTCAAATTAAAAGACATAGATAATTTATTTCTCTAGAAACAAATTGAAAGGATTGACATAATAGACTGAATGTATATTCTTTCAAAGGATCTTCATTGTATACAAACCCTCCCATTATTACACAGGCATTCAACAAATACAAATTTTTCATCAAAATAGATTTGTAAATCCATTAAGCCATGATTAAAATGACCTTTAAATTGATGCATGACACCTTTTTAGCAGTATTTTCAAGTAACTAGTCAAAGATTTTTTATTTTGTAAATATGTTTTGTCAGCATTCATCTGCAAATTATAATGTTATATTATGTAACTATTTTATACTAACCAAGTTTCCAATACTGATCAAGTACTGACCAACAATGAACCAGAATCTGTAATCTGACAACACAATGCAGAGATCAGCTGACAGAAGAATAATCAGTCCTCAAGTGAAAAATACTTTATATTCAAAATTAACACATACATAAGCATTTGCCAAATCCTTAAGTTACATGTACCAGTGTATATACCATCTTTATGTGTGTATAGTACACCTTTTTAACGGCCAAAAAATAGTTGGTAGAAGGGGTGCGTATTATACACAACTACAGACGGTTTTGTTTTTTTGTTTTTTTTTTGTTTTTTTATTAATAGTGTTTATTTCTTCATTATTGTATATGTTCAAGGCGTTTTTTATTTTATTTCTTTATTTGTAATTTAAAAAAAAAGTTTTTTTTCCTTCTTTATTGAATACACAAGTACTGGTGTGACATCCTGCATGAGTGAGCTTAAAATGAAATTAAGGATTAAGTATGGGTGTGTAGCAATTGAATAAATCTTGTCAACTTTTGACAGGTGTTCAATATAATAACCTCAGGCAGTGCTCTTAATCAACATGATAAATGAAAAGGAAATATCTGATTAAAAAGTCATTAAATTTTAATTACTGCTAATCAACTTTGAAAATGTTTGAAGTTTAATTTCTTTTGTTCCATTTCATTCTAATTATTTCTTTTATAATATTTGAACAGTGCATCAGCTTGGACAAGCTTAGACAAACATTGATTTCAAAAGGGATCTTTAATTAATAACCTTCCATTTATAAAATTAATAAATGTTAATTACATGATAAAAGCTTTACCATTTAATTGTTTGTGACTTTAAAATTAATTGATTGAACAAATTTGTTTTTAATTTTAATTTTTCCCTTTCTATTATTTTTTTTTTTTTTTTACTTTTTTCGTTTTTTTTTTTCATTTTTTTTTTAACTTTTTTTTTCTCACGATTTTGGAGGGATGAAAAGGGGTGCGTATTATACACAACCGTGTACTATACACGGATAAATAGGGTACTTGAAACTATGTTACTTTACTTACCACTGTTCATTTTAAATTTCTAGCTAGGTGTAAAATTTTTTTTCCCCAACTTTTGTTTAAGTGTCATGGAATAGAAATTCCTTTATAATATAATATAAGTTTCAAATGGAAGAAATATTCTAGAAATTTATATCCACTGGAAAAAATATTACGATATTTGTTCCTACTAAATAAAGGGTATGGGATATTTGTTCAAACAGGAACAGATGTATTATTGCATTGTTTATTATAAATTTTCAGAGAAACTTCAATTATGAGGAACAAATATACATTGACACAAGGAGCACTTGAGTTATCTACTACAATGCTATTTTTGTTGTGAGACTAGTAATATTCTGCAAATAGCTATACTATGTTACAAATGCATCTAAATAACAATCTTTGTACATTTTTTTCACATAAATATTCATTCATCCTCACCTCTTTTCCAAATTATATGTGCACTTTTTGCTCAAGGGCTTGAAATTTCACAAAACATGATCATTTTCTGATATAACTAACTACTATTCATGTCACAATGGTAAACTATCCCAATTAACCCACTAAAAAAATCTTAAAACTTTAAACTGGGACTTTTCTTGTGGTTGATTTTTTTTATAGATTTGCAAACAAAACACCATGTTAATTTATGTGTTTAAAGAAGTATTGAATTCATTTATTCAAATAAAAGAAATATAATACCAGATATTTAATGATTGTATTATCTATCAAATTAGCCTTCATCACTATCATAATTTTTTTAATTACTTTTTACTAACTGACATCAAGGAATAGTATATTCTTAAATTTACAATTCCTTGTTTTAATTTTTTGGATCATTTTTAGAATTTTTTTAGATATGGTTTAAAAAGTGTGAAACTTATCTTTTAAAATATAGATTTATAAACAATGCAGTTCAAGAATTTACATCAAAGTATTTCAAAGAAGACACAGAAAGAAGGGTGGTGATGGTATTGACTATACTTCTTTTTTGTTTTTGATAGTACAAATATGATGCAAATAAACATAAAAAAACCAAATGATTTCTTGGTGGTGTATTGCAGGTATTATTTAAATAGTTTTGTTTATTTTTAGATGTTGAGATTTTAATTTGTAATTAAAATTTCTTTATGAAATCTTGTGGGCAACATGATATCACAGGATTTGGACAGCAAATCTCTGTTTTTATAAGAACCTGTTCAAATCAGAAGCATAAAAGTTAATTGAATATCTTTAATATGCAAACGTCAAAATGCATATCAGAGTATAAGAACACATTGCAACAAAGTCAGTCATGAGGAAGATGTTTCATGTAAAATTACAAGATTGTCCTTTCTTTTTTAGAATTATAAGAGCAAAAATTTGTTTTTTGGAATGAAAAATGACATTATTGTTGTTTATGAAGTTTGTTTTAATAAGTTTCTCATGTATAATATAAATAATTTATAATCAATTTAAAACAATATATATTGTTAATGATTCAGTTGTTAAAAAAAAGATGGTTTATCTGTGTTTGTTTATCATGGGTTTTGGTTACTGAAGTTAGATATCATTAATCTTTATACAATGTATTTGCAAAAATCATTTGGAATAAATATATTGGATCAAAATATTCTTATTATCTGACAATTCAAACTGGTTAATTAAGGAGTAATTAGGGATACAAAATGTGTTTGCACATTAGTCTTGTTTGTAGGATAAATTGATTTTATGCTACAGGAAACCCCAAGTATAATTTCATTGAAAAAAAGAAATAGGAAGTGTACAATGATTATTCAAGATTCATTCAATGGTTCATTTAAATCCATTCAAATTGTTTTGTTAGCCAATTTGGTGAAGTCCATATTATGATATGGAATACCAAAAATCCTATCAGACCAACAAATAAATATGGATGTCCATTATTGGGTTCTCAAGATTGTCTGAAAATTTCAGAAAACCAGTCCCAGGATTGGAAAAGTTGTAGGTTCAACGTGGGCTGAGAGCAAGCAGACGTGATATTCAACAATCCTTGCTACAACGCAGGAGTATAAAAATGGTGTGAAAAATGGATTATGGTAATTAGAATTATAACAAAAAAAAACATAATATAATTTGCGAAATCTCGTTATAATTGTTTATCCAAATTTTATACAACCGCAAATTTATTTGTGTTCGTATTATGTTATGGTGTTGTCTGGGTCTGAAGACATTTTGGTTCACAGACAATAACTTGAGTATAAGTTCATGGATCTTTATGCTGTTGTATATTCTGATCTTCGTTTTCAGACTGATTGACCTTCTCTTCCATATGGGCTGTAATTGGCAGAATGCATATCAGGCTTTGCGATTTCTGGCTCTTATATCTTTTAATGTTCCATTGGTGTTACTTAGCAAGCTTCCAAGATATGTAAAGTCCTCAACCTATTGTATGATGTTATTTCCAAAGTACATTGGTTGTATTGTGTTACTGTTGATGTTCATGAGCTTGGTCTTCTTCTCATTTATAATCGGGCCTATATATAATTTATGCTGTTTCATTAGTCTGGTGGTTTTGTTCTGCAAGTTGTTCCTGTTGATGGAAAGAAGACAGGTATCATCAACAAAGTCTAAATCCTCTACAAAGGAATTCATGGTCCATCTGATGCCTGTGACTTAATTTCCTAATGTTGTTTTCATACACCAATCTATTGCTGTGATGAATAAGATCGGAGATATTATACACCCTTGTCGTGTCCCAGATTTTATTTGGAACCATTCTGACTGGACCGTTATGTAATACACAGCATTCATAGTTGTAGAAAGCTTGTATTAAGGTGATTATTTTTAATAAGCCCTAAGGATGGCCCATAAGCAAATTCTTTTAATGCTGTCAAAGGCTCTACGAAAGTCGATGAAATTTAGAACTAGTTTGTTTTGCCACTCTTTACTTTGCTCAATTATATTTCTGATGGTAAAAATATGGTTGATATATCCTCTACCTGATCTAAACCCTGCCTGCTCTTTTTTCAGAATTTCATCTATAGCATTTATCTATTCTGTTGTATCTTGCTTGGTACTGACAGCAAAGTTATACCACGCCAGTTGTTGCAGTCACTTCGATCTCCTTTCTTGTGCAGTTTTATATGACTCTTTTCCCAGTCATTGGGGATAGTGTCATGGGTCCAGATATGTATAAACATTTCGTGAAACATTTGTGCTGGTTTCTATATATCTGCTTTAAGCATTTCAGCTGTTATTGCATCGAAGCCAGGTGACTTTCCATTCTTCAGTCTAAGTATTGCCTTCCTGGTCTCATCCCCAATGTCTATATCTAGTTACACACCAAACTGTTCTATAATTGGAACATTTCCCTGGTGTTCAGAATTCAATGTTTCTTTAAAGTGTTCAGTCCACCTTTCCAGTTGTTGACTTTCTGAGGCTAATACTTTACCATCCTTGAACTAACATGATACACTGGAGCTTGTGTGTTTACCACTTAGTTCTTTTGTGATTTTATAAGCAGTGCTAAGTTCTCCTTTAGAAGCTGCTGTCTCTGCTTCTTTGGCAAGTGACTCTAAAGTATATTGCTTTATCTGCTTTTGGCTTTACGTTTTACTTCTTTGTCTTTGAATGAATATTCCTTTCTTAGAGAAGTTTTGATTCTTTCCGATTTTGTACTGTTTAGTTTTGTCTTTATGTCTTTTCTCTGCTGAATGCTAATCGAGGTGTCATCACTTATCCATTTCTTTCACGTTTTCTGAGTCCTAGGGTGTTTCTTGATGTTTCTTTAAACGCGGTTTCGATCTTACTCCATTTCTGTTCGAAGCTTTCTACTGTGCTTGGCTCATTGTCTTGTAGATCTTCTAACACTTGAAATCTGTTTCTGAGCTCTTCAGAAATTCAGGTTGTTTTAGTTTGACTGTGTCAAATATTTCCCTCATGATGGTTCTGTTCTTTACTGCCTTTCTTTGTTTCGGCCTAATTTTACCACTGATCAGGTGATGGTCACTACCACAGTCTGCTCCCCTCATAGCGCTTACGTCACACAGTGAGTTGTTCCATCGTCCGTTTATCATCAAATGGTCTATTTGGTTTTTATCACGACCATTAGCGGAGTTCCAAGTGGTTTTGTAATTAGGAGCCAAAAAAATCAGTTTTACTGGTTTTACTGGTTCATGGAAGATAAATTGGTTCTTAGACAATAACTTTAGTATAAGTCTATGGATGTGTAAGAAATTTTAACACAAGGTTCCATACCACAATAGGAGGTTTGGGATTGAATTTTGGGGTTATTTTCCTAGCTGTTTCGTAATTAGGGACCAGAAAGGGGCCAAAACAATTAATTGTCTGGTTTTAGACAATAACTTGAGTAAAAAAGCTATTTCTGTGGTCGAAATTTTAGTATAAGGTTCCATTCCACAATAGGAAAAAAGTAAAATAACAAAAATACCGAACTCCTAGGAAAATCGAAAACGGAAAGTCCGTAATCAACTGGCAAAATCAAAAGCTCAAACACATCAAACGAATGGATAACAACTGTCATATTCCTGACTTGGTACAGGCATTTTCTTATGTAGAAAATTGTGGATCAAACCTGGTTTTATAGCTAGCTAAACCTCTCACTTGTATGACAGGCGCATAAAATTCCATTATATTGACAACGATGTGTGAACAAAACAAACAGACAATAGGTAAAAATGTCAAAAATAGGGGTACAGCAGGAAGGTTGGGTATATTTTTGGGGGTTATTGTCGTAGCTTTTTAGGAATTAGGGGCAAAAAAAATCAGGTTCACAGACAATAACTTGAGTATAAGTGTATAGATCTCCATTAAATTTTAGCACAAAGTTCCATACCACAATAGGAAGGTTGGGGTTATTGTCATAGCTGTATAGTAATTAGGTGTCAAAAAGGGTCGAAAACAAGCATTTTTTCATGTTTCAGGACAATAATTTGTGTATAAGAGTATAGATTTCTATGAAATGTTACCACAAGATTCCATACTTCAAAACGAAAGGTTTAATTGATTTTTGGAGGGCCATGGCCCATACCGTTTAATAATTAGGGGTAGAAAAGGGGCAGAAAACAACTATTTTTCTGGTTTGCAGGTAATAACTTGACTATAAGTGTATGGATCTCTATTCAATTTTAGCACAAGGTTCCATACCATAAAAGGAAGATTGGGGTATATTTTTTGGGGTAATTATAGTAGCTGTTTAGGAATTACGGGCCAAAAATAGCCTAACACAAAACCAATTATTTGTCTAGTTCACAGACAATAACTTGAGAACAACTGTATAGATCTCTATTAAATTTAAGCATAAGATTCCGTACCACAATAGGAAGGTTGGGATTTATTTTGGGGGTAATTGTTGTAGCTGTGTAGTAATTAAGGTCCAAAAAGGGATCAAAACAAGCATTTTCCATGTTTCAGGGGACACTAATTTGTGTATAAGATTGATTTCTATGAAATTTTACTACAAGGTTCCATACTTCAAACGGAAAGTTGGGATTGATTTCAGGAGTCATGGTCTAAACCGTTTAATAATAAGAGGCTAAAAAGGGTCCCAAAAAGTAGGATTTTCTGATTTCTAGACAATAACTTGAATATAAGTCTATTTATTGCTATTTAATCAATTGTGCAATAAGGTGTTAAACCATAAAATAAAGTTTGGGATTGATTTTAGGGGTTAAGACCCTATTGGTTTAGTTAAAAGGGACCAAATCCTATACTTTGTATAAATTGCTTATTTCTTAGCAATTTCAATGGGGTTTAATTCAAAAGTCATGAATTCTTGGGAGTCTTTGATATGCTGAATCTAATTGGGTATTTAGAATTTGGATTTTAGGGTCTGTTTTTGGAATGATCCATATTAAGGTCCAAAGGGTCCAACATTAAACTTTGTTTGATTTCTTTACAAATTAAATAATTGGTGTTCCTGGATATGGGTAATCTAATTGTATTTAGATTTTTAATTTTGAAGGCCTGTATTCAAATTGGTCCACATAAAGGACTAAAGGGTAAAAAAAAGGAATTCTTGGGGTTCTTTGATATGCCGAATCTGAGCGTGTAATTAGATTTTTGATTTGGGACATGGTCGGCCCATATTAAGGTCCAAAGGGTCCAAAATTAATTAAACTTTGATTTCTTTAAAAAATAAATCATTGATGTTCTTCAATGTGTGTAATCTAACAGTGTTTTAATTTTTTGATTTTGGGCCCGTTTTTTTTAAACTGGACCCCCATAAAGATCCAAAGTATCCTTAATAAAACTAAGTTTGATTTTAACAAAAAATGAAACAATGTGATTATTTGATATGCTGATTCCAACCATGTATTCCGAATTTGAATATTGGACCATAATTGGTAAATGTCCAATTTTAAAATTATACCACATTCATTCTGTGTCAGAAACTATGCTATTATTACATATTTGATCAGTATTACATAGTATTATTACATAGTTGATAATAGATATAACATCATATCTTATTTTAGAGAACTATATTTGTTGTCAACATTACTGGTTCATGGAAAATAAATTGGTTCATGGAAAATGAATTGGTTCACACACAATAACTTTAGTATAAGTGTATGGATGTGAAAGAAATTTTAGCTGATGGTTCCATACCACAGTTAAAGGGTTGGGA